TCCGAGATCATTGAAAGTGATGCTGCGCCGCGCTGGCTCGCCGGGGATGGGGAGGGGGGGAAGGGGGGCGATCCCGGGAGGCCGCGGTAAGGAAAAACGTCGGATCGGCATCCGGAGCTCGCCAAATCGTCGCTTTTCTGACGTAAGCTACTGTCCTAAGGAAAAACGACGTATGAGCATTCGAGTGCTGCTAAATGTAGTCCAAATTAAGAATCTGCACGAAAAGTGCTCATTGTCTTTTCTGACGATGAAGATGCTGAATGAGCTGCCATTTCAGTATTTTATACTTGTTTCTCTTATGAGCAATGGAGAATTTGCATGCAAATTTTTGATTGCTTCATCTGAAAGTGCCCGAAGAACTGATTACACAGGATTTTTTATAATTTTTTTCTAATATAGGGAATAGTATGAAAATAGATTTAAAAGTGAGAAAATGCACCGCCTAGTGACGTCATCTGGCGGCATTCCCCATTTAAACGCACGTATTTTAGCAGATTGGATCATTTTGTCTTATCTCCTCAAATAATTGGTCAATTCATGAACCAAGGATATCCTCGTGTTCAGTTCACTCAGTGGTTTCCACTTGAACACGAAATTCATCAAATTTCAGACACCTGCAAATTCTCTATCATACCGAAATGGATTTAAAAATTGCCTTGTGACGTTCATGCGGCGCCGTAGTTTCCTCTCAAACTAAGTTCATCAAATTTCCAACCCCTAGAACTTCTCCACCCTGAACGCTGTAAGAAAACATAGCAGAGCTGAGGACAAATGGATTGCATTTTGCAACAAGGAACCAGAAGGAATCCAATGATGCTAAGAATGCGCATTTTCATCCTTTGCAATGAAATTACTGAAATAATGAAAAAATATGAAATTTACATGGTAATTTTTGTCTTAAATTTACAGGTTTTAGCGAGTAAGATAGGAACTGTCAATAGATAATCAGGTTTTTCTTCCAAGACAAAAAGAAGTTGCACAATCTTTGGAACATTGCAATGATCCTGGTTCCTTTTTGCAAAATGCAATCCAAATTATCAAGAAAATCCGGGTTGCAAGGCAACGTCTGAATGTTGATAGGACGTTCTGTCTTAGCAGAGCAGCGCTGCCCACCGCAATGTGTGTACACAACTACACACGGCGTCGCTTTGCCGTGTCAGGGAAGAGAGCCGTAAGTGCTGTCCGGAATGAGCCTCGAGGCACATAAGAGCATATGCTAACCGAGGCTCATACAGGAATCCATTTACGACTCTGTTCCGTAAGACGGCATCGCTGTGCAGTGAAACTCGAGAGGCGGTCTCGCGGGCAGCTCTGCAGTTCTGCACCCTCGCGCCTGCGCGCCCGCGAATCTCAGGCTACGTTTACGATCTTGCGGTTAGGTGAGCATTAAGCGCGGTTCAATTACGGCGTCATTGGGTTGAGGGGGGGGGGAATAGATCTCGCATGCTGCAGAGATTTGCGATACTGCGGGGACTCGGGAAAGGAGGAAAACAGATGGAGGAATACGGAGGAAGATTATAGAGAGGAAAAGTGGCTTTCAGAGGAATTTCTTAAACCGGCCCCTGACCGCTTCGCGATCCAACCCCCCGAGGCGCGAAGCGCTTGTATGATGTATAGTTTAAAATTTGCTCAAATTTTGATGGGGCTCTCGAATGCTAGAAATTATAGTACGAAAAACTTCTCTCGGTAACTTTTGCCCCTGTCCTCCTGTAAGGCCCTGTCTTCCAAGCCGCTCATTTCATGTATTTCCGAAATATATCACGATTTTATTTTCCCCTGTCTTCCAAGCCGCTCATTTCATGTATTTTCGAAGTATATCCCGATTTTATTTTCCCCTGTCTTCCAAGCCGCTCATTTCATGTATTTCCGAAATATATCACGATCTTATTTTCAACGAAATTCCGCCACCCTGGTGTAGTTCGGGAGAGTTATTAAGGTGGAAAGCCATCTCGGCGCGGCGGGTGGGGGCGGGTACCGGTGCCTTGTGCGACACTGCGCGCCGCGACGCGACCGGCGTGGCGCGGCGTGGAGCGGCGGCGCGGCGCGGTTTTGTCGTATAGCGGGAGCGGGCGCGGGCGCGAGCGAGCGGTGCGCGCGGTGCCTGGGCCTTGACCGAAGAAGTGATCTGTACCAGTGGGTCACTGCCCGTCGCCCCCCCCCCCCCCCCCCCCCCCCNGGACGCTGCTTGCTGACTTCTTCCGCCGCTCCCGCGAGCCGTCTTCCACTTCCACCTCCCGTTTCCTGTCTTGTAGATCCTCTGTCCCATGCGACAATGCCCACAGAGCACGCTGTGCATCTCATTAGAAAACTCCAGCAAGAAAAGGCCATTCTTCAAAGTCGGCATCACTGTTTTTCCTCAATCGGAGAAGTATATGGATTACATTTTGCAATAAGGAACCACTATCTCTGGTGCTCAAAAAAAGTACATACCTGCAAAGGGAAACCCATGGCATGTATGTTGTTTCTAAAATGGGCTAGAAATAGTGGTTCCTTATTGCAAAATGTAATCCATATATGGACGTATTCATGCTAAAAGGAACTATGTGCATTGGGTTTGCGTGCAACATAGTTCCTTTTAGCATAATGTCCATATGTCGAAGGCAGTTAGTTAAATAAGGAATTTTATCAAATGCCTAGGCCGGTAGTCAAATTTTGACAGTTTACGGAATTCTGAAAATTTAAGGCGAGGAATTCGCGGGTTTTCAATATTTTGATATGAATAACTCTTCAAATCAGCGAACTCTCCTTGTTCTTTCCTTTTCAAATGCCTCTCGCACTTCTAAATGTCGGAATTTTAAAAATTCTATGTTTTATGACTTGCTGAAAATTTCAAGATAAATGTGCGTTCAGAACGTAAAAGTCGTTTAAAATACTACTGAATGCTGCATATTTTTCAGAGAATTCTTTCTTACAAGAGCAACGAGATATTTTTTTCTAAAATTAGGGAAAAAATCTAAATTTCAAGCTAAGTAAGAATATTTGACTATTTGCCCAGGCATTTGACAAAATGCCTGATTTTACTATTTGCCTGCGACGTATACATTTCCATTAAAAGTATCGATTTTAGGCGAGGCGCCTCACCAAGAATCGATTGTTTAACGTACATTTAAAATGGAGGGAAAAACAGTGTTGCCAAATTTCAAGAATAGCAACTGTGTGTTTAAGAAGGGTATTCTGTCGTGGTATTGAAGGAAGCGATACTGTCGCGCTGAGGGAAAACATCAATTTTTTAGGAAATTTATGAATATTTTACCTCAAAATTTTCAAATACCGTAGATTGGACTGTGAGTAAATTCTCCGAAAAATTAGGAGAAAAATATGCACGAGTTTCCCTGCAAATTCGTTTTTTATCAAAGGAAATTTGGCAACACCTAAAGGCTAATACGACATTTTCCCCTAACTGTAGAATAACGTACCCAAATCGAGTCTCCTTCGAAATTCGTCAATTAATATTTAGGCGAACTCGCCGATTCAGCTCAAACTGCAAATTAGACTACATTTTGAATTTTGGAACTACTAGTTCTGGCTCATTTTGAAAACACACTACTTTACATTATTTTCCCTACTCAGCAGATAAGAGCTTTTACTAATGAGTCAGAAATTTTAGTTCTCAATTGCAAAATGGAGTCCAATTCGTCTCGTTTGTACATAAATGAGACCTACGAGAAGGCAGTAAATGCCTAAAAATTGACGCTGTTTCAGTCAAAACTGCAGTTAGTGCACACTTTTCTGCGAGAGGGCTGCCCTTGGACGAAAAAGGACGAACTCCGAAAATCTTAACGCCTGGATAAGACTATTCGTGCTCCAAAGTTGTCCGTGTTGCATATAGAGACAATTGAAGGCGTTTTGGCGTCTCGTGATAGACGCAACCGAGCGACGCGCACGCGACGCGACGTTGATTTCAACGCCTGGATACGATACGACTATTCGTGCTCCAAGGTTGTCCATGTTGCATATCGAGGAAGTTGAAGGCGTTTATTGGCTTCTCCTGTTCGTTCCTTCTTGCACGCAACGGCACTTCTCAATACGAACCATTTTTAACTCTTCTTTTTTTTTTTTTTTTTTTTAAGATTTACGCTGCCGGCTGACTTAACTCTGCATATTGCGCAATTTAGCTTCAGGAACTTAATTAAATCCAACCGTAACTCCACAAGAAACAAGACGCTACATACTGCTACTGATTACAGTCGGTTCACCGCATCTCTCCGAGGTCAATGGCCGCGGCAGATGACCGAATGCTTTTTGACTGTTTTGACCGTGTTGCTAGCTTTATGATTGGTCCATGCGTTAGCCAACCCGAGCCAATGTTGCTTGTTTACTTTTTTCTTCAACCTAACCTTGTTGCATCGGCACGGGCATTTGAATTTGACAACTGTACCCATAATTTGACTAAGTCATGCCACATGCATTCCTGTTTAAAATAATGTTTAGTGTTTTTTTATGTTTCTTCTGTAATATAATCGTATGTGATTTTTTCTGTGTACTCATCATGCCCCTTCATAATTCCCTGGAACCTTTAGTTGACTTTGTTCTTAGCCCTTCTAGAGAGAACGGTATTTTGGTAAGATTTGCTTTTGAAAAGAAAACATCGCGTCTATCAACGCAGTTAAATTTTTTACAATAGCATAGTGCTAGGTGTACCGACTTACTGATTTAATATGATTCTGAGTCTATTTTGTAATGGATTGGAATAAATGTAGGTAATGAATATGATCAAAGCTGAGCTCCATCCTTAACGAAGGCAATGGAGCAAGAAAATTCAATCAAAGTAGAGTCGCTTTAAGATTCGGTCATTTTGTCTCTGGCTGTTTCCATCTTGCCGATAAAGCTTGACGTGACATCACTTCAAATGTCCATCCAACTTCCCTGTATTGTGTTAGTATTACATGACAGTTCGTAACTCAATGAAATCGAAGAAAACACTGGACCGCAAGTCGGTTGTACAGATTGAGCTTCACACTGTCAGTTTGAACTGATGGTTTTTATTTTGTTTGTTTCAGATGTGGCTCTATTCAGATTACCAAATACAACAGCAGCATCTGGTAAGATTTATTTTTCAGTTTACGAACTATATCTTGCTTGATTTTCCGGAATCCTTTCAATCATGCTCTCTGCAGGTAGAGTTCGGAATAAGGACCGTTCCGAGACCAGAGCTATCTACGCACTGAACTTAACTCAAAGGGCCCTAAACTGAATTATGATACTAGTCAGAAAAAAGAATGTGCCACTTCTTATGGATCTACAAAATTATGTCTCATAGTGCAAGCTGTGCACCATCCAAACCCAGTGGCATGTGGTAAGATTGGCGAACGGAATAGGCAGGCTACAGGTCCACCATCTCGGACTCTTAGTTTGGGGAGGGAGGTTTAGTACCTCTCTTAGAACAGGAAAAGAGTGCAGCGAAAGGAGAGTAGCAGTGGCATGCATGGACAACTGCCCATCGGCGATGACTCAACTGTCTTGCGCCTGATTGAAGTGAGCTTGTATCTGGCATTGAATCACATATTCGCACGCATTTGCCTTATTTTAATGTGAAGACTACAATGAGTTTATTACTTGTAACATGATGGATGACTAGACAAGGTGCGAATGTAAGCATCATGATAGGTATATTTCTCACCACAATTTCATGCAGATCATGATTTGTGTAAAGAAAATTGTTGAAAGTAACTCCTAACCGAGATATAAACGGTTTTTTATGCATAAAATTCAAACTCTCGATGTCACAGGGCGGGGAACTTTGCTCGATTAAGAAATAGCCTCCTAAACCATTGTAAAGCGATATTTGATTCATGTAGACTTTGATTTTTCTTGTGAGCAGGAAATTTAATGTTTTTGTAACCAGTGTTAAGTAGAAACCTTATTCTCCTAGTTAGGAGTTAGTTTCAATCATTTTTGCTGTGTACTTCTAGATGTATGTGAAATTAAGAAGAGGAAACTTACATCAGAATGCTTAGATTCATACCTAGTCAAGTGGTCCATTGTCACATTTAAATCATCAACGCTTTGTAGCTTTTATTAATTAAAAAGTTTTGCTACAAAACTGAACAATTGCTTAATCCTAATCGCAACATCCAAAATGATTAATCAGCATCAAGTAACTGCAAAAATTTTATTTAGCTTTTAAGTAACTGCAACATTTTTACTCTCATGCAAATTCATACAATGATGTCTGATGACATAGTTTTACCATTCTTAAAATCTTGCTTTTATGTGTTCACCAGTCGAAATAACCGTGCACCCACTGAATAATTAATTCTTTCTTTAGATCTCTCTACAACATGTGCGCCGGGTATGTTTCGATGTCCAGAAGGCAAATGTATTCCACAGCTATGGGTCTGTAATTACCAGCGAGACTGCGAAAAAGGAGATGACGAGTTTCAGCAATGTCGTAAGTATTTATCCATACTGTTTCTCTCTTAAAACAAATTTCAAATAATGAAGATGAAAGAATCAGCATATGATCTGAGGCAGTTCATGGCAGATAGGGAAATGAAGATGTCAGAACCTAGTTGATGCAAGTCTAAATTTTGCTGAATTTTCTTGTCTTGTCAGACTGAACAATGGGCCTGTTGCAAACTTTTGCTAGAGCAAAAATAAGAGTTGTTTCTTATAGATAATGCCTCAAAAATCACGATGAGCGCATCGGCAAAGTCTGAAATGCACTCATAACTTCACAATCTGGGTAAGAAATTTGCGTTTTTTTAAGCTTCCCGCTTCAAAAACGATACTACGGCATAGGTGAACATTTTGTTAGAGGAGTTGCTCCATCGTCGGCGATATTCATCATGGCCGACGCTTGCACGCAGTTCCGCGCGTAATTCAAGGAGAGTTCAAGGTCAATCAATTCGGGCGTGGAAAATATGAACGTTAACACACCGATTGTTATCTGGTCTAATCCAGTTCAGGTGTTATCTCGTCCCATCAAACGTGTTTTGGCGGATTGGCGTCGGCTATGATGATTATTGCCGACAATGGAACGACTCCTCTTACAAAATGTTCACTTGTGCCGTAGTATCGTTTTTGAAGCGGGAAGCTCAAAAAACCGCAAATTTCTTACGCAGTTTGTGAAGTTATGAGTGCATTTCAGAGTTTGCCGATGCGCTCATCGTGATTTTTGAGGCATTATCTATAAGAAACAACTCTTAGTTTTGCTCTAGCAAAAGTTTGCAACAGGCCCATTGAAAACATGATTGACCTCTGTTAAGTAATCTTCAGTTTTCTGATCGTAGCCACTACTTAAGAGAGGTCTTATTAAGTCAAGTGTCTCACCAATGACACCATAGTTTTACATTTTATGTGCAAGCAAATCATGTTGAATGGCATTGAAGGCAGCTAAAGACATCAAGTCAGAATGAATTACTTGTGTAAAACTTCCCGCCCGGCAAAAAGTGGTTGCAAAAATGTTGTCACAACACCACTGCCAAAATTGATACTGAGCAGTTGTCAGGCGGGTTTTGTTCGTAATGTTTTCATGGAGGAGTTTTAGTTTATCAGTGATAGGGTTAATTCATACTGCCATTGAATAAAACTGTAATTCCTATCATTTAGTATTTAGTGTGCTCCTAAAATGAGGAGCAACTGCATTTCGAGAGCTATTTTGAAGTTGTTTGTCAACTGTATCCAGTACATTAATGGACTGACAACAAGCCTCTAGATTCGGTCTGAACTAGAGTAAAATTTTACTTGTTTTTTTTCTAGAAAAAAAATTTACACAGAATTTGATTCACACGATAGAAAGTTTGGGATTCAACTCATGAACAATTCAACAAGTATTTTTAACACAAATCAAATGAAAATTTGACTACACAAATGATGTTTTTTGTATTCTTGTTATTCAACCAATGTAACTCATATCTTTGTCAGGAGGTGATTTCCAAACTCTGTGTTGTACGTTTCATTTTCTTTGTAAAATTTCGGAAGGGAAACAACAAATTGCGTAGTGCTTTAATCCATACCCTGTCTAGAGGCCTATCGTCAACTAAGTACTCGGGTCCCTTCTTGTGTATGAAAAATACTGTGCTAATCTCAAGAGCTTTTGGGAATTTTCCCATTATTATGCTACTAATTATGCTATAAAAAATTGTGTTTATTTTCCTGGCAAACCTATGTCTGGTCATTATACAAACCCAGGTTTGCCAAGCGTCATTTTAGGCAAACCTTGGTCTTTCTTTCACCAATAATATGACTTTACTGCTTAGCTTTCTTTTACAGCTAGTATGACTACTAACTTTTTTATTACCTTGAATATGACTTTGCTGCTTAGCTTTTTTTAATGCTGAAGTGGCTAATTTATCCGAACCCTGAGGTCTACCTAGGAACGGTAGAAATAGTGTTGAAACAGAATTTGTTCAAATTTAAGAAGGGTTTAGCCGCATTTCAGTCTTGTTTGTTTCTTAATTTACTGATAATTCATCACAGCTCCTCCGGAATGTGACCCTGGCCAGCACACATGCCATCAATACCACTGGAACAAAACTTATTGTATTCCTCCACACCATAGGTGTGACATGACAGTAGACTGTGTTGACGGATCTGATGAAGCTGACTGCTGTAAGTATCTATGAAAAAAATATAGTTTTCATTCATGCTCCCATTTTGTAAATGTACAGAATAGAAAGTATCATCATCCAAAACTAAAACAAAAAAAAAATTTTTTAATGCACCTACCTTGATCGAAAAAATTCCCATATGAAAAAGTATGTTTTTTCTCTTTCATCGAATAAATCAGTGTGGTCTTACATCCGTAAAACAAATGTAAAATTCATCAAAAATTTGAATTCCCCCAGAACATTGGAAGTTTCACACTCATAGTGAGAAGATTTAAAGTCTTGGATAAGGCTGCAGGCGCATTTGTCGTCTTTGCTATAGCCTCGACGCATGAAACTTGACTTGTCGCAGTAGCCCCATCGCATGAGATTTGACTTGTTGCTGTAGCCCCATTGCATGAGATTTGACTTGTTGCTGTAGCCACATTGCATGAGATTTGATATGAAGGAAAAACATGATGAACTAGATTAGATGAAAACAACCACTTATCCTCCATAAAGATGCTGACAGTCAAAACTGGAGTAGCAGGTCAAAGCTACAGAACATGAAAGCTGCGGTTATGGTCAACACCTGCTACAAATGTCCTTTTCTAAGTCCCCACGCAGGTAACATGTATGCATTGTGACTGCCACCTCAGTTCAGTTGAGTCAAAGAATTACATCGCCAAAATTCCACAAAAATCAAAGGATTTAGTGGTAAATACTGAGAAAAATATCACTCTGACGGAAGGAGAAAAAAAGACAGTTTTTTCCCTCGATAGAAGGACTTGTAAACATCAGAAAGAAGGAATTCCTTTGGGCCTTTTTACGTTGATTAATGTCTTTCCCTAAAACTACCTTAGTTTTAGTTGATTCTAAAAACTTCATTGTAGCAAATTCTGTTGTAACTCCACTTCATATCCAGCTAGAATGATATTATTCATTTTCATGTGCAATTATGCGTTCAGCTCTCAATAAACTGAGGGATGAATTGCCCTATTTTTATCAATTTTAATTCCAGAAAATAATTTTTTGTGGAAGAAAAAACTGACTAAATTACTATCCTGAATCAATCCATTCCTACAAAAAAAAAAAGATTCAGTCAATTTTAAATTCCCCCAATAACAAATTACTTAAAATTTGTAAAATTCTAAATTAGTGTAAGATTTTTCACTGAAAAATGAATTAAGAAATCAAACATTGTTTGTTGAACACCACCGTTAAGAACAGCTTCCAAACTTATTTTTGTTTTCAGCTTACAGGAAATGCCAGAAAGAGGACTTTCGGTGCGAAGTCAATGGGGCTGGAATGTGCCTTCCAAAAGAGAAAGTGTGTGATGGTTACTTCGATTGTCGGAACAAAAGGGATGAAGAAAATTGCAACAGCACGCATGGTCTCTCCTGCTCTCTGGATCAATTTCGATGTGCCAATGGCCAGCGGTGTATAGATATCTTTCAAAAATGTAATCACAGGAATGATTGTGGGGACAACAGTGATGAAGAAGGATGTAGTAAGTATACTTTTTTCCTACAAAACTACATTACTAAAAAAATCATTGTCAGGACACACCTTGGAACAATTTTGAGAAACATATCAGAAACTCGAAAATCTTGAAAGAAATGAATATACTTAATGAGTTGAACTCAAAAATGCCAATGTCCCTGCTAAATTGAGCATTACTTCCCTGCTGGGATAATGCTCCAAAAGACTTTACAGGCTCATTGTTTTTCTTGTGCCAAAAACTATAAGAAACAAGTTCTAACATACAAATCCCCCTTGGGTTGAACTGACTGAATGTTTTGATAATCTTACCACTGGAATCATTAGCTCTTTGATTCGGTCGGTGAGCACTTAGTAGTTAGGAACATAAGAGTCATGGTTTTTATTTAAAAAAATTTGGGATTGATGTGGTCTTCTCTCTCATCACTAAGAATAACTATTAAGAAGGAAATAGACCAAGTCATTAGGCATTAGCTTTTCAAAATGTTTGAAATAATTGAATTTGCTTTCAGATTTCGCTGCATGTCATATCGGTCAATTTCGGTGCGCAAACGCTCTTTGCATACCTGCAAGTTACCACTGTGATGGGTATAGAGACTGCATAGATAACAGCGATGAAGTAAACTGCACAACTATTGCGTGTCCAAACAAGTTCCTTTGTCCACGTGGTGCCCCAGGTGGCAAACCTCGCTGCATTGCCAAGTCACAGCTGTGCGACGGGAAAAATGACTGTGAAGATGGAGCTGATGAGGAAACAGCTTGCTGTAAGTTCAATTCAGGATTTTAGATATAGTAAATTTATTTATTTATTAATTTTTCAAGCAATGCGTAAGTAAAATCTAAAATACTAGAACAAGAACATTAAACAATACAACAAGGCAATGGGTCAGTTGCGTTGGTTACAGAATCATGTTTTATTCAATTTTTTAATCAGAATTGAAAGCAGAATCTACCTTGAATTCTTTTACTCAAAAAACTTAACCAAAAGAATGAATAGGTCCTGCTAAAAGCACCGCAAATGAGTCGAGATTGTTGTTTTGCAAATATGTAAACCTTTGATTTCCTTTACAGTGAAATTTACTCTTGGACTTGGAATTTGCTCATAATGAAAGAAAAAAATCTAGGAAGTTAGAGCTTCCCTTTTCTATTCTTAATATTCGGACAGGAGGAGAGATTGTTGCCTTGTTTCAAACTCTTTAATTGATAAAAGTAAAGTCGCATGAATGCCGTCGTAGGAAGGACATAGACCTCTTTATGTAAATTTTCTCCATCATTTATCAAAACTATGATGTTTTTTTTTTCATTTCAAATAACTCACACAGTAGACACTAATTTGTATACGTTTGACTTTTCAGCGACGGCAAACTGCCCTGCTCTAAATTGTGAATACAAGTGTCAAGCATCACCAACTGGTGGCACATGTTATTGCCCCGAAGGCCGTAAGGTTTCAAACGACACTCGAACTTGCATCGGTAAGGGTACTCTTCTTGACAAACAATTTCTAGAATGATAAATTCATTCCTTCGATCCATCATTATGCATCTCCAAAAACTTACTTAAAAGTCAGGAATTAGAATGATATTTTTGGAATGTGACTATCCTCAAAAAAAGGGAGCTTAGTCCATAGACGGAGGCTAATTAGATTACATTATGCAATAAACTTAGGTAATTTTAGTCAAATTTTGAAATTTCCTGTAATTTTACTGGGTTGCATGAGCAGCCCCTGAAAAATGAATGAAACTTCATGGAAAATGAAAGTTCTCTTTTCAGCCAAATGAAATTTCATATTGCATCTCTGGTTATGATGGAGATCTGCACACAAAAATTGTATTGATTCATCTGACAATGAGAGTGCTTAATTAGCTCAATTTGCAGTATTTTTTACAGTTTATCTCTGACGTAGGTAATTTTAGAAAATTAGATTTATCAGGGAAAAAATTCTCCGCATTGTGATGTCATGGAGCAGCATTGCCCATTTAAATAAGTTTATTTAAGCAGATTAGGTCATTTTGTCGTATCTCCTTCAATAGTCGTTCAATTTTTAAACCAAGGATATCGTCGTTCTTATTTCACCCAGTAGTTTCTACTTAAACTAACAATTTTATCGAATTTCAGACAACCGCTAATTCTCTACTCAAGTTTGATGAATGGCCATCGATTTTTGACCATCGAAAAATATTATGCCCCGCCTTCTTAGGTGTGTCTACAAATGATTTTGAAATGACGCTTTCACTGGGTTGTATGCAAATGACTTCAAAATCGGACCTTCATCTGTTCAAAGTCAATGATTTTTCAAATAATTACTTTTTTTTCTTCCTTCCAGATCGCAATGAATGTGCTGAGTGGGGCTTCTGTGATCAACTTTGCCATAATACTCAAGGTTCCTATTCGTGTTCTTGTTACCCCGGTTATATACTAGAAAACCAAAAAAGTTGTATTGTAAATAATGCTACCTCACTGCCCTTCCAAATTTTTTTCGCCCACGATCGAATTGTTGAAAGTATGAACGCCAACGGAGCAAACAAGCAATTAGTTACCAACACAACCGCAGCCAGTGGACTCGACTTCCATTATGCAAAGAATATATTATTCTGGAGTGATACCAAAACTCGAAAAGTAAGTGGATATTACCTTTTAGACTGAATGCAAGAGAAAGTTTATTACCTATTAGGCAAAGAACATTGTCTCTAGGACCAGTCATTCATTAGGAAATGAAAAACTTTAGCAACTCATCAGGGAATCTGTTCCAAGAACGGAGAATCTCTTCTTCTGCGTCAGAGACCATTTCATTTTCGAATTTTGCTGAAATCTTAGGGACCTATTGTTAACCTGAGCCGCCATTACTGAGCTTTTGAATGACATGTGAATTCTCAAGTCATCTTAATAATGGAGAAGCTTTCATCAAAGCAATAAAATAAACATCAGGAACGCTTTCGGAATAAAAAATTTGAATGTGCGCCAAAAAATCGGTTGAAAAATGAAAAAATTTGACATTCATATCTGGAACTCTAACGTTTACCTCTTTTTGGCAGATTCGTAGAATGCCAGCCATTCATTCATCTAGATTATTTCCATTTTTCTGTTTTGTTTTATAGGTACATGCTCAGGTTCTATCTGAAAATAACCAAAATACCGCCCTTGGTGGTCCGACAAACGGCGAAATTACTTTACCTGGTACTTGGGCGCCATCAGCTCTTGCAGTGGATTGGATTGGTGACAAGTTGTACGTTGCGGATTCAGTTGGTCAAAAAATTGATGTTTTTGAGTTGGACGGGCACTGGCATGCAATAGTCATTGGTGCTAATCTGACTAACCCCACTGATATTTCATTGGATCCAACTGTTGGGTAAGAATTTCCTCTGCCAATTAGAATTTTGATAACTTTTTTTATTTTGGTCGGCTAAAAATTCACTCATTATGTCCCATTCTTGATACTTTTCTCCTGCTTTTCAGCACATTGTTCATTCGTTGTACAACTTCAAGAAAGTATTAAACCTTAAATTTGACAAAGAAGGGGTATCGATAAGGGCCTTTTTGAAATTTGGTGTACCCCCTAATAATAATGCTTGTTGAAAAATTTGCCTCCCTCACACTTTTTTTCTTCTTTTTTACAGATTCATGTTCATCACAGACAGCAGTCAACTTATCCGAGCTAATATGGATGGAGTCAATGTCAAAGTGATTGTTTCAGAAGCTGCATATAGAGCATCTGGGGTGGCAGTTGATATTTTGGCAAAAAGGGTATTTTGGTGCGATTCCCTTTTAGATTACATTGAAACAGTTGATTATAATGGACAAAATCGTTTTCTAGTCCTTAGAGGTAATGTTTTTCCGTAGTATGTGTCTAATTTTAGGTGATAAGACAATAAAAAAACAATCAGATTGAATTTCAACAAGCTTTATCAATAAAAGTGACAGAAAAAGAGGACCAAGTAAAAACGGAGCGATCCTATTTGTTGTAACAAATGGTTCTTATTGACTAAGAGGGAAAATGATGGATTAACTTTAAGGCCACTACCGTCAGTTAGCCGTCAGTTACCGTCAGTTAGTCTATTACTTACCTCTTTTGTCCACTGCAGCCATCTGCCTCCATCAATAGGATTGCTTCATTTTCTCTTTATGTTCTTTGTCCATAGCTTTGTCTATCAATTTTGATAATCAGCTTGTCGGTCATTTTTGATTCGAGGTATTAAACTAAATATATGAATATTCTAATGCATTTTTAAATTGTTTTTGAAGTAAGACGGTGGTCAACATCTTTGTCTTAAAAGTAAATACACACGTCAATAACTATCAACCCTACAATTTCAAAGGCAGTTCTTCTCTGCGTTTTTCACTCAAAAGAAATATGAAAACAGAATCAGAAACAAAAAGCGCAACCTCATTCACTTTTGCCTGGAACTTTATATCGTCCAAATACAATGCTGAGAACGGAAAAGGTTGCGCCTTTTTTTCTGAAGCAAGAGATGGATTGGTTAACACTTCCAAACATTATTGTGTAGTTTCATTTTGAAGAAATAATTCGAGTTCTTACTCTTCTCACAAAATATATTCCAGTTGCTAACTTTCGTTGGCCAAAAATGTTGGTGAAGCAGAATCATTTCAAAAGCCACATAATGTATCTTAGTCTGCAATAATCTGATCGTATGTCTGCAATAATGAGCCTCTATTTCTGGCTTATCCAAAAAAGCACCTATCTGTGCAAAGAAATTAGGAGCACGTATGTTGTTTCTAAAATTAGCCAGGAATAGTGGTTCCTTATTTCATAACGCAGTCCAGTTCCTGGTCAAAATATTAATGATCCTCTTTATATTTTGATTGCAGGATCATCAGTTCCATCTCCCTCAAGACTAGCAGTTTTTGAAAATCGAGTTTACTGGTCTGACGGAACAAAGCAAGGAATTATGAGCATCAATAAGTATGATTCATCCACCATCCACTCCATCTACAGGAATGCAAACGTTCGGGAGCCCAGAGCTGTGAAAATCGTTCATTCACTTATTCAGCGCCAAGGTATTTTACTTACAAGTCGTACACTTTTTTGCGCTCCTTGTATTCATACCCCGCTACTTTTTTTTTGGACCTTTGTTGCTGAGGCCTGACTCTGAAGATTAAAGGCTTTTAAAGTAATGAGTGGTTATGCCCTGAAAAGAACTCAAAAGAGTGATTTAGCGGTGCGGCGTGAAGAACACAAAGTTGGGGCGCTACGTTTTGTGGTGGAACCTTATATCTGTATATTAAGAAAAGTTGCTGTGTATGTAGTTTAGAATGTAATTAAGCTCCCAAACAAATTTTTAGGTGCTCCTTCCTATTTGAAATATATTGTTTTGTAGACATTCTTTTAAAAAATCATCTTGAGATTAAATCATAAAAGAATGTTTTAATTTTGCTTATTTAAACTGCCTCATGCAAGTCATTTTAATCAAAACCTCACTAAATTTTTTTCTTAATGATTCATCAAAGAGTGAATCATGACCTCACTCGCCTTTTTTTATGGTCATCTCAACTATGATGACAGAAATTTATTTGAACCGAAAAACGTTGCTCTTTCCACCGAGAAATATTGAGCTGTCACCTCTTTAAGTCACCTAATAACATTGGTTTTTCTTACAGCAACGAATCCATGTGGTTCAAATAACGGCAGGTGTGAACATATGTGTATTGTTACCGAAGGGAACAATGGAGAAGGCAGCCTAGGTTTCCGTTGTGCCTGTAATATCGGTTATCAGCTAGCCAGTGATTTACATTCCTGTCACCGTAAGTTTTTCTACTTGCCTCCGATCACCTTTTATGTTTTTTAAACATCTATTGAAATCGATTATTGTAGAATAAAATTAGATAAATAAATGTTGATTAAAGCAATGAACAAACTAAGCAATTTTATTTTCCTGAAAATACTGTTTTTAAGTTTAAATTTTAGTATTTGAGACCATTTAGAACCATTTTGAGAAAACTCAAATTTTCAGATCTTCAGTAAGACTTTCTGTAAGATACTCTACAAAATTTTTAGCTTGGTTACTGAAAAGGATAAAACCGCTAAGTATTGACTGTCGGCCATTTCAAGTCATGTAGCTCTATTTTTGTAAGATTTATTCAAATTATGAACGGAAGTGTAATTATGCTGCTCTTCTTTAAAAAATGTAGAGGATAAAATTCTGAATTATTTAGTAGTTGTCTTTGTGCCGAAAGCAACCCAGACTCAGTGATTTTTCAATAATCTTTCCCTGACACATTTGGTGAAAACTTGGGAAGACTTAATTTCATCCAAAAAGAAGTACACGTTCTTTTCAGTAATATCTCCTTTTTAGAGTATTATTTTTACCGTGAACATAGGTTCAGAAAAAGAGACCTCATCTGAAACAAGCATCTCAGCCAAGAGTAGAATCAAATTTTCTAGAATAGTTTCTCAATCTTGCAACTTTGTTTTTCTCACTTTTTAAACTTTTTGTTTAGGTGTGGAAAAGTTTTTATTGTACTCGCAGCAACGGTTTATCAAAGGTCAAGTGTTGAACCCGATTGTAGAACAATTTAATGATGCCATGCTCCCTGTAGTCTCAAGGAGAGCTCGATTTGTCGGTCTTGACTTCGATGCTCAAGATAATGAAATCTATTATTCAGATGTTCTCCAAGACGTAATTTACAGGATCAACAGGAATGGAACTGGTTAGCTTTTTTTCTCATTTTGTCATTTTAAAAGTTGGGCTGCCGTTGTATTAATTTTAAATCTATCTTTAAATTTTGTGATTTACAATCAAGTTTTTTTTTTTTTTTTTTTCATATTTGAATCAAAACTTAGCATTTAAGTGTGTGAAGCTATTTCAAGTCCCTTTTTGTTCTGTTTCCCTCTCCCCTCTTCCCCCTCCCAAAAGAAGGAAACATGTTTTACTCAAGAAATATTAAACAAAAAGAAACCGACATTTCATCTATGGATAAACTAGATCTGCATCTGTCTCGCACATGTCTCCTTCCTTAGTACCCTTGGTTTTTTTTTTGCCAAATGAAATTTCCACATATTTTGTGGCCAAAAATTGGTATTCATTACCCTCCCTGTAAGCATGGAATATGGAAAGAAACCAGCAATAGGATAGAAATTATTGCAAGCAAATGTAAAATGATAATGCTTGAAATCCGACCCTGTTTAATGGTCCATCAAAAGGATAGAAAAAAATAGTCTCATTTTTTTGTAACCATGTGTCTGTATATTATTTTTTTTCTGGAATTTGTAATGTCACGATACTATACTTTTTTCAAATTTTCCAGGCCGAGAAATTGTCCTTGCCTCGCAAAATGAAGGAGTTGAAGGTTTAGCCGTTGATTGGGTTGCAAAAAATTTATACTACATCGACAGCAGAAAAGGAACGCTTAATGTCCTAAGCACAAGGAATGTCAGTTACAAACGAACTTTGTTGAAAAATTTGAAAAGGCCCAGAGCCATCGTTGTTCACCCAAACAAAGGGTTAGTTTTTCTTTTTTCCATTTTTTCTTTTGACTCTCCTATCATTCTTTTTCAACAGATGCCGAGGCAGATATCAAATTAAATGTAGGATAAAACTTCATTCAAATTTTATTTTAATCGTCTCTTTTTCACTTCGACAGAATTTTTACCTAACAACTTTTTTGCATTATTTTCATTTTCTGGATTTAAAGGTTTCTTAAGAATTTTTAAACCAAGAGGAAACAACTTTTTTGACTCTGATTCCAAAGGATGAATTTGACTGCACTTTGCAATAAAAAACCAAAATTTTCAACCCACCCATAAAAGCACCTATCTGCGCAGGGAAACTTACAACGCATACGCTGATTCTAACATAAGCCAGAAATTGTAGTTTTTCATTGGAAAATGCAGGCTAATTGAAGCTCCGTCTGCAGCATTTTTGGAAATCTGAAACAATTGTGGGATCAGTGACCCATATCAAGAACATGAACATGGAAATGATAACTTTCATAGACTCGATTAGCAACTTTCTCCAAGCAGTCTTGAGAGTATTAATTTTCAATTTTTTGAAATCTGGTAATTCAATTCTTGAAATCATACATGCTAGCATTATTTTTCTACAACCCTGTATTTAGAACCTAAAACTTCTTAGGATCTTAAGATTTCTAATCGAGAAAATGTTTCATTTTTGTCGTGTTTTTTGTTAGTTATCTAAATTGATCCAATTTACTCACAAAATCCACCCCTCTTTTGTCTTCTCACAAATAATTAGGTATGTATTCTTCTCCGAGTGGGATCGACCAGCCAACATCAGTCGAGCACATACTGATGGGACACACGTCCACGTTTTCAAGAATGTCACTTTGGGTTGGCCGAACGGTCTCGCCATCGACTTCCAAGCAGATCGTCTTTATTGGTGTGACGCTCTCCTCGATCATGTTCAGCACTCCAACTTGGACGGAACAGACGTTCGCACCATCAGCTCACATCTTATTCGCCATCCATTTTCCATTGTTCTCCATGAAGGTACCTTCTCAGTTGGTTTTTATTTTCATATTGTTTTTTAAAATGAATGAATGAATGAATGAAAGTCTTCCTAATGAAGACGCTGGGTGAAAGAAAGGCGAGAATGTTGCATTGTAGGCATCATATGTACTGGAGGCTGCTAATAGTTACCTATTTGAATGACACAATTTATCTAGCCCCGCAATAAATTTAGATGAAATCGTGAACTTATTGACAGATATTGTTTTTAGATATTAGGTTTCTACGATGTCAGTTAAATTTTTTTCTACTTTTCGTACATGAAACAATAGGATGGTCATGACTATCTCCAAAATCAAATTGAAGCTTGTCCATTTTATTACTTAGTAGTGAACAAATCGCAATTCCATTTTGAAATAGATTTTATTTTGGGGAGCCTCACTAGAGAATGAGAGGAGATTGCGATTTCACAACTGTAGTACTTTATCATCATCATTCTCCTGTCATTCAGGCACATTTGAAATTCTTTGTAGTTTTTGGATTTTCCTAAAGCAGTTTTCGCCAGGGATCTTGGCCCAAAAAATACATAGTAAATCACTGCATTATCTACTCACCTTGAAATTTCAGAATGCCAAATAAAAAAAAGGGTTAGCAACCCATTGTTGCTTTTGGTAGTCACTCAGCAGGGTGTCTAGCATCAGGATTTTCCCGATTCTATCAGAATTTGAGGTCAATCGGGATTTAATCCCGATTTTATTAGAATTTGAGGAAAAATCGGTCGTAAAATCAGAATTTGAGGAAAGGCGGTTGTCCGCTTATTTTCCATTAACTATCCGACATCTGTTCATTAAATTCTCTCCGCAAATAATCAAGATTTGATCAGGATTTGGGAAAATGATTAAATCAGGATTTAGCAGTCAAAAATCAGGATTTCCCTACATGACAAAAAGCTAGACACCCTGCATAGCTGATTGTTAATTTGAAGTCAAGTTGAAACTTAAATGTTGCTTTTATTCATTTCAGATTGGATGTACATAACTGACTGGAGGCTCGACTCTATCATCAGGTTGAACAAATTGACTGGAGATAAAGAAGAGGTGATTTTGAAGGAGCCGCAGAGTAACAACAACAGACTGTATGGTGTTAAAGTGTACAGCAAGCAGGAGCAAAGGGTCAATCCAAGCCATCCTTGTTACAATGGTAATGGTGGCTGCCAAAAATTGTGTTTCGGAACGCCCTCCGGCGAAAATGGTGCCCTCCAGGTAATCATGAGATCTTTATTTATCGATCAAAGTTTGAGCAATCTTCCGATGATGCTATGTAAGCTCTACATTTTTTGTTTTTGAGTAATTTCAGTTTCTGACAAAAATATTAGCATTCGTAATTTTTAATTTGACAAAACATTCATGAAGCTGCTTAAAGGTAGCTACTGCATAGTTCAAACTTAAGGGCAGCTCTTTTTAAAGAATAAAATTCAGTTGTGTAGAAACCTCCCGATCTAACGATCATGGTCTTGTGGATAATTGTGTGAAAAAAGTGGAAGGCTGTAAAAATTTATCTAGACCCACTTCTGCTGTATATTTTTTTAAGGACAATGAATTCGGAAGTTGAGTATTCTGCGTTATCAAAATTTGTTTCAATAATGAAAGATTTTGCCTGACCGGAACTTCTGATTGTCAAGAAATCAAGATTCCATTTATTAAAATCCTACTTTCTGATTTCAGAGTCATTGCGGTTGTCCTTATGGTGAAAAATTGGACCCCTCCTCCGATTACAAACAATGTATTGCTGATCCGAATGCCGAACCACCAGTTGCAGCTTGTCCAAATAAATGGGACTTCACTTGCAACAATCAGCGTTGTATTCCAAAAGCTTGGGTTTGCGATGGTGATGATGATTGCCTGGATAATTCTGATGAAGAACAAAATTGCACAAGTGAGTCTGAAAAACTGAGGAAACAAACTTTTTTCAACATTAGGAATAAATCATCCATAACAGTATGTAGATCAGTATTAATTGCAATAGCGAAAATGAGGACATTCACTTTGAAAAGCATTATCAGTTAGACCCACAATTCTCAAAAAACATTAACTTGATTTTGACGATGATATCAGTACCAAAAATTATTAAAATATTCTGAGAATGATCCAAAAAAAGTAATTTCCACACAATTGTGGCATAGAATCGATTAAATACATATCATAGATGTTGTAAATTTTAGAAACTTATGAGAGTTAGCAGAAACTCCAAATATTTTGTATTGAATACATTGATGAGTGTACAAATTTTATTTACCCGAATTCGCAGCTATGTATAAAACCAAGACTAATAATACCGAAGAATATCCATTTCACACAGCTCAAACAGCAGACAATCTGTGTGGAAGGCAGAGTGTCTTGCTCACTCATTGCCTGCAATACTCATATTAATGCTTTGCAATTGATAAAATATTCTTCCAGAACCCACCTGCTCATCAAGCGAGTTCCAATGTGCTAGCGGCCGCTGTGTCCCAGCTACATTCAAATGTGACGCTGAAAATGACTGTGGAGATTATTCAGATGAAACCGGTTGTGTCAATGTCACTTGCTCTCTCTCACAGTTTCGTTGTGACAATGGACGATGTGTCCCTGCCACCTGGAAATGCGACTCTGAGAATGATTGCGGTGATGGCTCAGACGAAGGCGATTTCTGTGCCGAAAAAACATGTGCATATTTCCAGGTATAACTTTCTGTCTGTTTGGTTGTTAGAATGAATCTAGAAATTATCAGAACTAATTTTATAAGAAAAACTGAGCAAAGGAAATTGGGAATAAATGCAACTTCTTCCAAACTATGCAAATTCACCAGCCACATTTGATACCCCCAGAGGGCCGTTGAATAACAGGATGATAAATTGTAGACCCTAGAACCTTTTCTTTTTTGATCCTCTTCTTGCTTGTTTTAGCATTACTTAGATGGTATGATAGTTTAACTACACATCTTCATTTAAACTAGTACTGATCTCGAACATCTCATTCAGGGTTGCCGCAGTCAAGAAATATCAGTAAAACTGCGCAGTGTCAGGGAAAATCTGGAAATGTGAGGGAAAATCATGAAAGTTTCCAAGAAATATTTTAAGTCAATTTTATTTGATTTTTAGAATGGGTTTGACGTTTCAACTAACAAATTTTGCCGGAAAACCATTTCAAAATAAGTCTTTTTAACCATATGGTCTATCTTCAGTTGTCAGGGAATTTCCCCAAAATGTGTAAGCGTATTTTATTTTCTAAATTCTGTTGCAACCCTGCTCGTTGTTTGGAAAAAAAAATTTGCAGGAGAATACTTATCGATTTTCTCCTTTAAATGTTCTCTGTTGACCCGTTTTATTATTTAAGTACCTTCTAGGCCAAGGAAACATGTGATAAAAATATTTTACAACGACTTATGTTAGCTCTATATCAGTGTAGGTAGTGTTTCGACGGTGTGGCAATGCAATGAAATCATTCGTGAAGAAAATAAATGCTGCTCAATTTTGTAGGTAGTACATGTTATTTAAAGTAGATTTGACCCTTGTTTTCTTAACTCATATCAAATTTTGCAGTACACATGTCCGCGATCAGGACACTGCATTCCGCAATCATGGGTATGTGATGGTGACAACGACTGTTTTGACAATCAAGATGAAGAAGGATGCCCTCCAATAATGTGCACAGCCTCTCAGTTCAAATGTGCAGATTTGCGACAGTGTATCCAAGAAACGTACAAATGCGATGGCATTTTGGATTGTAACGATGGCAGTGATGAACTTGGCTGTCGTAAGTATAACAATCCATTGAACACTTTTTCCCTTCTATTCTCTTGATCTCTTCAAGCATGTAATAATCCATTAATCAGTAATTTTTTTCAGATATTCTAAGCAAAAATTGCCAAAGTAGGGTAAAAAGGGAGGAACATATCATTTTGAGGATTTAAGACAGACACAAGAAAAATGGGCAACAAAGGCTGAAATAAACGTTAAACTGCCCATGGTCTATGAAAAAATGAATAAAATAGGAGCCTGATGAGTTCATCTGAAAAGTTAAACATTTTTAAACAAATTTGAGCGTGACCAAGAAAATCAACTCGAGAAGTCCTGTTCGTTAAAGTAAAACCTTGCCATTCATATCAATAGCGAATCATACCACTCAAAATAGTTGTATCGCTTTTAAGGAGATCTGTGTTTCAACCTTAAAACTGAAAGATTCAGGTAAAAAATAGGTCAGGGTTTAATATGCTAATTTTGTGCTCCTCTTTCTGGTTTTTTGCTCCTTGTACGCACCTGAATTTTTGTTTGTATCAGTATTTCACCAGTATTTTTCATCTCTTTTTTTCAGCTACTCTTGCTCCAAATCAATGCGACAGTGAAAAGCAGTTCCAGTGTGTCAAATCAGGAATTTGTATACCGAAAGCTTGGCACTGTGACGGTACGGCAGATTGTGATGATGACTCAGATGAGCCAAAATCATGTGGAGAGGTAATTGCCTCTCTCTCAAATTTTCAGTTTATCTCATTATTCAGTTGCATATTTAGTACCCATGATGACAATTTAAAGAATTTTCTCCTCGAGGAAAATGGATAAATTACGAATTCATAAGTTCAAGTGTCCATGCGGGACAGCAATTTTCTCTTTTCATAGTTGTCTGTAGACCAAAATATATCCAAAAGTATTGAAAAGGATGCGTAGTTATGGGCATCATCTGATCTCCAAGCATGAGTACGGCTAATTGAATCAAGTCCTGCAAAGGTTGTTACGTCCATTTTTGAGTTTTTTTGGATTTATATGCATTTTGAAATCTTTTTCTATTCTTTTTTCAACCTTATATTTATTTTTTCATTAGATTGCATGCCAGCAAGGATACTTCAAATGCAACAACTCACAGTGTGTATTCAAAGCCTACATTTGCGATGGTAGAGACGACTGCGGAGATGGCTCAGACGAAGACTTCAGACATGCTTGTGGCGCTCCACCATTCAGGTAATGTTACTCTTCGCTTTGTAAATCAGCTCTTTTTTTCAGTTTTAAATAACCACTGCAGTAGACCCTATTAGAGATAAGTTTACTCTTTTCATCTGCTTGTACCTGTAGCATTTATAGTACGTATGCAAGCAGGTGAAGAAGGTAAAATCATCTGAATCATCTGGTTTTCAGTTGCACTCAGTAGAATTTAATTGGATTTTTATTTTTTCTTCTCTCTCTGAGAGAGACTAAAACAGTTTTGTTCAGTTGGACTGCCTTTTATGGTGTTGTGATATTGTGAGAAAATCTAAACTTTCCTTTTTCAGTTATACTTTCTTCATGTTTCTAGAACATAAAAATGAATCTCACTTTGTACACAAGAAAAAATTGAGAAGGAGGAGATTTTTCATTTCAGGGGTGCAGAAAGTTCCAAAAAGCTGACTGTTTGCCTCCATTTCGCTTTTACCTAACGGCATATTTTCGATTTGCCTAGCTACCTAACGGCCAATACAATGGAAAAATCCTGATGTCCCTGCATAATGCATGATTTCATCTCACTTTACATAAGTTTTGAGCAAAGAAAAAAGAAGGTTAACACGGTCGAAAATTGCCTCTTGGCCCAAGCTTTGCTTCTAGTTTGCTGTGATCCAAGGATTACAAGAGTTTTACAGGCATTTTCTTCTGCCTTAGTTAATTTCTCACAATATCAGCGAATTTCAATAAATGTATTTGCCCAAATGGGCCTGTTGCAAACTTTTGCTAGAGCAAAAGTAAGAGTTGTTCCTTACAGATAATGCTTCAAAAATCACGATGAGTGCATCAGCAAAGTCTGAAATGCACTCATAACTTCACAATCTGCCCAAGAAATTTGCGGTTTTTTGAGCTTCCCGCTTCGAAAACGATACTACGGTACAGGTGAACATTTTGTTAGAGGAGTCGTTCCATTGGCGGCAATACTCATCATGGCCGACGCCAGTCCGCCGAAACACCTGTGATGGGACAAGATAACATCTGAACAGGATTAAACCAGATAACAATCGGCGTGTTTACGTTTATATTTTCCTCGCCCACCTTAATTGATCTTGAACTCTCCTCGAATTACTTGCGGAACTGCGCAAGCGTCGGCCATGATGAATATTGCCGAAGATGGAGGGACTCATCTAACAAAATGTTCACCTGTGCAGTAGTATCGTTTTTGAAGCGGGAAGCTCAAAATAACGCAAATTTCTTACGCAGATTGTGAATTTATGAGTGCATTTCAGACTTTGCCGATGCGCTCATCGTGATTTTTGAGGCATCATCTATAGGAAACAACTCTTCATTCTGCTCTAGCAAAAGTTTGCAACAGGCCCATTTGATTTATCTCGTTCAGTATTCATTTATTTACTAAAGTTGTTTGTCTCTGCAATTTCAGATGTGGCTCTGGAGAATGGCAATGTCCAGAAGTGACGGAAAGGTGTATAAATGTATCGAAAATTTGTGATGGAACCCCGGATTGCCCCAACGGTGCCGACGAAGGTCCTGGATGTGATCTAGACGATTGCTCTAAAAAGCATTATCATGGCTTGTGCTCGGAAAATTGTACTCAAACTCCCACGGTTAGTATTTAAATGCACCTCCTTTAGCCTCTACAACTTCGATGCTTGTAAGACAAGAATGTCATGCGTCACTTATGATAAATTTCATTTTCAACAATCAATGTAAAATCAGGATATTTTAGGTTTTGGGTGCAGAAAGGGCGCTTCTTGGTTGAATCTCGACTGTTAATTTATGGTGGTGCAGAACCGTTTGATAATATTCTGCAATTTTTTGTTCAGAGCATTGTAAAATCATACAGAATACCCAGTAACGGTTCCGACAAATTACACAATTCGCTTTGATCATAATGGTTGAAAGGTCAGCAGAGATTTTGAGGCATTGCAACTGATAAGTGCCCCTTCTGCTGCCAGCGCTTCATTCATGAAAATGCTTAGTAATTGCTTTTTCTAAGAGTTGTGATAGTTAAAATACCATTTTATGAAACGCATGCGTTTGATTCCTTCTGATCTTTGTTGCTGGATGAGGGTTAGGTAAGAATTCGAGGTCTGATTAACATGAAGAAAATTCTGAAAACTTTCCACTTTCCTTGGTCTCAGGAACTTCGAGACCTTTTTCTCTTTAACAAGTTTGGATGTATGATTTATGAGCAAACACTCATACATAATGCTTTTTAATTTGTATTTTTCTGAATTTATCTTATTGTTATCGTAACTTTCATTTTTCAGGGTCCCTTGTGCACATGTCCTCCAGGAGAAGTCTTAACAAATGATTCTCGAACTTGTGCTGATCTTAATGAGTGCGAGCCACCTGGCGCTTGTTCTCAGCATTGTATCAACATCAAAAGGAGTTTCTTCTGCACTTGCAGTCAAGGATATGTACTTGAAGCGGACAAACACACTTGCAAAGCTATTAGTAAGTCTTTTCTCTCCTCCACTCGGTGGATCCAGTCCTATCTTTTACCCATGGTGTCTTGGATTTGGGAAACGTGGGAATGAAAGTTAAAAAATTTATGCACCAGCCCCTTCTGGAAGGAAAAACCGACAATAAGAGGCATAAAGACTATCAACATCAGTGCGGTTATTACAAGATCTGTCTCTGCTCTACCGGATGTTAATCATTCCGAGAAGACGCAGCAATGAAAAGTAGGGCACTACCTACCCTAAATTATTCTGCTGTGTCTCAAAAAACTTTTCTCTGAGGAATCATGAGGTTTTTTCAGTCAGACTTGTCTTTAATCGCTCATCAGTGCATATAAAAATTGTATCGCAGTACAGGAAATGTAAAGTTTTTTCGTGTGCATTTCAGATCACACTGCTGCCTTTCTGATCATCTCCAATCGCCACTCAATATTGGTTGCGGATCTAAAAGAACAAGGTTTAGAAAGAGTCCCTATTATTGTGGAAAATGTTGTTGCAACTGCCTCGAATATGCACACTGGAACGATATTCTGGTCTGACATGAAGCTAAAAAAGATCTCTCGGCTAGATCGAGGAAGCGAACCTCAAGATGTAAGTATTCGCAACCCTTTAACTTGACTATTTTTGTTACTTCTAATGGAAAATATGTAACTGCAAACTGCAAAAATTTTCGGATTAGGCGTCATGAAGAAAGCTTTATTAAGAAGCAAGTTAATGGTGAATTAAGAGAAATGTGTATCTTGATTATCGTGTTCCTTAATTCCTGCTCATTTTTTTGTCTTTTTTTCTGAAAACAGTCAAGATATTAAAACACCTCTTGAAAGTTTATTCATTTATTTACATGCATTTTATTAATTTCATACATATTGGCCATGGTATTTTTTTTTCCTGAAAACAGTCAAGGTATTAAAACATATCTTGAAAGTTTATTCATTTATTTACATGCATTTTATTAATTTTTTACATATTGGCCATGGTACAAGTCTCGAAAACTGACAAAAAACATGGCTCACTTTTAATATAAACTATAAAAATTGTTGACAACTTGGACTTTAGTTACTCCTCAACAGTGTAAAAGCAGTCATCTGTCATAAGTCTTTGGATTGTTATTAAAAATATATTCTCAGTTCCAGATTCCTTAATGTTTGTGGGTAAATTGTTTTACAGCTTTCCATCTATTACACATGGGACCCATTTAACTAGATTTTTTTTTTTCTTCTCAAGTTGGTTATCATTTTTGTACACGGTGTTGTTTCCTCATTTTGTATGAAACAAACTTAACATAACTGAAAAATAAGTAGAAATTTATTGCGAAAATAACAAATAGAGCTATTCCAGGTAATCATGTCAGGATTGGACCTGGTGGAAGGCTTAGCATATGATTGGATCGCTGGCCATCTTTACTGGTTGGACTCACGTCTCAACACTGTTGAAGTGGCAACGGAAAACGGAACCAATCGAATAGTTTTGCTGAAAGAAAATATCACTCAACCCCGCGGAATGATGCTGGATCCCAGTCCTGGGGCTCGATGGTTGTTCTGGACTGATTGGGGAGAAAACCCACGCATTGAGCGAGTAGGCATGGACGGAACCAACAGATCCACAATTATTAGCACTAAAATCTACTGGCCCAACGGTCTGACCCTTGATATTGCAAATCAGCGGGTTTACTTTGCGGATTCGAAGCTGGATTTCATCGATTTTTGTAACTATGATGGTACAGGACGTCAGCAAGTTGTTGCCGGTAGCCACTACCTCCTCCATCCACACTCTTTAACATTGTTTGAGGATACTCTATATTGGACTGATCGTCAGTTGAACAGGGTACGTTTAAAAAGTTTTGAATGCAGTTAAAAACAGCCATTTTTTGTCTTCACTAAACAAAGTGGAGCTTGCTTTGACCAAATATGCATTTATCATGAAGAAATTATGAGGACAAGTGCAAAAATTAGCAGTTGTTAATGAAGATACGTATTATTATCTTGAAGCAAAAGGGTTGTAAACTTTTGAAAAAAATTGAGTTTTTTGCATTCTTAATATCGGAGGGGCTCTATTTTTTTCTTTTTTTGAAAATATTACTTGTAAAATGATTTATAAAAGATGAATTTTTGGACATCTTTCAGGGGACAGATATTATCTCCTTTTAAAAAGAATGAACCTACCTTCTCCAAACAGTAGCAACGTAAGGGGAGATCTTGTACCTAGATCACATAGATAGAATCATTGAAGGGAAAATATCAACAACTTTTTTAAAATTATTAATATTTTTCAAGGGCAAATTTGCATTATTTAGATGCTCAAGAAGCATTCTTCCTTAGCTTAACAGAATAGATTGAAATTCAGTAGCATCTATCTTTTTCAGCCCATGAATTTGAATCTGAATGTCGCTAATCAGCACTAATTTCTTTAAATAATAACTGTGATTCTAGACTGCCTAATGTGACCCTTCAGTAGCAACTCTTTGATGATCACATTCCAGTTTCGTAACATTAGTAAAATACTGTCCCACATCTGTATTTTAATCGTTAATATGTCGTCTATTTGCCTTACAGGTACTATCTGCCCATAAGTTCAGAGGAAAAAATCAAACAGTGGTTTCCCATTTAATATCGCAACCCTTAAGCATTCATGTTCATCATGCCGTACTACAACCTATCTCCAAAAATCCATGTCTGTCGGCCACATGCGAACAACTTTGTCTATTATCACCGTCCTCGGCGACTGGTTACACTTGTAAATGTCAAGCAGGCTACAAGATCACCAACGATGGCAAATGTGTCGAAGGTAATGGCAATTTTTTAAGTGAACCTCATAACAGTGCTATCTCATGGTTGTACTACATAGTTATCAAAACCAATAAAAAATCTACCTCCAAAGACTCAAAAATCAGAAAATTATTCTTCAAAGTATATCTTTAAAATTGTTTGGCATCAACAAAGAGAAAACAAGAGTCCGCATTGCATTACAAAAGTGCGTGGTCGCCCGACGCCCCGCCCACTTACTTTTCAGCCAATCAGACACCCGACGACCAAATTTTTATTTCTTATGGGAAATAACATGGGAAATCGAAACTATGAGTTTCATTCAAATTCAGTCAGTTTAATGGCAAAAATATGTTCACGACTGGATTCTCGGTATTCTGGCGTTTCTATTGGTATGTAATATGTTTCACTTTCCTCCAAAAACATCGAAGATTTTGATTTTTGAAATTTCAATTTCCACTCGGGTTGCTCCAGTCCAGTCCAGTTTCCAGTCGAACGTCGAAGGCATGGGCATGCATCTCACGTTGACGATCAATTATTGAAGATCATTGTTATTGTTTCGCACTTTTGATTAATATCGTTCAAAAGATTTCTCTGATCATATTATTAAAAACACTTTTTTCCTACGGATTCTGAAAGTTTATTGTGTTGACTTTCTGAGTGTCAGACCGCTCACAGTGAGTGTTAATTTTCTGCAGTAGAACGGTGTCAGTGTTGTTACTATTTTCAATCCGAACGATGCTTGTACTTTAAAGTGTTTTGAAGCCTTATTTGTATCTCTGTGCATCATCTCCAGCCTGTTTTTATTTAAAATCGAAAACCTGGGATAAGCTAATCTGCAGGGAAAAGTCCGAAAGGTTGCACGGAGGTCCATATTTGTGTCAAGCACAAGTGTAAATTCCTTTGAAAAATGACCATCTTTGTGATAATGTAATGAAACTATGCAATTAAGTATGCAGAGAATAGTCAGGTAGAAGATTTACCATCTCTCTGAACTTGAGATTATGTCCTAAAACCATAAACTACACCGAATGCGGTGCAGTGTTGTATCAATCTAATTTTTTGCATTCTTCTTGGCAAACTCTGTTCTCCTGTCCTATGTTCACGGCTCTGTGTGGTATTTACTAAATTTTTTAAAGCAACTTCACCCAAAGTGCGCACTATTCCTGATAGACACAATAGTGGTAGTGTACTATTCATGTGATTTACACCCACCATTCAAGCCCGTGTCAGTGAGAAGGGATATCTACATACCTACACAGTTTTTAATCTGCTCTACCGCGTTTTCCATTCGTATTTATGAACTGTCTCCTTTCTGCTTTGAAGTCTGATTGCTACACAAAATAATGCTATTGGTCTACCCGTAGCTTATTTGTAATAGTCAGTCTCAAAGAATTTTCAACGGCACGGATCATCTGGAATTTTATGGATGCCTAATTCCTCCACCATCTCTTCAGTTTGAATATTTGTTATGTCAAGAAATGGAAAGGTAAGCAGGGATATAAATACTTTAAGGTACTCTTCTAGGAACTAATAAGCAAAATGTCTGTGCTTAGGGAAATTCTATCGAATCCTACTAGTTACTCAGCTGAAGATGGAGAACAGTTTTCTGTGGAGTCATCATCAACAAAATTGGGTCTAATGTAAATCAGCATGACCTGGTGTCTCTGTCGATTCATCAGGAATAAATTTTCAGTTTAAGAACTTCTGCAGGCCTCATGACATGTGAGGAAGTTTGGATTGTTATGGTTCTAAGTAATGGAGGAAGCTGGTATTGTTTTAAAAAAAGTATCATTTCTCAACAAGGGCATTCTCTACTTAAGTATCTCGATCGATCAATTTATGCAAAATTGTTACTGATTGCTTATATGAACTGGGCCTATTAAGTAGGGACCAACATCTTTAATCATTCTAAAAAACAACAGTATTGAGTAAATATCCAAGCATAAATATCCTCATTCCCAATTCTCTTTGTCCGTCTGCATATCAAGCACAGCCACAGCAAGGGTTAAAAGACAATCTGAAATTCATTCTGAATCCCTTTCTTTCCATCAGCGCTAAGAAGGATGCAAAATATGGTCAACCTCATCAGATTCAAACTTTGATTACTATAGGATACCTTTTCCAAAGATTAGGAACTATACTTATTCGTCACCACAAAAGTATCTTATTTAAATTCAGAAGTCTTCGATTAGTTTTGACTTTTCAGAAATCACAGAATTCCAAAAAATCTACTACTTAGGTACTTGAGAGATCAGGCTGTAAATTAGTTGGAGCCTGAGAAAATTTCAATAAACACGGAGAAAAAAATCAGGTGAATGAGGAAATGTTCTGAAAATGAATGCAATAATAGCATTATTAGCATCATTGCGGGGAGTATTTATATCCCTGCTTACCTTACCATTTCTTGACGTAACAAATATTCTAAGCAAAGAGAGCGAAGAGACGGTGGAGGAATAAAGCATCCATAAAATTCCAGATGAACCGTGCCGATGAAAATTCTTTGAGACTGACTATTAAAAAATAAGCTACGGGTGGACCGATAGCATTACTTTGACTAGCAATCAGGCTTCAAAGCAAAAAGGAGACAGTTTATACTTAAATACGAATGGAAAACACGGTAGAGCAGATTAAAAACTGTGTGTGTAGATATTGCTTCTCATTGACACAGGCTTGAGGAGTGGGTGTAAATCACAGGAATAGGGCACTACCACTACCGTGTCTATCAGGAATAGTACGCACTTTGGGTGAAGTTGCTTTAAAAAATTTAGTCAATAACACACAGGACCCTGAACATGGGACAGGAGAACAGTTTGCCAAAAACAATGCAAAAAATTAGAGCGATAGAACACTGCACCGTGTTCAGTGTGGTTACATGGCTTTACAAAATAATCTCTACCTTCATAAATCTTCTACCTTACTGTTCTCTGCATACTTAATTGGATACATTCATTAAATTTTCACAAAGACGGTCTTTCTTCAAAGGAATTTACACTTGTGCTTGACACAAATAGGGACCTTCGTGCAACCTTTCGAACTTCTCCCTGCAGATTAGCTTATCCCAGGTTTTTATCTTTAAAGAAAAACAGGCTAGAGATGATGCGCAGAGATACAAATTAGGCGTCGAAACACTTAAAAGTACAAGCATATTCTTCGGATTGAAAATAATAGGTAACAACTGGCACCGTTCTATGTACTGCAAAAAACTAACATTCACTGTGAGCGGTCTGACACTAGGAAAGTCAACACAAAATGTGTAGGAAAATAAAGCATTTTCATTAATATGATCAGGTAAATATTTTTAACGATATTAATTAAAAGTGCGAATACACAGGAATAAAATTCACATGTTAACTGAACGCAATGATCTTCAATTAATTGCCAAGAAGTGAGATGTTCGCGTACGACGGGAGCAACCCGAGTGGAAAATGGTTAGGAAATTGAAATTTCAAAAATCAAGATCTTCGGTGTTTTTCGAGGAAAGTGGAACATATTACATATCAATAGAAACGCCAGAATACCGAGAATCCAGTCGTGAACATGTTTTTGCCATAAAATTGACTGAATTCGAATGAAACTCATAGTTTCGATTTCCCATGTTATTTCCCATAAGAAATGAAAATTTGGTCGTCGGATGTCTGATTGGCTGAAAAGTAAGTGGGCGGGGTGTCGGGCGACCACGCACTTTTGTAATGCAATGCGGACTCTTGTTTTCTCTTTGGGCATCAATCAGAATCAGTTTTACCGTTTTAGACTTTGCCTTATTTCCTCTTCAATTTTAATATACATAAGAAATTTATGGAAAGTTTCAAGGTGCTACATCATTTAGTTTTCCCATGAAACTTTGAAACTCTGCCACAGTCAAAGAATACTGGAAAAACCGGGAAATGTCAGAGAATTTCAAAAAGACATGAAGATCTGGAAATGCCAGGGAAAATGACGAAAGGGTGGGGGAAAAATTGTTAAGTCACCTTCATTTACTTTCTAGAATGGGTTTGACGCTTCGAACAACGGATTTTGCGTGGAAACTATTTCAAATTATGTTTTTTTAATCATGTGGCATACCTACAATTGTCAGGAAATTTTACCAAAATGTGTCAAGAAATGTAATTTTCTTAATTCTGTGGCAACCCCGTATGAGTTGAATTAGGGAAATTTCACTATGTCCATTGTATTCTAAGTGAATTTTCGAAGAAATGAAACTTATATTGCAGTACTTTATTCCATACCCTGTCTTGGGGTCCATTGTGTAAATTCTCTTCTTTTATTCTCTCGTTTGACTTATCCTTGTTTTTAAAATTTTTCAGAGGAGTCAAATTTCCTTCTAGTCATGAGAGCATCTCAAATTGTGGACGTAAGTTTAACACCAAAGGACAAATCCAGTGGTTTCATCACACCAGTCATTGGAGTTGATGGTGGTGTGCAAGTTGATTATGATCGTAAAACTGGAACTTTGTTTTGGGTGGAGGGAAGGAAACAGGATGAAGATGGAAATGTCAGTGAAAATGTGAGTACAAATTTTAAAATCTTCTCTCAAAATTTGTCTCTTGGATCGGTTTAACTTTTTAAGGCATTCTATATCAGTGGAAACGGTATCTCTTTTGGGTAAAAAAGAGAGTTATACACACTGTTGTCCGGTATTGCAAATAATAGACTGGTATCTTAAATGTGTCAAAAATTTTGGCAAAAGTAAATGAATCTAATTTTTTAAATAAGTATCACTTCGAAAGTTTGAACCAAGTGGTTAGTCAACCTGAATGAGAGACGTTTCTTTTTTTGGTACGGATCAGATGATAGATTCATCACGTTCAATTAGACTAACATATGTCGGTTTGGAGTCAGTTTTCAGTTCGTTCTTTTTTTGCCTATAATATTAAAACGATCTTATCTAATCGAGGAAAGTTTTTTTGCCTCCTTAACCTTTTCAGAAGTTTTTATGATTTTTTTGTTGTTTTTAATTGATTCACTATCTTTTATTCACCAATGTTTTTTTTTGTTTCGTACCTTAGTGTACAATTTATTCCATGTCCTACCATGGTGGGAACAAAACTGAATTCCTGTCAAGCGTTACTGGTTTGGTCGGAGCTCCATACACAATTGCATTTGACTGGCTTGGACGCAACTTGTTCATCGGCAACAGACTTGCATCGAACATCGAAGCCGTTAAAGTAGATGGCAAACCTAAATATAGAGCCATCATTTTGGCAAACAACGGCAATGAAACCTCTGTGTCAAGGCCTAGTGTCATTACCTTGGATCCTTACGAAGGGTAAATTCTTTTTCATCTTCACAGATCTTTTTATATCGATATTCGATCAACTGAATGAAGTAGCTTGGTCTCTTCCTTTTTCATGTTTATTTTTAATGAAATAAAACTTAGTAAAAGACGAATTGAATTCATGACTCTTGTTGCGGAGAAAAACTGCTTAAGTCCAAGGAAAGTTTTCGGAAAACCTGACAAAAATACGATTTTATTCTTGAAAAATCTAGAAAAAGTAGCGATTTTCAGAACAATTTCAAGAAACGGTTTAAAGAAACGATTCAAAAAATGGTTTATGATGATCCATCTGTGTTTTTGAAGGAAGTGCAGAAGTAAGAGTTTCAAATTTTAGGATTCTTAGTGTCTTTTGATGATTTGTTGAAAGTTAAGAGATAAAATTTGAAAATTCACAAAAAAAAATCAAAATTTTTAATCAATAATTGAAAAATTTGGAAGTTACTTGAAAAATCACTTACAAGGTTCTTGAAATTGCTTGGCTCGAATTTTTGAGCCATTTTGTGCTAAGTGGTAAAGCGGTGAAATGAAAAGCCGCTAGAGTCAAAATTTCTCTCGGTCCCTTGATAATTCTACATAGCAAATTTTAACTGCACTTTAAATGTTTCTCTTGTAAGATTATTGATATCCAGTCTGTCTGTGTAGGACAAAAGTATACCTGCTTAAAAGATGGTTTAATATAGCGTCTTTCCAAAGATTAAAACATTTTTATAGCCCTGATTCATTCATTCTAACTATTCAGTTACCTGCTCTTAAATAGCAGATAATGTTTTTTCTATGAGGAAATAAAACTTTTTAGTCTCGAGGAAAATTTATCTACTATCAAAGCTACTCTATATTATCGGAATTATTCAGAATTTTTATAATTTTATTTTCAAGGAAACTATATTGGATTGACGAAGGAGGATTTGGTGTCCCCCCGAAGATTGGTAAAGTGAATATGGATGGATCAAACCCATCAATCATTCTCTCAAATGGAGCAGCTCCCATTGCACTGACAATCGATTTGGAGCAACGTGTGTTGTACTATAGTACCTCATATCCCAGTGAGGTGAGTACTCCAAAAATATCCTCATCGAAGGTTCCAGAAATTTCACTTTGCACTGATATCAGGATAGCTAAAGTTATTCAAACACTAACTTACATCATCAAAAAAGCTTAGCGCTTGTTTATTAGCTGCGCTCAAAATATGTACTAATTGTGAAATTACAAAATTAAACTTTACAACCCCTATATTATTTTAATTTGTTCATTTGTATTTATAGATCCGACAAATGGATATAAATGGCAAAAACTCCAGGGTGCTTCTTGATCAAAAGAACAACATTGCCTATCCGCAAGCTATCGGAGTGATTGACCGTCGATTATACTACTTGGATCCAAGATACGATAAGCTTGAAAGAGTTGATGTATCAGATGGACTCAACCCACAATTGATTATCGATAATGATGCTGATCTGAAAACATTCACAATATTCAGGAAACGACCAGGTAATTCTCATTTCGTCTCATTTTTGTAGAATTTGATTTCATGGATTAACATCTAAAAATATATCTCCACTTATTCACTTGCTAAATTTGTTGGATTTATCTTGAGTTTGATGTCAATCGTCTTTGATTGAGGAAAGAGGTTATTTTCCAGTTTTCTCTTACTGCGGCAACAGTATCGTAAAATGTTATTGCAAATAAATAATGAGCAATATCTCCTGAAAAACTGCACAACAAAGCAAGTTGAGTCTAACGTTATCAATTTTTTTACGAAAACCATTTGTTTTACATTTAACTGTAAAGTCAACGGCTGTTTTATTTCAGAAATGGGACACCCCTGTTTGACGAACAATGGTGGTTGTAATCAGATGTGCATACCTGCGGAGAGTGGAACAAGGACTTGTCTATGTTCAATCGGCTACAAGAAAGATGCTGATATCACCTGCTCGCCTTACAGTACTTTCGCTATCGTATCGCAACTTGACATCAGCAGAGGTTTCAGTTTGAAAGATTCTTCAGAGGCCATGACACCCATCGCTGGACCAGGTAAGTTGCTTTTTTTATCTCTTGATTGAACCTGTCCTGACAACAAACCTTGTTTGCTTGATCGTGAAATATTAATGTATCTTTTAATACGCTCCAACCGTATCATACCAATGGAAAGTCATAAAGTTTAAAAGAAGGAATAGTTTTTACAAACATATTTTTCCTCTAAATTAAAGTATGTTAAAATTTTTAAATAGAAAAACAGATTCAAATATTTAAATTGCTTCTCCACCAAAACAGGATTTTATTTGGCTCTCAAAATTTTAGCTTGATGCCAGGTCATGTTTCTTCGGTTGATTACCTGAGTGTAGTATTATGGTGGAGCTTTGTCTGCAGCTCAGCAATGACATAATCCAAATAAAAATAAAATTAATTCGACTGTACAACAACCTTTATCTGTTATTATTTCAGGTCATCATATTCTACATGTTGACATTCATTATGCTCAAAACTGGATTTACTGGGTTGAATTTAACCGAGGAATTTGGAATGGTATCTTCCGTATCCGGCCTAATGGTACAGAGCTTACCCGTGTTATCAAAGAAGGAGTGGGCTCAAATGGTATCCGAGGTATTGCTGTCGATTGGATTGCTGGCAATTTGTATTTCACGAACGTCTTCCCTCACGAAAACTACCTGGAGGTCTGCTGGCTGGATGGTTCGAACAGGAAAGTCTTGGTCAAAACAACCACGGATGCACCGAAAGAGCTTGCCGTTAATCCAATTAAAAGGTAATTTTGAGGGAATTTTTTTTGTTTTTCAGTTTTGCTCCCTCTCTTAGCCATTTTTTTGTTTATTTTTTATTTACTTTATCCAATGTTTCAATTCTTTGATTTATAAATTTTTAATAACTTTCCATTTATGTTTAAAAAAAAGAAGAAAAAAAGAAAAAAATTACAGCCTTTTATTGCTATGAACTGTTACAAAAATTAGGATCATTTCAAACTTGAGTTCTAATTCTCTTCAAAGGACTATGCACGAAATATCAAGAAATTCGGTGCTGGCTAAATTTGATATCACTTGATATAATATATGTTCCCTACAACTTCCTATAGCTTTTAAAATGGAACAGTCTTTGTGCCATTGTCGAGAAAACATGGTTGAAAAGTGAATTTTTCAGTCAGATTTCTACGGAATAAAGAGTTCATCAATGCGGACGAATTCATTTTTTAACTTGGTTTTTCTGGATCTTTGTATGTAGAAAGTTTGATTTGAAAAGCTTATAATGCTCAGAAGGTTGTGAGGAACATTACATCAAATTGTATAAAATTTTAGCCTATGCCGAATTTTTAGATATTCCATGCATATACCTTTAAAATAATCCCTCCTTTTAGCATTTCCATTATGACCACCTGTAGTAAAATGGACTACTTTACGAAAGAATCTCTAAATCGAAATATTGGCACCACCGCTCAGCAGAGTGTTTTATGAAATCTTGAAACCACAAAATGTTGAGCAAAATCTTAAGGGTTTGAAGTTGGTTGTTCAAAATATATTTTTTTAGGAAAAACTTTTTTAAGTTTTACTGTGCTAAATTCAGGATAACTTTCTGCTATTTTTGGCACAAAAATGAACCAAAACACTCTTAGCTTATTCTTTGAGAGACCGAAGAATGTTTCCTACCGACAATTGGATGATACCACCCAGTTCCACCAATTTGTCGTTTGTATATGATCTCATTTGTTATGGAAAGTGGAAAGTATACCCCTCTAATTATAACATTTTGATTGTAGATTGCTGTACTGGATTGATTATGGACAACATCCTAGAATCGGCAAAGCTTTCTTGGATGGATCCAACTGGCAGCCTGTTGTTTCAAACGGTATCAGCATGCCTCGAGATTTGACCATTGATATGAATACTCATGATGTTTACTGGGTCGACTCAAAACTGGATATGATTCAAAAAATATCCTTTAACGGAGGCAACCGACAGGTATGTTAAATCGCTGTTTCATTTAATATGTAATAAGCCTACTTTCCCAGCTTTCAACGTAGCGCCCAACCTGAAATGCTGTTAGCTTTCTTGCATCGAAATTCTAGGGGGAAAAAAAAAAATTAATACAAATTCTGATGCCTCTTACTTTGTATGCTCAATTTTCTATTTTTGACTTTGTGAGAATGTGGATCTTTTGGGAATGTTTTTCGAATATTAGCACTTTCATGTATTGTTTACTTATCCATTGCACTGTCAATCTTCAGCAAACATTTTAAATCAAGTGCAGAAGACGCAATCTGGTGACTCTTAGTTAATTAGTAGTAATACCTTTTAGCCTATTAATAAGCCAGTAACAAAAATATTTCAAGACTCCATTCTACCAGTCAAAGACTACTTTTTAAGTGCAAATTTTTTATTGAAACTTTTTCCTCACATCGTCCTCATAACTATGTCTACAAGAACTTCTTTTCCTTTTCAGATTATTAGACGGAACTTACCGAACCCCATGGGTATTGCAATTCATATGAGCGATGTCTATTGGGTTGACCGCAATCTCCAGTCCATTTACAAAGCTTCCAAGTTGCAAGGAAACAATTCTCTACCCACAGTTGTGCGTTCCAACTTACCGCGACTTAGAGATATCGCAATCTTTGATGTCATCAGCCAGCCGCCAGATGATACAAATCCATGCTCAAGATTAGGTATTTTACTAGTTATCATTTAAGAGTCTCTCACAAGCAGTGTCTTAATCCTACCTTTAAATAGTAAATCGGAAAAAATAGTTCTACTTCCAGCTTAAGAGTGGATACCCAAGTTTCTGTTAAGCACTGTTTCATTGAATCAAGTCTACGCAGAGCACCTCAGGAGTTGACATTATTTCAGGTCTTTCATACGTCATTCTTTACTCCTGATGGAGGGGGGGGGAGGAGTTTCTGAATTTTTGAACTGCCAGATAACAACAATGAAAATCAGCCACAGATAATAATGACAAATAACAACGATTCATGACATCTAAGGGTTCCAATCATGATGTCTTATAGGTGTGGACTTGGACTTTTTTGCTGTTTGTCCAAATTTGGACTTGGTAATTTTTCTGCCATTTTTTTTAAAATAACTGACAATGAGACCGATTTTGATACATTTTAACTATGCATGTATTTCTAGGAAATGGAGGATGTGCTCAACTATGTTTCTCTTTCCCTCCCGATTACTCTCCAAGCAAGTTCCGGTTCCGGTGTGATTGCGCTACCGGTATCAACTCTGGTCCAGGTGGAACTCAGTGTGATACATTGTCTGAATATCTTGTCTTCTCAACCCGCACGGAAATAAGATCTGTTAACCTTTCCCCGCAATCAACAGGCGTACCGTTCAAGCCAGTTGTGAGTATCATTCAATTGTCACAATTTCAATAAGTTTAAGGAAGTAATTCTAAGAGTGATTATATATTCCTTGTTACAAGAACACTGTAAGTCAGGTCTCAATTTCTTAAATGCTCGAATAAAATCTTCTCAATGGTAGAAAAAAAGAGCCTTGTCCTTGAAAGGGAAGAAAAAAAAAATAAATCATGAAAATATTGTAACGTAGTCCTTCCAAATTAAAATTTTTCCGTTTGATATAGTTTAAGTTATAAGTTATTTCCCATTAGGTTTATTTACCTTGTTGGCTGCCCTTGAAACCTAACTGCAAAAGTTGAATTCAAAAATGTTGTTAATTCCGCTTCTTTTCCTGTAGCTCGGTCAACATTTTAATGATAATGAATTTGAAAGCCCTTAGTTTCCTCTGAATGTTGACAAAGATATCATTCTCTCATGAAAAGTTTTGAGGGGGTGGATTCTCGTATATTGTTTTGCCTTAATGGCACCCTTCTCGTTACCTGAAAAATTTCCCCCGATTTTAAGTCCTTCAAGAAGCCCTAGAGTGTGCACGAATTTCGCATGCAAGCTACAATGGACAATTCGTAATCCAACCAATTCTCGAGCAATTATACTAGCAGAAAAATTTAATGTTTGCCACTTTTGCATGTAAAGTTTCGAAGTATACTTCCAAAATAACCTTGAACTTCTGGAAACAGAGCATCCTCATGTGAGGAAGTTCAGCGCCATGAAAGATGTTACTACCATTGCTGAAAATAACGCAAATGCAGCTCTCTCTCTTACTTATTTTTAATTATTTACCTTAAAATTTTTTCCAGGGCAATTTGACGAACGTAGTGGGGGTTGAGTTTGACTACGCTGACCACAAACTTCTCTTCACTCAAATACGACCTTTGGCAAGAATAGCGTCTCTTGATAGCAGTAATCCCAGCAGTTCTCAAATTAAACCAATCATCAGCCGTGGAATCAACCCTGAGGGAATTTCTTACGATTGGACCCAGAAGAAAATCTATTGGACGGATTCATCGAATAACTCCATCTATGCTATGAACCTTGATGGTTCTGATTTGGTTATGATTGCCAGAGTTGAACGTCCAAGAGCGATTGTCGTCGATCCTTGCAATGGGTTCGTATTAATTTTTTACTCATTGGATCAGTAATATTTTCAACGTTGCTGCTTAAAACCTTATTTTTCAAAAATTAATCAAAATACTTTAATTCTGAAGCAGCAAGCATGTTTATCTACGAAGTGAAATATATAACATTTTTGGATTTTTACGAAAGAACTGGTTCACTAATGCTCGTTAGGTTTATGAGTGCTTTTCTACTCTTGGTCGATTAAATGAATTGATTTAATGTAAAAGGTTAAAACTACAGTAAAACTTCGATTTAACAAATTTCTGGGGACTGGCGATAAACTTCATGGAATAAAAAATTTGTTAAAGTGAAACCCGCGAAAAACCTGAGTTTTGGCCACAATTATTTTTTTGAATTATTCGGTTTCTCCAGTTTCCTGTACACAACCCCCCCCTCCCCACCTTCTCTTAACCCTGACGATGTACAGAAAATTGGCGGGAAGAAAAATATGAAAGAAGCTTATTACAAACATGCTTTCCCCAGCATTGCTGTTGGACGCGCGGAAATTTCCGTGCATTCGTTAAATAGAGTTCGATTTACATGGTAAAGATCGTACCCGTATTAAGGATTTCTTTCGTTAAACCAAATATTTGTTAAACCCAATATTCGTTTTGCGAAATTTGTTAAATAGAATTTAATTTACATTGAAAAGATAGGGACTTTTTCAGGACCGCAAAATAAATTCGATAATTCGAAGAATTTGTTAAATCGAAGTTTGTTATTTCAAAGTTTTACTGTATATGCAAAAAATCTGAAAATTCAAAAATAATGAGTAAAATTTCAGATAAATCTCTTTGATAGAATCTTTTCATGAATATATATTTGGTTTTGCTCTTTCAGGTCACTGTATTACACTGATTGGGGAAGATTTGGTACGTCAGGGAAAATTTTCCGCACTACAATGGCTGGCTCTTTGAAAAAAGCGATCATCGAGAAAGATTTATCACAGCCTAGTGGCTTAGCAGTTGATTTTGAAGATAGAATGTTGTATTGGACTGATGCTGTCAGAGAAAAAATAGAAAGATCCACTCTAAACGGTGAAAAAAGAGAGGTAAAATATATTTTTATTGTAATTTTGTTATTTTACAAGATTATCAAAAATTATTTTGGTAACTGATATTATTTTATGTTTGCAAAGTGTCAAGGTTGAATAATACTGTGTATCAATATGCAAATATTTTTTATCATGAAATCATAATGATGGATGGTCGAAAAGAAATATGACAGAACTTCTAAACTTGAAAGTTTTTAATAATACTCCTAATATTAGTTTTAAAAGCAAGATAAACAATTCAACCATGCACTACCAGTGTAGATGAACATGCGTGTCAAAAATGATGTCATGCCATGCGATCTGTGTTCTAATGTTTAGATCAGACTGCGTGAAGAGTGTTAATAAAAACCTTGAATAAAACTGAAAAATATAATGAGAGGCTTTATTCTTTTATCTTCAGCTTATGAAACATCGATGTCTTGTCAGTCAAAAAAAAAAATTTTTGTTGAAAAATTCGAAAGCCTTAAATTTCTTCTATAAAGTTTACAGTAAAATGTAATAAATGTACAATTTATGTTTTTTAGGTTTTAGTATCAGCAACTATTTATCCATTTGCAATAACAGTTCATCGCAATTATATCTACTGGACAGACCTACAACTGAGAGGTGTGTATCGAGCGGAGAAACATACTGGCGCTAATATGATAGAGATGGTGAAACGTTTAGAGGATTCTCCAAGAGATATCCATGTATACTCCGCAGAGAAACAGAAATGTTCAGTCAATCCTTGTCACATTAACAACGGTGGCTGTGCTCAGTCCTGTCATCCTGCTCCGAACGGAACGGTAACTTTGTTTTTTCAAACTTCGGTTCTAAACATTTCTAACATTTGCATTGGAGATTCTTTCTCGTTTTCCACACCAGCATCAAAAGTAAACCGGGAAGTAAATCATATCCAGGAAGAGCAAAGGAACAACACAGTAATTGATCCTCTGTATTCTTTCTGAAATCGATTCAAAATTTATTGTGAACATATTTTAATGCTTGTCAGTGGACAAACTAAATATACAAGTTTCTAGATCTTGATAATAATGGAATAGATAGATTGGATAGATGTTGGAAACTTCCTGCCTCTTTTGGTTACAATCAAGGAATCCAAACTGTTCTTGATAGGTATTTTGCATTTTGCATGATTTCTCTGCAATTATCCAAGAAAATTCTCCAAGAATTCCGAAAATGTATTTTGCTCCTTGAAAATATTAGATGGCTCCTAAAAATCGGGCTCTCTGACCAGGGTGACTGCTTTTTAGGAGGAAGACAAAACTTTTTACATATATTTCTCCCTATTAACTGGTTTTCAAAACCTCTTGACGAACCTTGCCAATCATACGGTGCAAATTCATTTTCAATCAGTCCGGCATACTTTGAATCTTCGCTTTTTTTGCTTTTAGACTGAATGTAAGTGTGATGACAACAGCAAGTTGGTAAACGAAGGACGCATGTGCGTATCTAAAAACTTAACATGCGAAGCGTCTAAATTTTACTGTCGCAATGGCAAGTGTATCTCGAGAATGTGGTCTTGTGATGGAGATGACGATTGCGGCGACAACAGTGATGAAGATCCAAAATACTGTAGTAAGTATACTAGAAATTACTCTTTTTTGTTATTTTTTTGGAGTATAATAGCTGATCTTGTATCTTGTATGCAAGTAATCGAACAATTGCCGAAAACATTATTGCCAAGTTGAAAAATTAATAAAATAAAGAATTGTGTTTTAGGTATTTTTGAATTATTGAGATTATGCCCTTTGTTTATTATTTGTTCAACCTAAAGACTCCTGTCTTCCTTTTCCAGCGTACCATTCATGTAATCCAAATGAATTCCGATGTAACAATGGCCGGTGCATATTTAAATCATGGAAATGTGACCATGAGAACGATTGTCGTGACGGTTCTGACGAGTTGGACTGTAATTACCCAGCCTGTGCTGCAGGTGAATTCACTTGTGCCAATCATCGTTGCATTCCTCAATCACAGGTAATTTTTGTTTGTTTGTTCGTTTTTTTTTTTTTTTTTGAGAACATATTAATTGAGGATTTACAGATTGAAATGGAGTCAACGGAAACCTTACTCAATTAGAGAAGATATCATACTTACATTTGTCCCTGTGATAAAGAAATGGGAAAGACACCATTTTTTGCTACATCATAACATCCCATTTAAATTTTTAATTCTGAATGTTCATACTATGTGCAATACCATGAAACTATTCATCTACTTTTTTCTAAATGCAATTGCGTACTTACTTTTAAATTTTTCTATTACTAATGTTATCCTGCGGACAGTCCTTACAGACCACTGGTAATTAAAACGACCAAGTGGCCAAAATAAAAATTCTGTGTCTATATAACTTTATTTTTGGAATCGTTCTCCATCTTGTTTTTTTATGTTTTCAAGCCATTTGTGACTAATTATTTTAATGACTCATTGATTTTTTCTCAGGTATGTAATGGAATAAACGATTGCAAAGACAATGTAACTTCAGATGAAACGCACGATCGGTGTCCAAGAAACATGACATGTCCCGCCAACCATTTGAAATGCGAGAAAACAAATATTTGTGTCGAGCCCTATTGGTTATGCGATGGTGATAATGATTGTGGAGATAATTCTGATGAAGACCCACTGCATTGCGCTCAGAGAACTTGCCCACAGAACAGTTTCCGGTGTGTTTGTAGCCTCTTATACCATTGTCCAAAAATGTCCTAACCATTTGAAACCTTGGTCCTTGAATGTCCTAACAGGCAGAACTAATTTTCCCTAAGATCAAGTTGTTCAAATTTAGAATTTGTGTTTTCTTATAATGACTTTAAAAATATGGTGAAATATAATGCAATGACTCAGGGTAATCGAAAAGTCCAGCACCACCCATATGACCTCCAAGGTTCTTGCCCCTGTGGTCCCTTTAAAATTTTGGGTGTTTCCAAAAATCGTTTCCTTTGACCTTGGACCACTCGTAGAATTTCAAGTTTCCACCTCAATTAGCTCAAAATTTTCAGAGATGATGCCTAAATTTGGTACTGCAGAATCCTTGGATCGTCTTGTATAATGTGTGCATACCCATGAAAATTGTCATGAGGTCCGTGGTAACTCATGGATTGGAGTGATGTTTTGGAACACGGAATGGTAGGATTTAGCATGTAATAATCTAAACATTCTAGAAAAAGGAAGAGCTGGAGACTCTTCAATCAGTTCAAATTTTTAAATTTTTCTCATAAATTTGTATATGATCCATGTGCACAGGTGTCCCAACCATCGATGCATACCAGCAACATGGTTCTGCGACGGCGATGATGATTGTGGTGATGGTACGGATGAACCGCCAGATTATTGCAAATCAGAAGGAAGGACATGCTTCGGAGACTTGTTCACCTGTGACAATGGCAACTGTATTCCTCGAATCTACATTTGCGACGGCGATAACGATTGTTTGGACAATTCGGACGAAGATTCGCGCCATCAATGCAGTCAGTATCTTTCTTACCTTTGTTATCTTTGGCATAACTCATCCTTAAATGTCGTTTCTTTAATAGTCACTTTCAGAGAAAATGTCTATTTCCCATTCGTCTGATGGTGTCATTCCAGAACCACTTCTCCCCCCAAAATCTGAAATCAATCTTTTTTTAACAATTTAGATCACCTTTAAGTTTTTTTCTCTAAGATTTTCTAAATTATTACCCTTCCTTTCTAATTAAATATCATTTCCTTTACATTTCATCCGAAATAAAGTCTCTAGATAACTTATGCCCTGAGCCTTACAGGCTGATAATTGAAATTAATAGACAAAGCAATAGACAAAGCAGACAAAAAGAAAAGGGAGCGATCTTATCGGTGGAAGCAGGTGGTTGCAATGGACAGAGGAGGTAAGTAAAGAGGTTAGTTAGTCTATTGACTAACTGTCAAGAGACTAACAACATAGCAACCCACATGAGATCTTATAGTTAGCTCATCACTTTCCCTCCTTGTCCGTAACAACCACCTGTTTCAACCAATAGGTTTGCCTAATTTTCCGTTTGTCTTCTTTGTCCATTGCTTTGTCTATTGATGTCAATAATCGGCCTGTTGAGAGGTTCTAGAGTCACTAGAAAAGTCCAGTAGGTAGCCTCTATGTTTAGATGGAACATTATAATGTCCAAATTTTTGCAAGTCTATGAGTGTTTATGTATGCATAAATAAAAAATTTAGGAGATGAAATGAGAAACGATTCCGGACGAATAACGAATCATAAGTTAGCTTGGCATGTGATTTTCTTCAAACGAGTTTGGAACTTTGCCTACATCATAATGTTTCAACACTTCTTGAAGGTTGGTGCAACAAGCAATCTTTTGTTTCCATGAATCTCACCGATAAGGTTTTATATTTCAGACAACAGAAAGTGTGATGATGAAACCGAGTTCACATGTGTTGCAAACAAAGCATGGGGTCGTGCTCAGTGTATTCCGCGCAAATGGCTCTGTGATGGAGACCCAGATTGTGTGGACGGAGCGGACGAGAACTCAACTGCACTACATTGCCCTTCGCCCCCCACCTGCTCACAAGATCAGTTCACTTGCGGAAACGGTCGTTGTATTAATAAAGTAAGTCTCTCGTTCAGCCTTCTCCTAGGGTAATTCATCAGCTGGAATTAAAAGTTGTTCAAGTCAAACAACTTTTTTCTTCATCGAAATTTTCAATACCTTTCTCCGGGTAATAATTCCTGAAAATAAGTTCTGTAGGTATTCTTTACCATCATAAAAAACGGCTGCTGGTTTTTATTATTAATTGTAAAATTTTTCTATCATTGAATTTGATAATGGAAATAACTTGCGTTTTAAATCTCCCATGCATTCCCACCCTAGTCTTTTTGCTCTAGTGGATTTCGAGACAACCTTTTTTAAACTGTCATGAATTTTGGCTTGTCAAATTGATCATAGCCTCAGAATGACCGAATTTGAAGGAAATTGCTTCAAGGAATTATTTTTTTTAGATGATAAGTGATCCATCAAGAGTTTTAAGATAGATGATTCTCCCAATTTCAGGTGAATAATCTGCATAATAATGTATAGGAACAGAGACTCTATAAAATTAAACAAAATCTTAAATAAATCTAGTCCCATCATTTTTAATTTTTTACAGAGATTTTCTATTTTAACAAAGTTTCAACAGCTAGAATCATGTTTTTCCAACTATTAGTACTGAATCTCAATTATCTTCACCTAAGTATTCTCCTCTCTAAGCGTATTGACGTATTCTCTCTGTACAGGGTTGGCTGTGTGATCACGATAATGATTGTGGCGATGGTACAGATGAAGGAAAGAACTGCCACTCGCAATACAAAACCTGCACACCTCAAGAATTTTCATGTCAGAATTTCAAGTGTATTCGCAACAGCTACAGATGTGATGGCGAAGATGACTGCGGAGATAATTCCGACGAATTTAATTGCAGTAAGTCCATTTATAAACAAGACTTACCCCTCACTGGTTCCAGTGTATTTTCAAAAGACTCCATCTCTTCAATATTTCCGAATAGCCACATGAGAATATCTCCTCGTTTTTTAGGCACATTAATTTGTCTCCCACTGAAACCCCTAAACCTAATGCCTGACCCGCAAACCCTACCTACATGCTCAAAGTATCATGATCAATGTGTCTGCAGGACTGATAAACAGAAAATGTGGAAAAGTCAGTTAAAACATTTTTACCCAAAAATTTCAGAAAATCCAATGAAAGCGATCAAAATGGCTGCACTTTAAAGTATCTTGAATAATTTTTTTTCTAAAAACTGCAGACACCTTGATGAAACAAACATCTCAACACACTAACTCTTCTTCTTTTTAAATCGCAGCATCATACAAACTTGCATAGTGCAATTACTAATCCAGAAGAAACAGAGGAAGGGGAATCTTGAGCGCAAGCTCTTTTTTACCATAGGTAATTTTCAAAATCTCTCCGAGTAGAAACATGTAGTTTTATGATTGGGATAATACCCACATGATCCAAGTATTTCGTAAAAAATCGATTTTCCGCCCCTCTTCCAAGTCAGCAACTCACATTCTTCTTCTATGTTCAATGAAAAATGAGATTTAAATTTTGTCCCTTTGATTTTTCAGAGAAAAACACGACAACTTGTCCAACAGGACAGTTCCAATGCAACAATGGTCAATGTATCGATTACAACTTGGTGTGCAACAAAGTATCTGATTGCAGTGACGACAGTGATGAGCCACTTCACTGCAATGTTGACGAGTGCTCAAAAGTGGATGTCCATCAGTGTGGCCACAAGTGTGTGGATACCCCTACTGGATATTATTGCGAATGTAATACCGGATACAAGTAGGTTCTTCCCACATACTTCTCCATGTTTTAAGCCTCAACTTTTTTTTACAATTGTAAGGTATCCTTTTTTGGGGGGATCAAGGCTAAATTTATCACTTGCATAATCAATGACAATTTCCTATCACATGAATCGAATGTGGTGCCAAATGCCCTTTGAAATCGGATTGTGGTCGGTTTAGAAATTTTCTTACAGTTTGAAGGAAAATGGAATTGGCGATTGAGTCTTTTTGAGAACGAATGGACTTATTTAAACATAGTTTACTCATTTATAGTCAAATTTCTAGTATTTCAAGCTTCAATGTGGCCAAAAACTTCCATTTACACATTCTCTAAGTAAAATACAAGATGAAAAATCTCTATGATAACTTTCGACTGCTGATTTGCATTCGTGATGCTATCTAAATGGTCTTTAAAATACTTTTTTCTGTTTGTCACTTTGCAACAAGATCACCTGTGGCCAAGCAATACCAAACCACGAAAAACCCAATTTTTTATTTTTGGCATTTGATTCTTTTTGTGAATGACCAATTTAATTAAGCTCATTTTTTTTTTTTTCTATTTCTAGATTGCTTGAGGATGGAAAAGCATGTGCAGATATAGATGAATGCCGGGAAACTCCTGGAGTCTGTTCACAGTTTTGCTCCAACACTCCTGGTTCGTACTACTGTAAATGCGATGAAGCTTACTATGACCGAGAAGCTGATGAACATTCATGTAAACGCAGAGACCGCTCGCAGCCATGGCTCATTTTCACCAACAAATACTATGTTCGCAATATGTCCCTCGACGCTTCTGTCTACTCTCTAGTTCATCAAGATCTACTCAATGTTGTTGCCTTGGACTATGATTTTAGGGATCAGAAAATGTACTTCTGTGATGTCAGTGCCAAGACTATTTACAGGTATAGTTAGACGTTTCCCCTCACCAATCTCAGGTTTTATTTTCAGGTTTTTACAAAATGTCACATCTTTTTATGCATTTTCTGTTGGAAAGGCCAATTAAGTATCAGCTTTTGGAATCGCAATTTAGGAGTGGATGTGAGCCAAAATTATTTGTTGGCCCGGGAGACAAAAAACCCAAAAAATTCCTCAAATGCAACTATTTTTAGGGCATTTGGGGATATTAACAACATTGCCCACTAGATTGCAGGCTGATTTTGTTGGCAATCTACAACGCATGAGCTCTGGAGCACAGGGACAAATGTTTTCTCCAAACGTCCTTAAAAGTCTGAAATCACTCACATTTTTCGTCTGCTAACCTGTTCCTAGCATTTGGTTCCACCCATCATTAGAATAACAAAATACAGAGACCATAAGTGTCTGCGATGAATGAAGTAATAGACGGCTACTGTTTACATCCAAAGCGATTATTTTGGACCTAACACCTTTGTAATCATCCTTCAACGTTTGAAGTCCATCCTTTCCTAATAGTTTTTAATCATTTCAGGACGAACATTGGTGCAACTGAAAAAGAAAAAGTTATCCATCACGACAGCCATGGACTAGAGGGTATTGCTGTTGACTGGGTTGGCCGGAAACTCTATTGGCTTGATCGACACAGTAAACAGTTGGACGTTGCTGAATTGAACGGAACAAACAGGAAAACGCTAAAATCAGGCATTCAGGATCCCAGAGGCCTTGCTGTACACCCTGGAATTGGTTATCTGTTTTTGAGTAGTTGGCATCTACAGGTAATTGTTATTGTTGAAATTTGGAATATCTTGTGATTCATTTAAGAAAGCTTAGGGACTCATGTTTTGGAATCTTAAACTTTTTACAAGTTTACCTTCTAAATGTTTTTCTTGGATAGTTATGATCCTCTTAAATATTTTGCATGGCTTTACTACTTATCAGCATTGTAGCTTTAGCTACAGTTTAGTGTTAGCAACTCTTTTCAATACAAATCACATAGCAAGTGTTTGAATTGAATTTTAAAAAATTTGATTTTTACTTTTAACAAATCGATGATTAAAGCAACGATTGATCGGAAGTCTCCCACCTCCCTTCCTGCAAACATCAGGATTCTACCTCTATTTTTATACATAATACAATCACTAATGTATTTACAATATCATATTAATGCACATCCGAGTTTGGTGGGATTAATTTCGTGCATTTCATTCAAAATTCAATTTTTGACCGGAATTAAAAGTGTAGAATGAATATTACATGTTATAGAAATCTTTTTCAGCCAATGAGACAAGTTTTTTTGTGCTCTATGGGTCTCTCTCATCAATATTTTGCTTTTTTTCGTTAGGCTTACATTGCCAAAATGGGAATGGATGGCTCCAACATGACACGAATCCTGACTCATGAAGATGATGTTGCTTGGCCCAACGCTTTAACAATTGATTACTTCTCAGAAAGGCTTTATTGGGCTGACGCTCATTTGGACTACATTGCTTCAGCAGACTTTGACGGCAAGCATAAGCATGTCGTCCTGTCCGGTGAAAAAGTTCCGCATGTATTCGCCATCACACTATTTGAAGATAATCTATTTTGGACTGACTGGAACCTGAAGTCCATTAATCGTGCCAATAAATTCACAGGTACTTTATTTTGTAAAAAAAATTACATTAATATACGTATTTAAAATACTGAGATAGTACTAGAGATAGTACTAGATACTAAATACTGAGAAATTGAATAGATTTACCTATACTTCACGACACTAGCCCCACGTGTTGAACACAAAATGCTGTTATTATTTTCTAAGTACAATTTTTTTTTCTCACATTTTTGTATTGTAAAATCACTCTTCTTTTTTTCATTGTTTTTGTAATTTTAATTTCTTGATATTCTGTTTGGAATCCTTTCAATTACTGTTCCAACTCAATTAAAATGAAGTCTACTTACGATTTTGCCTCGGAGAACAGAGATTTCTTCTCCCGTGGGCATCCCATTTTTAAAAATTACGTTAAAGTAGAAACTACGCTGGATAGGTAGGTTAATTTTTCACATTTGTAACTAAAAATGTTGATTCTAAGAGGAAGAAAATTAGAGGGACAAACTTTGTTCAATTTTTGACTTTTTAAAGTATGTAGTGTACATGGAAATGCTTTTTCAGTTTCTCAGTCCTTACATTATGACACGGGCCAGTGTATCGTCTTGCAATAATAACAGCAGATCTATTCTGAATGCAGCTATTAAATTTAGATAGTAGGTAATTGAACCATTATTGCTCTCTTTTTCATTGGTTTTTGATTATTTTGTTCATTTTTTTTTTTTTTTTTTTTTTTTTTTTTTTTTTTTTTTTTTTTTTTGAAGAAAATTTTAAGCACTTTGCAAACTTATGGCATGTCACCTCTAATTTAATTTCTATTTGACAGGTAAAAACTTCGAAATTCTGAGGAATACAACTCATCGGCCGTATGATATTCATGTATTCCACCAGCTGCGACAATTACCATACGTGAATCCTTGCGATAGTGACCATCACAATGGAGGTTGCTCTCACCTGTGTTTACTCACCCCTGTGCCAGGCGTCGACGCAAGTTTGGATGGATATAGCGACTCCAAGAGCCCTGTAACTTACACTTGTGCCTGTCCCAACCAGTTTTACCTGGACAGAGACAACAAGACATGTATCGCCAACTGTACTTCAGGCCAACATCGTTGTGGAGGCGAGGATGAAAAATGTATTCCTTGGTTCTGGAAGTAAGTGCTCCATTAACGCTCTGAACTAATTCATCCCAAAATTGTAGGAACCTTTCGGCCAATAACCTAATTCTCAAATGCGATCCTCAAGTTTTAAGGAGCCAAGAAATGTTCCAGTGATCTGTTTCTCTCAAAATTAGGCTGTTGGCTCCTTATTTGCACAGGCGTTCTAATGACCAGTGACTGAACCTAATTTTCCTCCCAATATCTATCTAAGTGAAAAAATATTTTTCTGAAACTTCTGAATTTATACATTTGTTTGTTTTCTTCCGGCTAACCTTCTTCTTCTAGAATAATTTAGTGCTGTCAGAAATTTTTTAAGCTTAGTGGCTAACATTATTGTTGAATTACTAACAGGTAAAAGCTTGAATACAAACTTCATCTGAGGGGTAGGTGTATCATCAAGTTATGGTTGCAAGTTACATATAAACTAAGAAGACAACATTTTGCAACAAGGAACTAGTATTTCCCGTTCCTTTCATAAACAATGCATGTGGCACCAGTTTCTCCATGCAGATTGATGCTTTTGTGGAAGAGCTAGAAATATTAGTTCCCACTGAATTGCAGAATGTTGTCCAATTTTCAAAATAGAGTTTTTTCCCCCATTGGTACCATTTCTTATAGTTTGAAAGTGAATATTTTGAAACTGTTTCATGACAGAGAACCAAAGTTTAATAAATTTCTTTTGTTTTTAGGTGTGATGGGGAAAAAGATTGTAGAGATGGGTCGGATGAACCAACAACCTGCCCTCCGCGACACTGCCGTGCTGGCCAATACCAGTGTGACAATGGACACTGCACTTTATCGGCAACTATTTGTGATGGGACTGACGACTGTGGTGACAATTCAGACGAAAGGCACTGCGACTTACCGTGTCCAGATCTTGAATTCAAATGTAAATCTAATGGACGATGTGTGCTCAACGCTTGGAAATGCGATGGAGAAGCTGATTGCAAAGATGGCAGTGATGAAGATCAAGCCATGTGCAGTAAGTGAAACATATTTTTTTTTGTGTTAGTTTAATTTGTACGGTATTATTATCAAGATAGATTGAAGCTGGTCCAATCTGGATACGCAAAAAAATTAGATGGTCAGAAACGGCACGCCAGACCAATGCTCATTATGTACAAGTGGAGTGACAAACTAATGTTCGATTCTATTTTCTTTTTTTTTATATTTGCTTTTTATTTAGCTTGTTTTTTCTCATTCTTGATTTTGAAAATTTTCCTTTTATGAGATCTTTGTCCAGATTCCACTTACTGAATTAATGCAGACAGTCGAAATACTGCTGTATTCTGAAAAGTATTCTATAAGCAAGAAATTAATCAGTTTTACTGTTTTGACGAAAAATTTTACTAACTCCTAGATATGTTTAATGATTTTTGATTGGCCTAATGATTGCTCAATTTCAATCTCAACTTTCAGGTAACCGCACTTGTAATCCTGAATCAGAATTTACCTGTAAGAACGGACACTGCATACCGAAAGCGTGGATGTGTGATTTTGACAATGACTGTGGCGATGATTCTGATGAGCCTGCCTACATGTGTAGGCAGAAGAACTGCACCAATGGTTGGCAGCGTTGCCCAGGACGAACCAATTACCGTTGCATTCCCAAGTGGCTTTTCTGTGATGGGAAAGATGATTGTCGCGATAACTCTGATGAACTTCCTCAAAATTGCCCAACATGCAACCCAGACTCTGAATTCAGATGTAAAAATAGCCGCTGCATACCAAAGTAAGTAATCAATGTGTGTCACTATTTAACAAGTCATCACATATGCATGACAAGGCTGTTTCATCCACTTTCCAAGCAGCAATGATCCCTTTAAGTTGCAATTTGATTGATAGATTACTGTGATTTTATCAAGGGAAACTTATTGCAATATTATCGTAATTGAATTTATTGCTTTATTGCAAAGAAATCACTATTCTATCAATGCTGATTCTCATCATTTCATTTCACCTCATTTTCGTGAAAAAATTGTAATTAAAATGAAGGAAAATTTTAAGCGTATTGCATTTTAATGGCAATTTTATCAACCATAAAAAACTGCGACATTGTCACTGTAAAATATGGAAAAATTGCTGAAATGTTGATGATCCTGACAATTTTATTTGTGATAAAAAGGCGACAAAATGGCAAATTTATTCGAATAAAATTGTAAGTTTTCTGTCAAAAAATGTTACTCGGGTCCTATTTCATCAGCAGACAAACATTTTCCTATGCAATTTGCCTCATACTTGGCAAGAATTAAGCCAAGATTACAAGTCAACACCCGTAAGCATTATAGGATTGTTTGAAAAATTCAATCATGTTTTGAAGACGACTGTTGTTCAAGTTTCATAGTACTTTTTCATCTTTGTTACCAGAATATACCTTTGAACTATCTGAAAGCTTATTTGTTGAGTTACTAATGCACTATTTATCATTACAGACGATGGCTGTGTGATTTTGAAAATGATTGTGGCGACAATTCAGATGAAGCAGAAGACATCTGTCGTGAGGCCTACAGATCTTGCTCGGAATCAGAATTTCAGTGTGCCAATGGAAAGTGTGTTCCCAGTCAGTGGCGCTGCGATCATGATGATGACTGTGGTGATAACTCGGATGAACTTGACTGCGTTGGATTCAAGTGTAAAAATGGTACCTTCCAGTGCGCAAGTGGACACTGTATCGCGTCTTACTTCCGTTGTGATGGCGACCGTGATTGCCGCGATTTGAGTGATGAAATCGGTTGTCCACCCAAATTCCCCGGAGGACGCTATTGTCCTGAAAATAAGTTTGAGTGCGCCAGGACTAAACTGTGCATACAACAAAGTGAACTCTGCGATGGCACGGATGATTGCGGTGATGGCTCTGATGAAGCGCCCAGTTTATGCACCAACTTCAACTGCACAACGCTGAAACGATTCCAGTGCGGTAACAAGAAGTGTATTCCCCTGTACCAAGTTTGTGATGGCATCGACAATTGTGGAGATGGATCCGATGAAAATGACTTTAGCCTCTGTCATACCAGCACAAGAAACAAACCTTGTGACCTTTATGCCGAATACCAGTGCGGCAACCGCAAATGTGTCGATAAAGCTGCCCTTTGCAACCACATTGATGACTGCGGTGACCTTTCAGATGAAGCTGGCTGTCATTATAACACAGTTTGCTCAGATGTGGACAAGGGTGGATGCGAGCATTATTGTGTCAATTTAACGGCAGGCTCTGGGTATCTTTGTGCTTGCTACAATGGATTCACAGTTAATTTAACAAACCAGAAAAAGTGCGTTGACATAGATGAGTGTGCCTTAGGCACTCACCATTGCTCTCAAGTCTGCACCAACCTCAATGGAACATACAGCTGTAGTTGTCGTCCAGGTTTCTCCCACAGTGATAGTAAAAGTGGTGTCTGTCGTGCCAATGACCCCAAGTTAACCCTAATTTATTCGAATGGACAAGAAATTCGAGGCTATAAGGTCAATGATCGTGAAGCTTTGGGTGTCATTAGCAACGAAAAACGAATTGAAGCACTCGACTTTGATCCAAAAACAGAAATGGTATTTTGGGCAGACTCTTCTGATCGGAGCATAAAACGCTCTTTCATGGTTGATGCGGTTGGCGGTCAGGTGAAAGTAGGCCATGCGCAGGATTTGATGATGAAAGGTATCTCTAAACCAACCAGTGTGGCTGTTGATTGGGTGGCAGAAAACCTATACTGGACTGAAAATGACCGCTCAGGTCAGAAACCCAAGGGCCGAGTGATGGTCTCCAAGTTGGATGGACGTTACCGAAGGTCGCTAATTACAGCAAGTTTGGACAATCCAACATCAATCGCAGTTAATCCACAGTTAGGCAAGATGTTCTTCGCTGATGCCGGCAACTTGCCAAAAATAGAAATTGCTTGGTTGGATGGAAGCAAGAGACGCCCTCTCGTGACAACTGGTGTGAGGCACCCAACAGGCTTGACAATCGACCATGCCATGGACCACAGTGTCTATTGGGTTGACACGAAGCTTAACTTAATCGAGGTCATGAAACACGATGGTACCAATCGACAGATAGTGATGAAAGGAGATGCACTGAAACACCCTGTGTCTCTGGATGTCTTTGAGAACAATCTGTATTGGCTCACCAGAGATGATGGTGAGTTGGTGCGCCAAGACAAATTTGGAAGAGGTGTTCCTCAAGTGCTCACGAGAAACCTCGTCAACCCTTCAGGCATAAAAGTCTACCATAAAGACCGTTACAATCAAAGTATTGCAGATCCTTGTAGTCAGGCCTCCTGCTCGCACCTGTGTCTTCTCATACCTGGTGGAACGCACTGTGCCTGTCCAGACGGCGTCAACCTTCGAATGGGTTCATCGGAGATCTACTGCGATGCTGCCTCCGAGAGACCTCGACCAGAGCCGAGGATATGTCTGTGTCAAAACGGGGGTGTTTGTCAGGATGGTGGAGACAAAGAGCTTAGTTGCAGTTGTTCTCCGGACTTCTCAGGTCCCTTCTGCGAAACTAAATCCCTTCGTTCCCGATCTCACGGCTTCATCAGCTCTGTTCTGATGATTCCTCTCATTATTTTAATCCTCTTGACTATCGCAGCTGGTTTTTACTTTGTCATCAAAAAGAAACCGATCGGCAAAGGTCCTCTTGGCTTGGTGAACTCTCAAAGCGTCTCGTTCCGGCAGGGCTCCAATGTCGAGTTCGGTGCTCCGCCTTTCAGCAGTAGCCCTCCGAGAGGAGAGCCTCTGGATGTTGAGTACAACATGACTGATATAGGAAGTAAAAATAGAGACTTTAGTAACCCTATGTATGATGCTCTAGGGAATATAGAGACAGTGGGGTCGAATGATGATGGAGGCATCTATGAGGTTCCATCCGACGTCACTAAAACAAAAATAGGTGTGGTTCAAGAACCTGCCTCGGCCATATTGGCACCACCTAGTAATATAGTTCAAAAATCCTCTCCACAGATTCACGTTCGACATAGGGAGTTGGATCCCTCGTCGACTGACACTGGTAAAGATACGCAGAAATTAGTTGAAGAGGACAAATCTGAATGTTAATGTTGAATGTGCTTAAAAGTCTTGACAAAGGGTTTAAAGAAGGTTGAGTCTTCTGAACTTTGTCACTTTTAGTGTTTTATCGTGAGCTTTGAGGCTGCTACATATTTTACCGGAAGCATTGGAAAGGGCTAAAAAATTATTATCAAGAATCTACCCATTTTTGGTCATCTCAAAGAAATTCTCCTGAAGAGTTTTATGAATATGTAATTTGTACTTGTTGGAGCTTTGCAATAGAAAATTGATGAAAATGCACTGTGGTGAAAAAGAATCAAAGTATGCAAGGAAGTTGAAATTTTATATCAAATTCAACAAACCCTAATTTTGTTGAGCCAATTAGATCTGCAGATTTGCAAGCTACACTCTGATGATCAAATCTTGACTTTTAACCAGATTTTAAACAAATTAGATGACGTTTTCAGTACGTAAAATTTCTTTCTCCTAGTGATAAACCCTGGTCGAGAGTGCTGTCATAATTATATTTCTAATCTGATGACATTTTTGCTAAGAGGAATAATGAAATTGTGCAATATTTTCCAAAAATGTTTTTCTTAATCACTTTATACCTACTTAATAAGCCTCCACACACTATTAATTTCCTGCAGATTTGTTCCAAAGCTAATCCAAAAGACGTATATATTTTATGACTAAGAGTTTCTAGTTCAGTTGCCTCAACCTTTTTCTTTCCCCGCAGGCACTATGTTTTTGTTAGAACTTTAATGTTTTTGTTTATTAATTGTGATCAAAATTTGATCTTACATTCCATTTGTAAAAATATGAAAACTAGAGAATGTTATTGCAAATGTGTTACAAAAATGTTACCTTCTTTCATCGGAGGATGTTGCCTAGTAACATTGAGCTCGATCAGACTTTTTTTTTTTTTGGAAGTCTTACAATCCATTAACTCGTCACCTTTTCTTATGGAAAGAAAATTATCCATATGTACTTGCAAATTCATCGCCTTATTTTTGTAGACCTCTCATTCTTATCGCAAAGAGGGAAAAACTACTGCATTAAATCCGTTAAACTGTTAGGACGTTGCCCTCATAATTTTAATTGATCGCCTGTGCGAATTAACTTTGAACTAAAGGTGTTGGCAGAAAAACAAGAATGAAACACTTTGATGGTCTGTTCGTATTTAATCATTCCGAAGCTTTTTAGAGTTCACAGTCATAATTTCTGGGTTTCCAGCTAGTCAAAAACCTCCTCATTTCTTTTCCATAGATGAGACATTCTTCAGCAAGAGATCAAAATATTTTCCGTCCAGTTTCCTCTAATTTATGACAAACCATAAACTTATGGCTAAATATTGTCATGGCAGATATATATATCGATGACTAAAATGCGAAACCATGTATCTCTATTGTCATGTTTTAGAATTTCCGCTCCTATTTCATTTTTAGAAGAAAAACAAGCCAACTTCATACCTCGGAATTTATGTACAGAATATTATGCCAATAGAAAAAAAACATCAAGAAAGTTTCTAAGAAATTATGTTGACTAGCTTTTCAAAGAAAAAATAAAGTGTGACAGGAAGTCTGCAATGTTGCAAACGGAGGTACTTGGTTTCGCTTTTCGGCCATCCATAAGCATTTAATGTTAGAGAGTGATCCAGTGTATATCCTCCTCTCTTGAAGAATACCGAAACTATGGTTGTGGATTTTTTCAAGCTTGAACAAACTTTTTTATTATCTGCCTTCGGAAATAATTTGTTCGAGGGTGTTTTCCTCTGATGATGGATGGTGCATTTCGAGTCATAGCTGTGTATAAATATTGTTTATGATTGAGATTTTTTATTATTTTGTACAGTAACTAGTCCTTAAATTAGGTGTTATTTTTCAATAATTGATGCTTTTTCAACTCAGATCCAAAATCATGGATCGACCCAGTAGCCGAGGCGGATTCCTGCCATCCGAAGGAAAAACGCTGTATGAACCTTTAAGCGCTACCATACTCCTTTGATCAAAAGCTAATTTCCTGCGAGTTTTGTGAGAATCATTTTCTTCCATTTTTCAGACAATTTTGTTTACAATTTGATCTTAAATATCTGAAAATTTCAAGGAAAAATATGCATAACTTTCCTCAAGAATACATGTTATATCCACGGAAATTTGGCAACTCTCAAGTGTTCATACAACGTTCTTCAGATTTGCTAGAATCCTCAAAGTATTTTTCTTTTCTTTTAATTACTGGATTAATTTAAGATTTTGGCAAAAATTGAAGCAAGCCCCCTCCATACAGTTGGTGTCTGAAAAACTTTGTTGATGATTTTGTTAGAACTAATTTTGATAACGAGATATATAGAAAAACAATCCAAATAGCCAAGTTTCCTCTTATTTTTTGGAGCTCCACCAATCATCTGAAAATTATCACTTGATTTCATGCTCATGTTTCACATGAATATCTATAGGGTTATTTTTATGAATATTAAATTTGGATAATATATCCTATCTAACTTTAATGCCTGTCATGTCAGCCACTCAATTATCTTTGTCTTATTTTTACAAATAGATTATTTACTTGCATCATCTTCCAAGCTTTCTTACGAATCAGTAATATCAGTGGAATTGAAAAAATTTCATCCGTTAGGATTTCATCTTGATAGCTCTACCTGTTTACCGATAAGAACTAGATCTCTATGGAAATTTTGGGCACTAATTGTAAGGGGGAATTTCTTCAGGTTGGCAGCTATTTAAAATTCTCTCTGGGTTTCATTTAGATTGAACCGAAAGAGTTGCAAAAAATCGTCAATCAATTTTGTAATTTTTCCAGATTCTTTTGTTTCCTTACGATTAGTCGTAGAAGTATAAAAAAAACTCAGCTTTTATACATACGGTAATCCTTGAGCTGTTTCCCTGCAATAAAGTAATGCTTCTGTCAAGATCTTTGGCTGTGAAACTGATCCGCTTTTAATCACTCTGCGCGTAGGTAGGATGTAATTTAAGATGAATGTCAATGTTACATCCATTGTCTCGCTGAGTAGAATGTGATGTCAGTTGTCTTCTTGTAATATACATGTAAAGCATAATAGAAATCGTCGGCAAAAACTTAAAGTAAGTTTGAAACTCTGACCGGAGGCAAATATACTTTCGATTTTAGAATCCGTCAGAAAAAAAAATCTGTGCTATCGAAAGGATTCCCTAAAAAGAAGCGTTTGAAGGTCTAAAAGGAGAATGGGGGCAACATACTTTAGAGAAAGAGTCTATGGTTTTTTAATAAATTGAGTTAATTGTGAAAATTTTTTTAGCAGAATTGCTCTTACTCCTCAGATTTTTATTGTTATTTTTTCTATTTGTATTTTTTTACAGAGAACTATTTTAAAAGTAGTTTTTATAAGTAGTTTAATACTTAAATAAATTCAAGAGCAGAGGAAAATTGATGGTCGAATTCATCAGCCTAAAAGCTTACCTCTTTATACATAATTTGTCAACAAATATGTTGTTTTAAAAGCCAATGTTCTCACCTAGCAGCCTTGTTTTTCTATCAGGTATTTATAAATGAACAAAAGGGGTTCTCAAGCTCCTGAAGGCATTTTCAATGGCCCACTGGACAGTACAATTCTCATTCTTGCAAGGAATGTAACCAACATAATTGTTAACTGATCAGCCTTATTTTTAGTTAGCTTTTTGAAATACTTCAGCGCACTGAAGAACCTTGCCAATTAACAGCCATCTGCCTTAAACTGTCAAAGGCTTATCTTCTCATACTTGTTTAAAGAAAATTATCTTGAGAATGTTTTAACTTTATGACCTGTCTTGGTGCCTTAGAAGAATTACATATATAATGCAACTAAGGGTGCTATTTTTTTAAGTTAAAGTTTAAATGCCAGAATACAATTCAATCCTGCGATTAAAAAGACCCCTGACCGAAATTCTTCCTTTCATATGATGGCTGTCTTATTTTGAATCAAAAAAGAAAATAAAAATAGACTACCAGAGGTTATGTGTCAGGTTTCACTTCTGATGATATTGGAACTTTTTTCTTGTCCCTTCCTAAACTATAAACTTTTGCCTAAATTAATGACAGTACATTTTGATAATTTTGTACAATGTTAAGTGCCTCTTCGAGTGTCTTCCATTTATTCATAAACGGCGAGGACAAAACTACCAATTAATTTTAAAATTTTCAATTGTTAAGTCATTTAGTGTAAAATTTATTTTACAAAAGAAAGCCTACAAGCTGTGAAAAAGGAACTAAACGATAAGAGGGTATTTCACTGCAATTTTAGTTGTTCCAACAATAACTACTTTTCCTCCCTCACTGTGTCTCTACTTTTGTTGAAAAGTAAATTTGACTTTAAGTTTTTGGATGCGTGTATAGTATTATTGTTATTATGTACACATAAACTTATATTTTTGTATGCTATTTTTATGTAAATATTTCTCTTTTTTCGTACAGCAAAATCGTGCCTATTATGCGGAATCCAAGAAAGAATACACTTGGTGCAATATTGTGTAACTATCAAATTTTACAATCAAACTACAAAATCACAATAAAGTCGGAGCCTTTCAGTGGCTTTATTTGCTTTTAATTGCAAATTAGTATTAACAAAGGGCTCCAATTTGTTTTTAAATTGAAAGTGTCTTTTCTCCAGTTTAGTTTGGGTCTGATCAGATTTTTTTTATGGGGAAACTATTCGCAGAGGGCCCAATAAAAATCTCTGCTATACATTTTCTATGAAATTAGAGGGAGAGGGACTCGCAAATATTTATAAACCTTGTGAAAATGGATTAATATGAATTTCCTTTCTTTTCTATTTTCTATTATTGTGACAAAATTGCACTGTGAATCATCAGTTATTTTTTAAGGGTTAGTCTTTTTCATGCTCTCTTTCTCTCTTATTTCATATTATTTCTGGCAGCTTTTTTCTTCTTCTTTTTTTTTATCAAATACCAAACTCTGGGAAGAATTACTTTTTTTTTTTTTTTTGGAAAGAGCATTTTGAAAGTGGTCTCAAGCCATAATTCAACTTTGTTACACGCTTTGATTTTATTTATTTATACTTTTTTTTAACTCACCATCCCTCCCCTCCCAATTAAGAAAAAAGAAAGTGTAACCGGATCAAAGAAGTAGAATAATTTTATCACTCAATATAAGTAATTATTTGTGAAACTGTAAAAAAGGGAGCAGTGAAACTCCAATTTAAAATAGTTTTAAAATTAGTTGTTCCATTTTTTAATCATGAAGTTCATTGCCTTGATCATACTATCTTCGTATTACACTTGTGATAAATTCTTGTAAACTCTAGGCTGAAATTTCTGACCAATAACTTTGAGTAAAAGAAAAATGTTAAGAGTTGCTAGAATTCATCAAAGTTGATGTCAGAAGATTTTTTTCAAAGCGCATGCGGTTAGAATGCTCACGTTTCTCAGCTCTTAAAATTTAACAAATGAAATGAAGCATCCAACTCTCCAAATTTTTATGGTGGAATGCTACTTTTGTTTTTTCATGGTTTTACAGCCTTTTGTCTTTTTTTTTTTATTTTGACGACTACTAAGCAATCTTAACTATGTTTCTTTAAAAAGCAGTTGGTTAGCATGTGTACCCATGGTGGAATTAACAAAAAAGGATTCAGCAGCAACTCATATCTACAAACTTGCCAGCAATAATTCAGCTCTTAATATTTCAGGGCAAAGCAAGATTACAAAGATAATTCTCAAGCATGTGTTCCTTCTGGTTAGTTTCCCCATGGCTTATAACTTATCTTTATATTTTTAGCCCATTTTATTGTTTTTGTTGTTTTTATTGTAAATGATCAAATTCTTTCGGAAGGAATTTTTGTAATTAACACAAGGGAGAGTACTAGCCCTTCCATCTTTTATGCAACTTGTTGTCAATTCATATTTTATACTTTGTTTACTTCAATTGAAATAACTCCTTGTATCAATAATAATTTATTGAAATGTGTGTACATAATTCAATTCCGTCTTTTTATTTTGTCCCTGATGTTAACTCTTCAAATTTAAAACATTGGATTTTTTGCTATTCGTGAGTTTGCCAAATTTGAAATTGAAAATTGGAAAAATGGCAACCAGGCGGATTTAAATTTACAAATTACAATGTGATTGAACATATCAGAAAAGAATTTTTTTTTGAAAAATGTTCACTTAAAGCACAACTTGATACTTCAATTTTGGAGTGAGATATGCGATTTTAAAGTTTCAACTTGGCAACGCTGCTGCTCAGAAATATAATCTTTCCCGCGGCTGAAATTTTCAGGATATTAATGATTTCAAGTAAAACCAGTCTTAATGCACATTCTGTGAAAAATTCGCTCTCAAATTCCAATTTTTAAGCATCAGGATGTCAGTTTGAACTTTCTTTCTGCCATACGGATCGGTGTAATGTTGAAACTTCAAAAACGTACTTCTCGAAATAGCAAAAACTGCACTGATGCGTCTTGTCCTCCAAGTCACTCAACTGGGGCCACAGGGTCCCTGACCCTGTGAGTTACAAAAATGTTTGAACAAGAATGAATAGATGATTTGGAGTGGTCCCAGCGAAGGGCTACTTTATTATCACAAATTGTCTTACAATTTTCTATTTTCAAAGTCTACTGGTAATACAAAAAAAAAAGAGAAAAAAAGGGGAGGAAATGCCTCTCACTGTAACATTTTATTCAAAGAGGCAACTAAATATTGATCATGAATAACGGTTAGTTGGAATAGCCTCACTGTTCAAAGCTACAGGTTCCAGTCAGGAACAGTGCAGTACTGCTAGAATAAATTAAAATGCTTCAATCCCGAATCCAGTTATTGAGAGCAAGTCAAAATTTACGATCCCATTACAAATGACATTAGACTGCATTGTGTACAATCTGAATTGTATCGAAAATAAGGAGAGGAAGCTCAGACTACGCATCCAGACGGCAGTCGAGGCATAAGGTAAATAGACTATGTAAATACAAGCTCCTTAATAAATAATTATTATTGATATTTTTCTTCCTGGCACGGTTCATTTGAACCCAAGTTAAATGAAGAGTCGATGCACTCATGATTTCTCTTTAGAACCTTGAAGTATGATGTAAATGCATTACTTCAAGCCCAAAACGAATATATTCTGCCCAGCTCTCTGAAAATATGGCCGATTTTAAGGTTCTTAGCCCTGAATCTGCTGAAAATTGCTGATTACGGAGCAAATAACCAATAATTATGGCTGTACTCTTTGTTTTTTAAAGTTGTGGGGGCGTCGGGGGCAGATAAAGGCCTTTTTCTTCCTTTATTTCCCTCCCCCGCCCCCTGCTCCCTTCCATAAAAAACCATTCACGCCCATGCATATGCATGCGCCCAAATTGATATGCATGTCTTGCTAGTTTGAGTTAATCGGTCGTTTTACTGTGGTATGGTGGGGTGGGAGAAAGAGGGGATGATCCGCCCCAAACATAAGCTCATATACTTGCACCCCCCCCCCCAATCACGACGACCATATCCTTACTCCAACCTGAGGTTGGGTGCTAACACTTATCTTATTTTGCACACCAGCACAACAGCTGCGCGTGCTGCTCATCACAGAAGCAGTAATGATTGTCAGTAAGTGTAGACAATAAATTGATCGAATTTCACTCACTTACTCATTTTACTCATTTTACACACTGTGCAGTATGGACCAATTACTACAAAGTGGACAGACGGACTCATCACTCGCAATCAGTTTCTTTATGCAGTTCGAGTGACTTGCTAAGCTACTAAGTGCCTGTCGTGCGTTGTTCCCTTTCTTTTTCAAAGTATTCCTCGTATTGCAAATCATGGGACTAAATAGACGTAGATCACATATAGAAATCGCAACAGTTTGTGTGTGCTTTGTTTCGTGAGGGGGAAACTAATTGAAATTACCCGAGTTTTGAGTGACAAAATCAAAGCAGTAGTGCCACAGAACGATCCTAAGGACGTGTTTCTTCTGCGCGCACGTTTCTTTTTGCTTAGGCTGTAAACGAAAGTTGTACAGGCGCAATAATGGACAACTCCCTGTAGTGCAACCGGACTACTCCCCATTCCTTGGAATAATTCAGACAAGGTCGAAGGATGGTGGATGTCATTGCCACCTATGTAACCTGGTGAGCCTCCCAGTACACGCCAATTTTGTTAAACGCAAGGGTGGTACCTACAGTGTTCCCGCCGGCATGCGATATTTTCACCCGTAAATCTAAAGTGGGACTCACCACAAAACGCCAAGGAAAGAAGAAAGCGAGATCTAGAAATTCATGCTCCAAGTGTTACAGTATAGTTCATCCTGGTATCAATCCTAATTGTAATAAAGCGTCGCTCATAAAAAATTTATGTTCAGCTATGGGAAAAGAACGCAATCTGCAGAGTCAAGAACGAGTCACTTCATCAATGTTGAAACATGTTATTGATAAGAAATAATCGTCAGCAGGCAAAACTGACAATTCTTCTGTTACCTTTCTGTCCCAGTTATTGGGAAAAAACCTTTGAAAGTATGTCTAACAAATAGCATTAATCCTAAACACGTAAACAAATTCTTGTTAAACTTAGAGGTTTTTAAAAACATACAAGGATCCTTTAATCCAAATTTAAATATGACTTTAGTGATAGCACGCGTAATTAGAGTTGCCACAAAAAATAGGAAAATTATTAATCCTAACTTAAAGAAGGAACTGGAGCTCCTTACTCACGAAGTTGATCCATATTTTGTAGTTGAAACCGTACAATTTGCAAATATTAAAAAGCAAGTCAGAACAATTGAGAAAAAGCCCTTAGTTTTTTGTAACGATGTCGATACTTTTATACAGTTTATAAAAGATAAGCGAAATATGTCTAATCATGTGTTAAAAATCGGCATAGATGGTGGTCAGGGTTTTCTCAAGGTATGTTTATCTGTTCAATCCCCAGGAAAGAACTCTGTAGACGTTAAAAGTGTTAGGCAAACATATGAGCAGGGAGTTTTAGCTAAGCAGTTTTTAGATTCTGGAGTGAAAAAAATATTCATACTAGCTATTACGCCACACACGCAAGAGAACTCTAAAAATGTAGCCATGATGTGGTCTAGATTAGAAATAAATAGTTTAGATCCATTCATTGCGACAGATTCAAAACTTGCGAATCTCCTCGTGGGCATTACGTTCCATTCTAGCTGCTTCCCTTGCTCCTGAAGTGAAGCTGAAAAGAGTGCACTCCATTTATTAGGACCACACCGTACAGTTGGCAACATAATGCAAAATTATTTAAAGTTTGTTGAATCAGGTGAAAATTACAAGGAATCCAAGAAATTTAAAAATTGTATCCACCCAACTGTTTTCAGTACAGAGGACAAACTTATATTGGATATTGTACTACCCCCAGAGCTGCACCTCTCATTAAGAGTTGTTAATACAGTTTATGATCACATGTTAAAACACAACGAAGCAGATGCATTAAAGGGGGCTTCTCTTAGTAATGTCAAGCGAGACATGACCCATGGGTCGCCTGAATTCAATGGGAACTCCTGTCGTATTTTATTGAAAAAGGTAGATTCATTGATGCGAGACTCGCTTGCATGCTTACCATTTGTAGAGGTACTCCAAAACTTTAAGCTTGTGGTGGATGCCTGTTTCTCAACCACTTTGCATGCAAATTACAAAAATGCTATTCAAATTTTTAAAGAAAGCTACTTTGCATTAGAACTACCAGTTACACCCGAAATTCATACTGTATATTATCATGTAGGAGATTTTTGTGAAAAGAAACAACAAGGTCTCGGCTTTTATAGCAAGCAAGCCCTTGAGAGTGTCCATCAAGATTTTAAAGCCACATGGCTAACATACAAAGTACAGAAACGAACTCTAACTACTTAATTCAATTGCTTCGCGCAGTTCGTGAGTAAAATTTACTGCACTTGTAATCTTTGTGGGTATCTTAATCATTACTTAAAATTATGCTAGTATGCTTCATTGTTTTTATAATTCCATCCCTAACTGATTTTATGCAATTTTTGTATGATTTATGCTGCTATGTCGTCCTGTATTCATTGTTTGCTTATATGCTTCCATTCATAGTAGATTTTATGCTTGATTGCTTTTGTGCCATTCTAACATGGTTTATGCTTTGCCATATTTTATATTCAAATGCTTTCAATATAACTAACCCTCTATTTTCTTTAAAAGACTAGTTTTTCTTCAAATATTCCAATTAATCCTGTATTTTTAATACATTTTAAAGAATATTGAAAGGTAAACTCAAAAATTAAACGCATCTTCATTGCGACGTTTCAGAGTTTCTGCTCGTATATTTTTCTACTTTCTTTACTTATAGACGAACCGTAGGAAAGATTTGAGAGACATACTTCCACTGACTTTCATTGTCATTGTAAAAAAAAACGACTCAAGTTTTCATTGAAATTCTGCAAAATTCTTGGCTGTAAAAAATAATAGAAGGAAATCTGCAACGCTGCAATAAGCAATTGTGCAATTTTTGAGTTTGGTCATCAGTATTCTACTTTGGGTCCAACCCATCAACTCGAACTAGCAAGACGTGCATATCAATTTGGGCACATGCATATGTATGGGTGTAAATGGTTCTTTATGGAAGGGAGCGGGGGGCAGGGGAGGGGAATGAAGGAAGAAAAAGGCCTTTTTCTGCCCCAGACGCCCCTGCAACTTCAAAAACAAAGAGTACAGCCATAATTATTGGATATTTGCTCCATAATCAGCAATTATCAGCCGATTCAGGGCTAAAATCCTTCAAATCGGCCATATTTTCCGAGAGCTCGACAGAATATTTTGGTTTTGCTCTTAAAGTAATGCATTTTTATCATACTTCAAGGTTCTGAAGAGAAATCACGAGTGTATTGACTTTTCATTTAACTTGGGTTCAAACGAACCGTGCTGGGTCAACCATCTTTGCATTTTAATCATTCTACACTGTGCCATTTAAGTCTATTTAACTGGCAATTTTTCATCCTCGAAATCCCAAAACTGCATAAAGTAAACAAAACACCCTGAGACACAGCACTTTACTTAATGACAAGAAAATGGCCATAGCTTGCCCCCCTGTTGACGCGGTCTATTTGCTCTACAGTTGAAGTCCTGCACCAGCTTAAATGAATGGGTATTCAAAAATTTCATACTTGCAACTTGAAAGTAACAAACTTATTTTGAGGGGTAAGGAACAGTACCGGCTGACTGACAGTTTTGGTGAAAGCAAATTAGTGCCTTAGCTGCGTTCTACAGTAAAAAATACGCAAGCTAATGGTTTTAGTTTTTCCCAATTCTACATCAGAGAGCTGTAATAATGTTGTAATGTAAAAAAAAAAAAAAAATGCGAATCTGGCCTCAAAATTACAAAAATGGCGAGGTTTTACCTCCATCCTATAAAATTGTCAGTTTGCAGTTGGGCAGTAGTGTTCCTTAGCCATTGATTTGATCATATGTTCTTCCATTTCTTTAATCTCTTCTGATGTCGTATAATTCTGAAAATCTTAGTTTAGGCAAACAGAGTGAAACCATCCATTTCTTCTAATTTATAGAAATATCGCGTAGAGGTCAGTATCCAGAAAAAACTTTCCATGGCTATTGATTTCTTGTAACTTAAAAAATATCTTGTAGAGGCCAGTATCTTAGAGAATTAATGAATCATTCCTTTCAAATAGAACGAAACAATGCTTTTATCCAACTGATTTGAAAGGGAGAAACTTGAAAACTAACAATAGGAACAAATATTTAATGAAATGTAGTTTGATCAAGTTTCAATGATTGTGAGTTTTTGATAATTATGGAAACGATGATGCTTAATTCAACAGAACAACATCTATTCTACGCAAGGTTGACAAGAATCAACTGCGGTCATTCAACTCCTGAGGAGTTCTATCTTTGATACAATTTCTTCTCCATGAGACTCAATTGATAGTTAGAGGGTAAAACAACCCTTTCTGAGAGAAGGATTAAGAGTCCCACCGACTTTTCCTTTCTCTTTTTTTGGCCGGAGCTGCTGGTTTCTGAGCGCCGGACGGATTTTCTAGAGTTTGTTCCCACGTATGGTCTTCTGAGGCTGTGAACTGAAAAGTAAAAATAAATAATTAATTATACACCAAAACTTATGAGAGGTTAATGAAAAATTGTAAAAGATGTTTTTCTAGATGGATGGTATTCTCACCCAAGCTCAGTAGTGTAATCCACTGAAACTGATTTTGTATGGTAATTTATTTCTGTGTTATAGTATAATTTTGCAGTTGAACATAAGATAACCTGAAAAATTCCTGATTGAAAATATACAATATTGTAAAAGTGTATTGTAAAAGTATTGTATAAAGTCATTGTAGCTAATTTTCTTTCTTCTTTCCTCAAAGAACCGATCATGAAAGCCTGATAAATCAATTTTCACCCCTGAAGGATGAGTTTTGGGATTATTTTGAACAGTTCAACATTACTGATTTTTGCATGTTTCAGCCAAAGCTACTAATCGGTCAATGGGTTAAAAGGGTCATTTGGCAAAATTTAGGCTCACAAGCTGCTAATCATGAGGTAAAAAATAACGTTGAACTCCAAACCAAATGTTTACATTGTCCAATTACGTAACTTAGATTGTTAGTGCAGGGACTCTGAAATACATATATATTGTCTCTGATTCCACCAAAAGACTCAAAGTTAAAGAACAAGTTTACAAACACAGTATTTTTTCTCAACTTTGAAATTTTGACAGGAAAAAATGTGTGACTAATTATGCTAAACTCAAATTCTTTCAAGCTGAAAGGAACCAAGCCACATCAGCTATTTCCACATTTCATTGGGCAATTTAATTTTTTACATAAAAACGGTTGTGTGGATTTTTGTGCAACTTTCAGTGAATTTTCTGCATAGTGCAAAACAAACTCCTTAAAATTTTCTAAGGAAGCCGCACAAACGTTCTCCAGTAAAAAATTAATTGCCCACTTAAATTCGGCAATACCCAATGTGACTTGGTTCATTTTTGCTTACTGCGGTCCATTTTCCTCTCAAAAATATGAATTGGCTCATTTTGCTTTATTTGGTCCAACAGTGCAGTGGAATGGAATTTTTAGCAAGGCCCAATTATTTTTCTTGGCCGTAGTATTGTTATTCTCAGGTAAGATTGTGTGAAAAAACCAAAAAGTTCATTTAGAAGTTCAAAAAATCATTTCTATAGAGAGAAATGCCAATCAAAATGCGAACAATCGGAGGCCGACAATCGAGTATACGGTGCAAGGCAATACTTGAAAATGAGTTTAATTAATCAGCCAACACTGATTCTCCTGACTGGCTACATCATCAGCGCCCGTCAAAAGTATCCTTTCAAATTTGCCCCATTTTTAGCATTTTCAAAACTGGGTTCTTGGCCATTTAGGGTTGAAAAAAAATCTGGGGGAATTCCTGGAAGCTTAGTTCACTCTATACTTTTAGCAAATTGATTTTAAAAAAGGTCCTTCTGACCCATTGGTAAGACTGCTTGATATTGCTCGCACTCAAAGTCAACCCAAGTTAGCCAAAAGGACATATTAAAAAGGTGCTGCACTCCTGACTGTTTCTTGATGTAGAAATTATATCAACCAGTTGTTACAATTTGTTGTGCAGTTGTGTGTTGCCACACAATTCAGAGAATTTATTTGCCTGACTGATTCCTGATTTCCTGGTCACATTTTAGTAAAATTCCCTGACAATTGAAGATATGCCAGATGGTGAAAGACATAATTTGAAATAATTTTAGGCAAAATTTGTTAATTGAAACGTCAAACCCATTCTAGAGAGCAAGTAAAGGTGACTCAACAGTTTTTCCCAGACATTTCCGAGTATTCCTTGCCTGTGGCATCTGGCAACCCTGACCAGTTGCTAAACATTTTTTAGATATGAACAGGGAGCCTTTGCGGTTTTTATCTTTTCCTGATTTGTATTTTCATATTTTTCCTGCATTACATATTATCCTGAAGAGCCATGTCTTTTAGAAATTGGCATTTGAAGACGCACTTTTTCCTTAAAAAATGGAAACTTCCAAATCTTGCTCCAATCTGAATTGCCATAGAGGAAATATAATTTTGAAATTTGGGCATTACCTGGCTCATATACTGAGCTTTGAAAGCAGCTTTAACAGCAGAAAGTCTATCAGAGCCGGGGCCTGTTCTTGGAGGAATGGATTTGACTATGTCACTAAAGTCACAGCTGCTAGGACCACTGGCTTCGGAGCTGCCTAAACCAGGTCGCTCTCGAAAACCAAGACCTTTCCCACCTACATTTATTGATTTTCCTTTGCCACTCTTAAACCTTGACTTTCGGAACCAGGCGTTCTGGAAAAATAACATGAAAAAAGAAAATCAGTAAATTAATACATAGCAGCTGAAAATAGACCTAATTAAGCTAAGCATATTTACTTAACATGAAAATGGACTCAACTATGACAGAATGTATAGTGCAGTTTTACTTTAAGGCGTTAAAATGAGACTATCCAAAAAAAGGAGGCTTCAATGAACTATATTCTCGACCAAGAGAAAAGAAATATGAAAAACAAAAACCAGAAATTTGCATGGATTTTCTTACAAGCTCATGCCCCCTGAAATTGCATGTTCCCGCTTAGTGTGCCCCCAAGTTAGAATCATGGCGACCTAGTTCTCATCAGATGAGGGTGAATGAGGACCAAAACTGGACCTGTAATCATGTTACTGAGATCCAGTAACACCAGGAATGTTGAGTGGAGCAAAGGTTTTCAAAAAAAGGTTTCTTTTTAAACACCCTAATGCAAGAGAGATTTAGAGTACAAAACTTGCCTTCTACATATATAAACAAATTGAAAAAATAGGAAGTGAGTTTTTGAAATTTATTTTATACATTGAAAGAATTCTACATGTGATGTTTTTGGGTAGCTTTGTTCATTCCCTGGAAGGCTATCTGATCTATTTTCCGCTAATTTTGGTTTCTCGCCAAGAACAGTAATATTGAAAAAATCAGGTCATAGGTCATCATTTTTTCATTCAACATGTATGGCAGCACCAAAATTGAAAAAAAGATTACTCGAATGACACATCAGGTATGCAAAACGTACAGAAATAAAAAAAAAAACCTTTCAGAATACCAGCTGGAGGACCAGGGCACCCTCCCCCCCCCTTCAAATTCTTCCAACAAATCTTCGTTATTATCGAATTTTGATCATTCAAAATTATTTAATTCATTGGGTCACTTCTGCACCTTTGAGAAAGGCTCCGGAAATAACACTTCCTTAATTCAGTGTTCCCGAAAACCTGACTTGAATAGGTTTTTTGAGTTTGGGGCTCCACGTATTGTTAATAAATTGGTCAAGGACAGAAAGAACCCAAAAAGTTGATTGGGACAAAAGCAGCCTATATGTGTATTAGTTTTTTCAGCATATGCTTCGACTGACTCATGCGCAAAATGGTGGCGCAAATGCTCATGTTCTGAATGGTTACATTATTGAAACTGAAAGTGACAAAGAGAGGGTCAACCTGCATCAACTATGTCAAAGTAAACTAGTCTGTAGGGTGAAAATAACCCCTTTAAATTTTTACAGAAGATAAGAGCAAACAAAAATACATCTGAATGATGGATTGACTTTTCTCCAATGTTTTTGGTGGTTAAGAAACAGTAATAAAGAAATGTTTGTTGTAATTAAAAAAGTACCTGATTAGCAAGATCTAGGAGAGCCTTTGGCACTGGTTGACTAGCACCTTCTAGATTCCTGACTAAATGTCCTGCGAAGTCTTTGTCTTTATCAGTTACTAAAGAATATGCGGTTCCTTTGAGTCCAGCACGACCTAATTTAAGAAGATATACAAAATTAAAATCACTGCCAATGCGTTTCAACTTGCATTCAAAAAACGGAGGGCAATGTGGATGAAAGAGAAAGTAATTTTGACCACTTGGACATATTATTTCTACCAAACGGAACCAGAGACAGGTGGGAAAGAAGGGGTGTGCTCGTTAGTCGAGGACCGTAAGAATGAATGGGAATTATAGAGCGCCATTGACGTCAGTGGCAACGAAGCCGCGTTTGTTTCTTATGCAGCTTTGAATGGTAAACCCCATCTTTCCCACTCGTCCATAGCTTTATTTGGCAGAGATATGTCCGTTTCTTGTAAATTAGAATGTCAGTTTGACTCAAAACTGGACATTCTGCTGTGTCTCCATTTTAAAAACAGAATTGTTCGGTCATCAAATTGCAGAAAAGTTATACATGGGAGATAGATTGATGTTTGATTAGATGTACAAAAGATCGTTAAACCTTCCGAGCATAATTTTCCTGCTATTTTCAGGCTTAACTATTTGATTGTACATTGCAAATGGACCACAGCAGGGGTGCAGAGCTTCTAGATAACACAATCATGATTGCATGAAGAAATTAGAAAGTTGTAAAAATTAGGAAAGCCAGCTTGCAATAACATTGAAAACTCATGTTTCATGGAAAACTGCTCTTCAATTCATGTACATCTTATAGCATTGTGGTGGCATTTGCGAGCTTTTTGACAAAATTGCGACAATTTGTGATTAAAAGACAAAGGTTGCTAGCTGTCTGTTTCCACAGGAGCACGAGTCAGAAATCACAAGACTTTTTACATCCATGCAAAATGACGCTTCATAGGCAAGACCGAAAAGGATAAAGATATTTTTCAGCAAAGGATGGAATTTTGTCCCCATTGGATACCAACGCATTTTAGATTTACCAACACATGGAAATTTTACAACATCAATTATGAGAACTAAAAATTTGAACTCTGGTTCATTAATAATATCATTACTTAAATTTAAAATAGTGTATTGTAAAAGGACCGAGTTTATCAGAAAGGAACCGAGCCACATTTTCGAAAAAATTGAGTTAAGAATGCTCTTGAGTTCCACTAGTAGGTATAGTAGTTTATTTTCTCCTTTCAAAATGTGAAAGTCGAAAAGAAAAAAAAAAACTAATTAGTGAAAAGTGATTTATTTTCTGCATTGAGCCTTATGCATGGATAAAACTTTCAAGCTCTTTTTCTCAGTTTCAACTTAATGTGGGTTGGCTCCTTTCTGATGAACTCGGTCCAAATACATATTCATTTGTGAAATGACGGCTTTCAACTAAAATGAATTCGACTTTGCGATTTCTGATTTCTAATTGATAAAAAGAAGAGAAAATATGATTTGATTGGAAGTCTGTTGATTTACACAAAATCTGAGGGACTTAGTGCCTGTGCACAAAGGCGTGGCTTAGTTACTGTACACTTTACCAGTGTTGCAATGCATTTTGGCTATACCCTTAAATCTCCATGATAATTGAACTGCATTTCGTAATGAGGACCCACAATTTCTGCTTCATCCATAAAAATACTTAATAACCATAGGGAAACTAATGGTACATATGTTGTTTCTAATCTGAGATACAAACTGTAGTTCTTAATTGAGGCATACGCTGAAATAACCACCTATACGCGTATAGGTGGTTTTTCCGGAGATCGGTCCCTTCGAACCATTGTATCCTTGGGTATCGCTGGTAGTGATAGCAAGTTGATCCCTTGATTACTCAGCTCAAGAATCCAATTTTAGTGAAGTCAAGTCAGACTGGTTGGCGGGTCTACGGAATAATCATCTATACGCGTATCGGTGGGTCTTTCATTCATCAACGCGGTAACGCACTGTATCAGTGTCTCAGGCTTTCAGGACTGTGACTGCACCAGGTATACTTGACGATAGTTTTCCAAGCTGATACTCCCAAGTTTTCAGAAGACTGGTTTTTAAGTTCCTATTTTTCTTAATTTTGTCTTTGATTACAAGTTTCTATCATTGTTCACGATCAAAATTGAAAGTTTTTCTTTGTTTTCTTATTTCCATTACATCATATGATGAGTCACAAAGCATTAATCGTGTTTTTAAATAAACCATTCAGCCATTTTACCTTTAGATTAGGTGTTCCATGGAATAACCACCGATAACAATCTTTTATAAACTGTCAATTTTGTAGTGAAAACGAAAATAAGACCAAAAACTGCACGGTGGGTCGTTTGAGGGATACCATGAATTACAAAAAATGCTTATGCAGTTTTCCTACCGCAAAAACCCAGCGATGCATCTCAGAATCAAACCTTGAAATGCAATTTTCTCAAAACTATGTTTTCAGCTATAGGTGGTTATTCCAGATGACGCCTCAATTGCAAAATGTTGTCCAACTCATCATTAATAAGAGTATCTTTTTAATTTTCGTCAAAAATTAAATACATCTCCACAAAAACTAGGTAGTAAATTAGGGAGCTTTTGATGAAATGAAAGGTTTTTTTTTTTAAAAAAAAGGAATGGATTTGTTGATATCTTGTTGTAATGAATCTTTTACTACTTTACTTGGAGCCTCTAGAGGAGACTCTTGCAGAGAGGTCAGTAAAAGAAAAAAGTAATTATTTCAAAAAGCTTTACCCGTTCGTCCAATACGATGAGTATGAGTGTCGATATCTCTAGCAACATCATAATTTACAACCGTGCGGATGTGAGGTATATCCAAACCTCGAGCAGCAACGTCGGTTGCGACAAGAATACTATGATCGTCCTTTTTGAAAGCACTGATGACGCGATTTCTTTCAGTCTGGTCCATGTCTCCATGCAAGAGAAGAGGATCAAACTCTTTGAGTTTCAAGTTGTTATGAAGTTCTTCTGCGTTCAACTGGAGGGAAAAAATCATGAAAATAATATTATTCCACTGTAATATTGCCTAAAAATTAAAAATAGGAGTTTCTGGAGCAAAGCCAACTTGCGGTTTCGGTCATAACACAATTTAAGGTTTGGAAAACAGAATTAGTTGTCTGATACCTATTCCTCAAAAGCATGGTGTCCAGAATTCTTTACTTTACTCGTTCCCTTATTTACCTTGATTTCCAGAAGCACATTTCCTGTCCCCCCTTGGGAAACTGAAGTTATCTCCCACTTTTCAGATTTGCTTGAGAAAAACAACGTAATTCTCGAGAATTCCAGATATGAATATCGATTTTTTTTCATATGTTAATCAATTCTTTGGCGTACATTCATAATTCATTATTTAGGGTGCGGAAGAAGGAGGGAAAAAAGGTTTTTTCTTTGTTAGAATCATTACGTAATACTAAAATATAGCAACATTTACATTTTAAACCGTAAAAACTCGAAAAATTGCATCAATTCGCACTGGAAGGAATTTTATTTTACTTTTTCATTGTTTCGTAAAAAAAAAGTTCAACTGAATTTAACGATTTGTTTTGCCTCTGACTTTGACTTATTTTTTCGACTTTGACTATCGCAATCTGAAATACGCATTTTTCGATTGTAGTTTCTTGCGGAAGAGGGATCCTTGCTCCATCTTTCCATTATCGAGAGTGAAAATTGACCTTTTGTCCCAAACTTTGTTCTCCAGCAGACTTAAAAATTTTGCTTGGGCCTTTCATCATTGGCTAGTTAAAAATGATTTGAGATATTCGGAAGTAACAAACCTTTTTGGTGACAAAGATGAGAAGAGATCCTTGTGAAAGAAACGATACTAGTTGATTCAGAAGCCAGCTGAATTTTGCATTTTGTGGTAGAACATTGACAAGTTGAGTTACATCAGTGTTAGCTTCACCGATCTCTCCTTGAACAATTCTAACAGGATCACTTAAAATGTCCCTGGCTAGTTTCTCAATTCTTTTTCGAAAAGTTGCAGAGAACAACATTGTTTGCCGATCAGGGCGCACATGATTGCAAATTGATCGCACTTGTGGTTCTGAAAATTGAAAAAAGCAGGTAAGACCATTCACTAGTGAAAAGATGAGCTAATTTTTTAATTAAGGGTTTTGGAGAAAATTCGATTTTTCCACTCAGTTTTGGTGACAAAATAAATTTTAGATTTTATTTTTCAGTTATTTTCACTTGCAAGAGTGGAGAGGTGCCATGTATGTCATCATTTACTTTACCTGTACCAGATAGTGACATATTTTTCTGGTGCTGATCCTGAAAAGGCTCTAAGAAAAACTGCAAAGAAGCTTCTTCAATATTCTGCTGATCGCAGCGGTAATCAGTCATGATAGGTCATTCGATTCCTAATTTTAAAAATGACACACTTTTTTGGTACACTTTTTCTACCTCTGTCTACCACATTATTTCAAAGTGCAAGTACAGTCAGACCCTGGTTACCCAGTGCGGACATTGCCGGACATCCTGAGATAATTTAACTCATTTTTAAGGACATTCCTTTGAACCTAAGATCGGTTTCTGCAGATTTTTTTATTATTTCTAACATATTGGGTGGGTTATTAATTAGCTGGCATTTCCAGTATCCAGCACTGGTCTCCGCCAAAAATCGCTGGATGATAAGGTTCAATTGTAACTACGTTGATTTATTATATGTTTATACAATGGATGGACTGAGTGAAATATTTAAAGAAAATCGAAGATGTTTCCAGGAGAATTTCCCTTTAAATAAATCAATTTAACTGAGTGCATACCATTTTGAATGCCAAGTATTCATTTTTCAAACTTCGTTTCGTTTTACAGAGACTCAACAAGGAAAAGACAGAAATTAAGATGAAGAGCTTCATTTGTTAACAAGGTGGAGAAATGGTACTGGGTCCACACCATTTCGTGGGGAAAACAAAGCCAGGAAGTTCCAAAAATTAAAATTAGAGTCAAAAATAATTTTTTGAACTCTAATGCGCACCAGTGCGAAACTGAGGAGGGAAAGTGTTCAGCTCAGGCAGTTTACAATGGAATATTAAGTTGGAGTCACGTGAAGAGATCTATACCGGTTTGGGCCTTTTTAGACCTCATCAATTAGACCTCATAATTTTAGACCAGGGTGTGGACCCAGCACCATTTCTCCACCTTGTTACATACAGGTTTCGGGCCACTTCTTGGTGTTTTTTTCTTCATTCATTTGTTAATTTGCCTTCTTTTTTTTTGAAGGTGTCGTCCCAACAGCACTTGATATAAGTCCTGAAAATATGCCAAAAATTAGCCTCAGTCCCTCTCCCCAATTTTCTGCTGGTTATTTTTAAGATCAACAATAAAAAAGGACTTTTAGTATCTGAACTGGGACCATGTTCTCTTTCCAGATAGTTCTTTTATTATTTCTCTCTTTTTAACTGTAAATTTACACACGATTATGCACTTTAATGTGCACACATCTTAATGGGAGCACTATAGTTGTGGGAATCTACCGTAATAGCAGTTTACACGCATCACAGTTAGCTGTTTTTTTGGATGATTTCTTGACTTAGTAGGAACGCCTACAAAAATATACTACACGGAATTGAGTTAAGTTACTTCATAAATAAAATGAGTAGACTTACCAAAACCCATATCAAACATTCTGTCTGCTTCATCTAGAACTAGGTAGGTCACCCTGGTTAAGTTTGTCGCTTTCATTTTGACTAGATCTATCATTCGTCCAGGAGTAGCAACAACTATTTCTGCACCTTCTTCCAAAGCTTTGGCCTGTTCCCATTTCGACCCTCCTCCATAGCAACATACGACATTGATATTATACGCTTTGCCAAACTTTTTCGCTTCCACATAAATCTGAAATACAGAACACATGAAATTCAATGGTCTATCCAAAAAAGATGAGGGGTGGATTAAATTGATTGATCTTTTGTTATCCTACTGTAATAAAACAGTAGTAAACAAAATGTTTATTGATGAAAAAATATTCTATTTTGTCGGGATATCCACTGTAAAACTATGAATGTAAATAAATGAAAGTATTTAAAAATTGATGCTTAAAAGATGCCTTTAAAAGAACTCAAAAGGATTTTTCAAAGTCTCTAAAATGTCTTACAAACGGAATAAGGGTTGTTTAAAAAATCATCGGCAATTATGAGTACCTGTTGAGACAACTCTCGGGTAGGTGCTAAAATCAAACCGATAGGGCCATCGCCTGGTTGTAACTCTTTTTGATCCATGATGTGTATCAGCATTGGCCACAAGAAAGCAACCGTTTTACCACTTCCAGTTTTGGCAATACCTGTTGAGGGAATAGATAGAGTGCGGCAATTAAGCTTAGGAAGATTTGGCCAGCAAATAGATGATTTCCACAGTTTTTGGTGCAAGAAAAGCCATGCACATGGTAAATTCTCACAGGAAATTCCCTGTGGTGAAATAACGCTTCCTTTTGCAGGGTCCTCCAACACACGTTTGATGTCACAAATTAGCATCAATCTTTTTTCTCTTTAAAAAATGATTAACCAGGGTGCCTAATAAAACAGGCTGGTTGAAAATCAGTACTTTTAAAGTACTTTTTCAGTACATTCCCAAGAAATTTAGTACCTCCTTAACAGAAAAATGCAGTACTTTTTCAGTACCTCCAATTAACGAAATTCAAAAAATTTCAAAAATTTGAATTTTTGCTCAAATTGCGACAAAAATGACAAAAATTCCGGACCTTCCTGCGGACTTTTCACACTTTTTCAGTACTTCCGGACTGCCCTTAAAAAATCAGAGCTAATTCCCGACTTTCCGGAAATTCCAGACCTGTAGACACCCTGATTGACAATAGTTTGGAATTTCGAGAAAAAATTTGATCCTTTACATTTTTACAAGGCCTGCAACATAGGTATATTTGTCTCCCTCATGCTTTAGAGGATTAATACAGTTTTATACTATATGCATATTAAAATAGAAACAGAGGCCAACATTTAGAAGTTATTTAATGCATTTTTTAAAATGAATTTAAGGTCGAAGTCTGAAATGCTCTGCAGATGAATTTATAAGAGCCCATGAAAAGAATAAGACATTTTCTAGGTTACAGAAAAAATTAACTGTAATGCTTCTTCTATTTTTTCATAATTTTGGATGTTTTTTACTGTAGAGAATTGAATCAATGAAGGAAGGATTGATTGCTTCAAATCTTACCGATGATGTCACGTCCACTCAGAGCTGCAGGAACAGCCTGAGCTTGGATTGGAGTAGGTTGAGTGTATTCCGATTTTCGAATAAGCTTCATGAGTGAGTCATCGAATCCAAAGTGAGCGAACGAAGAGACAGGGGAAGGGGGAGAAGGGCCTGTGACTTTTATGTTGAACGTCCTCCGTAATTCATTCACTTGTTCACTTGTGAGTTTTGCAATTTCTTCATGAACTTGGTAGAAATTCTTCTCGAAGTCTTCATACTTAATAGTAGAATGATCTATAGGAGGTAAGGGATCTATCTCCTGTAAAAAAAAAAAAAAAAAAAAAAAAAATTAAAAGAATGGAGATTAAGGTTGAGATTAAACTTTGCTTTGATGTTCAAACGTAGCACTGTCACATCTGAATAAAACATATCTATCAATTGGACTTTTTATTTTTAGCTTCATCTTGAACATACAGTAAATCTCAGTTCTTAAAGTTGATTTTCCACAGACCTTTGCTACTGATTTCTGATTTTATCTGCGAGTTAATTTTTTGGCTATAATTCCTTCTGAGAAAAGGTATTATTTAACCAATATTTTACACTTTTTTAATGCCCTTTTCAGATTTTTCTGTGAAGCCCTGCTTCACTTTCAAGAGTCTCTGTAGAGGAGAGTTTGATATGGGTAAAGAAAAATTACTTTTGTTTCATACAACTTTTGCTGAACATCAACAATGTAGCTTTGCCTCATTGTGCAAATACTAATGTGTTTTATTCTTTGTCTTGTTTCTTTCGGATTTTCTTGTAGGTGAAGCAAAGAGCACATCTCTTCACAGAGATTTACTCTTTTTTCATACTTCATTTCTTCAACTGATATTGTTTTCAACATGATGTCTTGAATCTTTCCATAAATTCCTCCTGATTGGTAGTACACTTAAAATTTTTTTTAGTAAAAATGTCAAAATAATGACACACAAGAGAAAATGATGCGATGCCTGATGTAATTAGGCTGATCGTAGTTAAATTCGTCTGAATGTATAACTCGTGACATATGTAACCATGTAGTTGAGATACCATGGTTTGGATTATTTGGGGGTTTCATGAACCAAAATAACAGAAAACCACTGCATGATGGCAAAAATAGAATCAACACTGCTACAGTAAAATTGCAGAAAAGCTTACCTTGTTTGCAGTGTTTCAAAATCTCCGCTCCTATTTTATTTTATCAAAGGAAAACAAACCAAATATATTGCTTGAGATTGTCACAAAATTTTCTTTACACAGAAAAGAAAAATCAGGGAGGGTCTTAAGAAATGATGTTGAGTATTGTTCCATTTGAATAATTGAACTAATGATAGTATGAATGGAAATCTGCAGCGTAGCAAAACGAGGTAAGCGTTCTTGCAGTTTCACTGATGACTGGAATAGAGGGATGATACTCACTTTCTTTTTAGGAGGGGGTATTGGGTTTCCATCTTCATCATATTCTATTTCAGCGTCTGATTCTTCATCCTTCACACCAGCAAGAGGATTTTCTTCCATGTATCTAAGCATTGGACATTTACAAGAAGTGTCACAAAAGAGTTACCAATTCTATGATACATTATTAAATAGTAAATATTAAAAGCCTTCATGATCTCCAAATTTAGTTGTTGTTATCACAGCAAGACAAAAAGCTCTAGCAACATTTCACAGCAAAGAAAGAGAAAAATGCCAAGTTAAACCTGAATTTTGGCATGTTTCACGACAAAGATATCGGAAAAGGACGAATCAAACCTGAGTTTTGGCGGTTTGATGTTCGTAGTTCAAAAAATGTGCTTTGGAAAGATAGCTACTCAAAATTCTAGTTTAATGTGCAATTTGGGCACAAAATTGTCTGATTTTAATCAGGATTGCCACAGAATTTAGAGAGTGATATTCTCTGCGTTTCTCTGAGAAATATTGGTAATTTCCCTGACATTTGACGGATGGATTTTACAGGATGGTTGAGAATCGCCACTCCCAAACCAAGACAAGCAAAATTTTTAACTTGAAACATTAAATCTATTCCACGAGGCAAATAAAGGCGATTTGACAACTTTTCCTCTCACATTTCCTGGTTTTCCCTGAATTTAATTTAAGTTAAGTTTACGGTGAAGTAACTAAAGCAAATGTATGCATCACTAATTGATAAATCCAAGATAGACAAAACTATGATATACAATACTACAGTGAATGATGTCAAAAACCATGTTTTCCAGGGGCGATATATCCATTATTATTGGACATAGAAACTAGGCATTTGGACAGATCTGATTAGTTTTTGCTGATCTAAAAGCTTAAGCCATCAAAACACAATTTTATGACTAGCGTGACAGATTTTTAAGATGACCTTCTCATATCCGTAGACCCAATTTATTACATGTTAGATTGTTTTCTTTCTGTGTACATGAACATACTCAGATAAAAGAAAAAACCATAGGCATAGCATTAAAAATAATTTCAGTGATACCTGTAGTATGATTCTTCATTGTCTTCTTCGTCAATATCAAATCTAAGTCCTTTATCTTTTTCTTTCTCTTTGTTGGTTACCTTGACTCCTTGCTCCTTCTTAACCTATAAATAGAACAAGAAAATTAAAATTTGACATCATACCTTTTATTCCCACACAGTCATGGCAAAGCAGAACATAGGGGCTGCCTACTACCTATTAACTACTAGAGTTGGGACGAAATGAATTTTTTGCGTCACCAGATACGGATATCGATTTTTTGTATCCAGCAGGAGACGGATATCCTGAGTCCTGCCGGATATCCAGCCCAACTCTATTCACTACCTATTTAAAAGCTCAAAATTCCCAGTTGAGAGCATTTTGAAAATTTTTGTTTCCACAAGGAGAAACCTTAGAACAAAATTTTTTTACAGGTTTAACCATTATGATGGCTTTTCATTTCGTACTTTTTCAATTTCATGATTGGCGAAGATTTTTGAAAATACTTTATTTATATCTCATACCTATTTGCTTCTCTGTAAATAAATGATTGTAATGTAGCCAAAACAACAAGCAGCGAACACAAATAGCTATTTACAAAGTCATTAACTGCTGTGAAATTAGTGCTGCAAAATTTCACACAGAATCTTCTGTGAATTCTTATATTAAACAGTATAGTTTATTTGGCAGTTTCTTTTAAGGAGCTTAGGAGCATATTTGGGCCATTGGCTTTGTAGACATTTTTTGTTCTACAGGATAATGTACATGCTGAGTAAGTTGATTGACATATCTGCAACCCTCCTTCTACCTATAATTTTAGCCTCATCATGAAAGTTATGCCTTGCCTTGTACTTAAGATTTGGCACCATATCTTTGGCGTAGATATAATCAAATGTATGATTGGGCAGAGAACTCGAAGGTATCATTCTTTTATTTGGACTTGAAAGTGCATGAAGTCCAAATAATCAGCAGAGTGTACTTAATAATGCTAAAAAGGAGAAGTATCAATGAGGACCGGTTTTGGCCTCACCCTGAGTTCCTTTAACTCAACGATTTTTGGCTCATTAAACGGATTATTAAGAATTTAACCAGAAACTTGCATGGCCTGCATTTTCTGCCGAATGAAATTGGCCTCAGACTCATGTTATGACCAGTATTAGACCTGAAACTGACCAAATTGAAATGCATTCCGTAAAATATAGACCTCCGATGAGCAAAAAATCGTAAAGTTGAGGAAAGTCAGCTGGGGTGGGCCCAAGAACAACCTTTATCGACATTCTTCCTTTCTGGAAGAGAAGATGAAACCTCTGCATGATGCATTTTTAAATTTAAATGTCTTTTAAGTACCCGACAATTTTACCTGTTTCTCTATTCCAGCCATAAATGCATCTAGAGGATCTTCCTCATCATCAGATTGATTCCCTCCTTGATATGATGGACTCCCAGGAGCAGGGATGTATTCTAGCTTTTGAGTGCTTTGTTCTTCCTCATCCTCAAAGTACCTGCAGAAAAAATTCCATTACTTAAGAAGAAAACTCAATCCCTACTTTATCACGTCTAAATTGACAAAGAATCCAATTAGAGAGCAAACAAACTTATGATCAATAATACACTTCGCGTTTGAACTCGCCCAAGTATTTTTTGTTAAAATTAGACACGATCTAGGACACTGACCATCTTCACTGATGAGTTGCAAATGATGATTTAGCACTTGCAACTAGATTGCCTTCTGCAATTAGGAACAACAATTTCTGGCTCATTCGTAAAAAAGCTTGTGTGCAGAAGAAAACTAATGGTACATAAGTTGTTTCTAAACTGAGCGGACTGTAGCTCCTAATCAACATATCAACGGTGAAAGTCGGCAATCACATAACTCGTTTGCGGTGTCTGAAAATCTCCGCCTCTACGTCATTTTTTTAAAGGAGAACAAATTGATATTATTTCTTGAAGTTTTTGCAGAATTTTCTTCGCATTGAGAAGAAAAATCATGACAGTTTTAAAGAATTGCCGTTGAGTACTTTTCCATTTAAAAAATAAAGTATGACAGGAAGTCTGCGACGTCGCAAACCGAGTTATGTGATTGCCGACTTTCACCGTTGATATGTAGTCCAACTTATCACTGATGATGGCCAATGTGTCAAAGCACATCTGATTTTAATCAAGAGTACGGGAATGAGTTTAAACACAAGTTTTATTTATAGTATACTTTGATTGTGTGATCAAAACCCTCGGAGCTCAAAATATCTATGAAGTAAACTTGTTAGTTTTCATGATTTCTTCTTTGAGTGATTCACTGTGAGCCAATTGTTGAAATGGGCGTGTTATACACCTCAAATAAATCAAAGATAAGAATTGATTCTCTGAAGTATTACAGTACGGAGACAAATTTGCGGAATTCAAGGTTAGTTATTTGTTGGAGACTACATTTATTCTGAATAGCCACCTTGATTTTTACTTTTTCAGAAGCAGAAATTGAAGTTAACCAATTAAAATGTTAACTACAAATAAAAACTATAATTTGTGATCTATCAGTTGATTTTGGACCTCAATATTTTTACCGCTTGTTATTTGAAATATTGATGAGGAAACGTATCATTCAGTGCTTAAATTCTTACCCTGGTATAATTAACATATTTACATGTTTGCACTTTGTTATTTGTGTTTTTTATCTGCTGTCTGTTATTGCTAGTCTAGAAAATAAATGAGAGACATTAGTTCACTTACTCTTCTTCAGTTTTGGCACGCTTTTTAGGAACTCCCCAGGTTGTGGAGAGAGCATTACTTGTGATGGCTGACATGGTTGAGTAACCCTGTTTGCTGATAGCAGCTGTTGGAGGAGGGGGAATGGCAACAGTCCGAGAGGATGTTCGCGCATTCATTTTGAACCCGCTGAATCCAAATCCCGACGAACTGCTCCCTTTGTTGTAACTCATCTTCGTATACTAAGAAAAAAGAGAGGCATTTACTTATAAAATCTGTTCCATGGAATCCATCTGCCTAATGAACAAATAGAGAGTAGACATGGACAGCACACAAAAATCTGATCTGAGATGGCAAGAAAACTTATTCAGCTGTTGCGTCAGACAGCAATATTACAAATACTTTTCTTTTTAGAGATGAAAAAAATTTGACAATATCATTCAAATCTCAACTCCTTTCAAACGGCTATATTTTTGGTTACAGACCATATTGAGCCCTATTCATTGTTTAATTTTTTGGGCACAAATAGTATAGTAGTCATATTGATCGCCAAAGTGCGAAACCATGTATCTCCATTGCGGTGTTTCAAAATTTCTGCTCATATTTATTTGTTCTAAGCGAAAGAAACCAACATTGTAGCTTGAAATTTAATTCTACTGATAAAGAAGAAAGATAAAGGACATTTTAAAGAAATCACGTTGGCTAATTTTCAACGAATATAAAGAGTGACAGGAGCTCATAGACACATGGTTTCCCACTGGAGCCATCAATATGGTGTTTTTCTTTCCTGCAGTACTATGATCAAAACCTAGGTGGGATATTACTTACATGGATTGCATTTTGCAAAAAGGAACCACTAGCATTGCAATGTTGCTAAGATTGTGCAACTTTTTTTGTCTTGGAGGAAAAACCCGATTATCCATTAATAGTTTCTATTTTACTCACTAAAAACTGTAAATTTAAGACAAAAATTACCATCTAAATTTCATAGTTTTTCACGATTTCCACAATTTTATTGCAAAGGATGAAGTTGCACAATCTTAGCATCATTGCAATGCTAGTGGTTCCTTTTTGCAAAATGCAATCCACATGACCTCCTCTGATTTGTGCTGAAGTAGAAATTCGAGAGAAAAGGATGACCTCAGAATGGGTCATGCTGAAAATTATGGTTGAGTAACATCAAACTGTAAGACGTCAATTCATTTCAGAGGGTGGATGCGCTTAGTGTTCCCAGATGAAGTGCTGGAGACCCTGTGAAAAAAAGCCGGAGTTCTTCACCGAAATGCCGGAAACTTTTTGAAAATGCCGGAGATTTTCAAAATATTGCCGGAGATTCTAAAAAAACACCCTCTTTTTAAAGAAATACCGGTGAAAATATATGTTTTTGTTGTCTTAATCATTTCTAATTGTAAAAGGTTATTGATGGTGTAACAGATCATATGTTGGTATCGATTATAGAGAAAAAAAAGGAGGTGTTTGTATTTCGGACATCGTTGATTTTTTTGATGGCGTAGGTCGGTACGGGCGATTTTTATCATTGATTTTATTGGAAATGGTGTAATACATGGAAAAAAGTCATTTTAAATAAAGTATTTTAAATTATTACATGACTTGATTTTAGCAATAAAATCGGACATTATGGTCCATTTTTAACATTACGATGTCCAGATTTGCTTGAATATCGATGCCATGCTGTACCGACCTCCAAACACCTCCTTCTTATCTCTAACAGTGTTGCCAGTTAAATTTCTAGCTCCGATTGGAACAAAAAGCCAGAATTTTTTGACGAAATTCCAGAAACTTCTTGAAAATGCCAGAGATTCTGAAGAAACATTTTGCCGGAGATTTTTCAAAAGAGATGTCAGAGATTTTCCGAAAATGCCGCAGATCAAGGAGCCCTAGATGCACTATTCACTTGAAAAGCAGCCCTGATGCAATTACTCCTAATCTTTCTTGGTGCGTGCAAGGCATCGCATCAACAAGGAAACTCTTAATCAGATGAGTTAGGATTTGGGTACTTCAAATTATCACACGCGATTAAATTGTTGCAAATGCCGGGGATTTGTGATTAAAGTAGATCCTTGAAGGTAAAATTTCGCCAGAAACTTCAGTACTTCCACTAGTTTTATCTGATATCAACTCCCAAGCTCGAGAATCCTTCTAAGACTTGAAGCCATGATGGACAGGATATCCAGCGTAACCCTGAGCGTAAACCTCTAAGTACATCCAATCCAACTCTCCATGAAAATATGGGGAGCCGATGCATTAAATTAAATCATTTGATTTCACAAGAGGACAGTAGCAAAGAATTCATCGATCAGTTTTGTTCAAGGACCGACCAGTAGTACCAGATCCACTAGCAGAGCCTCCAACAGTCATGACATCAATGCATCAAGTAGCGAATGCAGTTTCGTGATTGGTCGTACTGCTGGTCATTGGAAAAAACCATTTTTACAGGTCTCCAAATGCGATGCAAGCATTGTAAGACCATTCTCGTTGATGAAATTAGGTGCAAGATCGCTCAGGATTGGCATGTTGAGCAAGACACACAGGGGAAAATTTGGATTATTTTGGAGGCTTACAACCAGTGCGAGAGTGAAAACTATTCCTTTATGTACTCAGCGGGGCGATTATTGAAATGATATTGACTCTATGTCGCCGCTTTGTCCTGTCGCGCCATCGATTGAGTGGGACTCAGTCAATGGCGCGACACGACAAAGTGGGGACATACAGTCGACATCATTTCAATAATCGCCCTGCAGATCTGTTTTCAAAACTGCCAGGTTTATACGGTGAGAATTGAGTCAAATTCAAAGGGATACTTGATACTAACCACTAAAAGATCCAAGTTTGGAGGTTAGGATCCAAATAACACCTTTAGTTGTCTTCAAAAATTTTCATTTTGACACAAGGACAGTCAAATTTAGTATTCCGATGATAAGTTGTACAAAATATCACTTGCCTAACATCAGAATAGTTTCACACTTCACTAATATAAGGGTAAAGAAATAAAATACAGAATGTTAATTTTAGAGGTGTTGAAGTTTAGGATCCATAAGCAAATCAATCGATACATTGCATTGCAAAGCACGCCACGCCACTGTAGAGCTGGACAATATCGAAATACTCGTTTCGAATGCGATTATTCGAATATCGCACTATCGATTCATTACCATGGCTTCTAACGGGGAATAGCGATATTCGTTCATTCACGGAGAGCACTGAGAGCAGAGCGCGGCCGGCGCTTCCTAAGCATGGACCAAGAGAATAAATAAGGACTCCCAACTCCCTATGCTAACCTGTGTTAAAAACCGTTAACGCGCGCTCGCAGCGAACCTGGCAGAGGGTGCGGTGAACTAACACCACAGCGGTCCACGATCGTACCTCTATAGTATGTTATTCCATGCAATGTTCTTTGTTTATCTATGATATATTTATTTGTTTGGATACTTTGATACATTTTACTTTCGCAAACTAATGAAATAGTATAGATACATACCTTCTGCAGAGGTCAATGCGAAAGACTTTGATTTGAAGTATCTTATCATAACACGAGCAAAGATGATTCAGTCAACTTCTGACGCAGAATCAAAGAGACTTGCTAATAATCAAATTAAAGGTAATGCTTGAAGTCAAGTATCTTTGATTTTGTGACACTCAGTTGATTTTATCAGTACAACACTATTTCTCAATCAAAAGATTTCACTTGCGCCTTCGGCCAAAAGTACAATCCTGATTCCTGCTGCACACTACACACACACTTCCTTTGGCTTTCTCAACAGCAGTTGCTGCTGAGTAAAACGGTTAGAAAAAACACTTCACATTATTACCAGTTTATGTACCCGAAGACTGACGAAGATTGAAATAAAAATGAGAAACTTTTCACACTTAAAACTCTTCAAACCTGCAGGGCGACCACGAGGATACGAGGATCTAGAAACTTCTATGAGCATTGAGCACTGAGTGATAAGCCTAAAAAGGTGGTGCATGGAAATATAAACAGGAAGACCCAATCGTCGGTTTAGTTCACTACACCCTCTGCCAGGGAGCGCTGATGTCAGCGCTAACCGGAGTTGGGGGTCCTTATTTATTCTCTTGGTCCATGTCCTAAGTTCCTAACCTCACTCCCTGCGTCGTTGTAAATCGAAATGTATGCAAGCTTGAACTCCAGAAGTTTTATGTAACTTATGTCTTATGTATCGTGATCATGTTATGTGCAATTGATATGTGGTGATTTTTCTTTACTAGATTGCGCAGCAAGTCGTCACAATGGAGGAAGAAGGGCACATCTCAGATGCGCTTCATAAAACGAAAACTTCCCACGGACGTAAACAACTAAATCAGTCCATTCAAAAAAGAATGGAGTTTTACTTCAGCGATGCCAACCTTAGCAAAGACCGATTCATGAGAAATCTCTTGGAGGAAAACTGCGGTGGTGAGTGAAACAATTTTACATAAAGATCTGAACCAGATAAATGTAAATATTGCGGGGCAAAGTGACATATTGACAGTGTAAGTCGGCAATCACATAACTCGGTTTGCAACGTCGCAGTCTTCCTGTCATACTTTATTTTTTAAGCGGAAAACTACTCAAAGACAATTCTTTAAAACTGCCGGGATTTTTCTTCCCTGTGCGAAGAAAATTCTACATAAACATCAAGGAATGATGTCAATTTGTTCTCTTTTAAAAAAACAGCATAGAGGCGAAGATTTTCAGACACCGCAAACAAGTCATGTGATTATCGACGTACACCGTCGATTTACAACAAACAATGCCAATGAAAGTCGCTAGAAATCAGAATCCTTCAATCGGGAACTAGGTATCCCCGCCACTCATTTTTGACATGTTCATATACTTGATGCCTTGATATTCCAAATTTAAACAGACGAAGACTTGAAAGTATTTCCTTAAGTATAGATGTACTCTTATCGACAGTCAGCAATCACATAACTTGTGCTAGAGGTGTTGTCAGATAAGTTGGCATTTGTTTACTTTTGGTGTGCAAGGGCAGACGACGAATTTAGGCCTCTGCACAGACGGTTGTTCGCTACTATGCACCTTACCAAAATCCGTCTCATGATCGTATCATAAAAAAACTACTCATTAGATATGATCCATGACTTTTATGTGGTTGTGATTTCTGTGTGGCTAAAAATTAAATCGTTACAAGGTTTGAGAGTGGCCATAAACCTATCTAAGCTTGTCTTTTCGCTTCTGCGAGAGTCCGATGTTTTCATGTAGGTAGTAGTGACACGAAAACACCTGCGAATCGAAATAAAACAACTGCCAACTTATCTAACAACACCTCTTTGCACTTGCGGATTTGGGCTGAAATTGGCAGGAAGGAGATATTTAACATAGAATTTATGATAACAAGGAGAGGTCAGAAGTTTTATTTCTTCACAAGGCTCAGTGTTACTTCTAAAAGTGAATCCTCATATTCTTCCTGAGAATAATTTCTGACCTGGAGTTTCTGACTAAGAAATCATATGGCTTAAAGTCGAGCTCATAATCACTCCTGAAGCATTATTACATACATTTCCATGTTTTTCATTCTTTCTTGTTCACAGAGGTTGATATATCAGTGTTTCTTAAATTCAACAAAATAAGAGAATTGACCGACAATGTTCAGGATATTGTGAAAGCATTGAAGAAGTCATCTCTCTTGTCTGTTACGGAGGACAAAACAAAAGTGTTTCGCACTACACCAGTCAAGGAAAAGGAGAATGTTGATGAGTGCACAATTTATGTTGTAAGTATATTAAAGTTAACTTTTTTTTTTAATTTGTTGTAAAAATCTTCATCCACTCATTTTAGGAGTGGAGGGGGGGGGGGGGGGCTGAGATAACCATTCCAAAGCTCTACTGAGTTAAAATCACCCTAAAATTTCACCAAACATTCATTTCATCAATTTATCAATTTTTATCAAATTTGAGGATTAAAATTTTCATGGAAGTATGTGTAAAAGTCAAAGCAAAAGTTTAAACAATTTTAAGATGTCCCACAATATAGCCTCAAAGCTTCATTGGTACTTCCATTGCCTGGCGTGAGAACTGATGTACTAAGAAAATCGTAAGTAGACAGTGAAGAGGCTGTTGCCGAGTTTAACTCAAAACATACACTATCTGCGATGGAAGTATAATGATGAAGTTGTTATCATTTTTGAATATCCAATAAAATCTATTATAAAGTTGACGTTGGGGTTTTCAGGAAAATCTTCCCATGGATGCAGATCATGACTGGCTGCAGAGCATATTCTCGCAATACGGCAAGATTGATTACATCTCAGTTCCTAAATTCAAGCATAGTGGCAAGGTGAAAGGTTTTGCTTTCGTGGAGTTTGAAACGCCGGAGGCAGCTAAAATTGCTCTGGATGTAAGTTGTACCCTTACTGTTAATCTTGTTCATCTACTTAGTCTTTGGAAAAGGATTCTTCATTAAACTGGTACTCTTTGCAAACTGATTGCGGTAGACGCACTAGTCGTTCAGACAGAAAGTTGGGGGGGTAGCCAACATACGGTACAATTCAGAAAATTTCAATAATTAGGCTCAAATGAACTTTTTCTCTCTATATTGAGATTTTCTGAATTATGGTGCATGTTGGCTACTCCCCCCCCCCNNNNCCCAACTTTCTGGAACACTTTGGGGAAAAAGGTATGTATTTCTCAGGTTTTGAGCGCGTTTGAAAATCAAGAAAGTCAGGTAATCCGCAACGACCCTGAAAAGTCAAGGAATTCATTGAAAAAATCAGAGAATTTTCCAAGTAGCGCATCAGTTCAGCAACCTCAGTTGGTGCCATTTGAGAGAGCGCAAGCAATTTCAGAATGTCTTTTTCCTCAAATTAGATCTCTAGAAATTGAAATTCTGTCCACAGTTTAGAAAAAAAAACGGTATTATCTAAAGGAAAAAAATTCAAGTGGAGGTTTTGATCAACATTCTAAGAAAGTCAGGAATAAGGCACTGAGTTTATACATTTTGGAGAGAGGGAAAAGCAAAACATATCAGGGAAAGTCGGGGAATTGGAAAATGAAGAAATTAGAGAAACCCTGAGACTTAGATCATCATCAGGGCAATCGCAATAAAACGTGGACATGTATCACTGAATTTTGGCAGCGAAGAACCTTCCAATTTTGTGAAAAATTTGCTCTCTTTTTCTCAGTAATTTCTCCAGTGGATTGTTATGATAAGTGAGTGAGAAAAAATTTCCTTTTTTCAGACTTTTACGAAGGCTGGTTGCAAATTACCATCAACTATACTTCCCAATCAACTTTGCAGTATTGCAACTTTTGATCGGACTGAAAAAAGTGTTGTGAAGAGCCATAGAGTTTTTGGTTCACACAGTGACACTAATAAAAACAACGGATCAGAGGAGGATACCAAGAAATCAGACGAGCCTATGAACGCTGATGAAACAACAAAAAAAAGCGGAATTAAGAAACGATCCCATGAGTCAAGTTCCCCTAGCATCCCTCAGAAAGTACCACGCTTAGAAGTACCTGAAGAAGAAACTTCAAAAGAGGAAAAACCGAAGAAAAAGAGGAAAAATTGTCAGTCAGTAGAAGAGAGTGAAAATGACAGCAAAAAAAGTGACTGCGATGAATCAGGTCGTAAAATATCCGAAGGAAACACGAAAAATGACTCAGTGGAAAGTGATAATGAGAAAACTTCTGTAAATGGTATGTAGTGTCTTATTATTGTGTTCAATTGTTGGTAGTGTTTCATTTTTTACAATTAACAAAAATTTTAAGGTTTTTTGCCATTTGTTCATGATACATGGAATATAATGCATGATTTCTTTGAGCCCCAAGAAATGAGCTGCTATTCAAGTCAAAAAAGTAACCATTACCATACCCTCCCTTGACTGATTTTATTCTTATTCTATATCATAAATTGGATGATTTATGCCATTAGTCTTGTGACATTAATTCTTCTCGATACATTCAATTTTCTAATTTTTCAAAAATGATTTTCTCTTTCCTAATTTTCCATGCAATACAGCATAATTATTTTGACAGGTAACTAAATCTTGACCCTCAGTTGATCGTTCCAGACGAAGGAACTTAACTCCATTCCAAGGTTGCAAAAGTGGCTCAAACAATTATATTTTTTACCATAGTGTACCTGTGAAATTTTTTTTTTAAATTTGTCTGATTTTTGCATGCAATCAGGAGAAAAATTAGTGAAATTTTCAATTGGAAATGCCCAAAATTCTTCTGGTTGAGAAGCAATTTGCAAGGAAAAATTGGGGAACATTGAAATGTAGTTACGTTCTTTCATGAGAGAAATGACGAGGTGGTAGTTGATGAAACGAATGTTAATAATCTTAATAGTCTTTTGCTTCTGTTCACGATGGTCGATTGAAAATGATTTCAGTTCAATCAGATCAATCCAACAGAATTGTTTTCCTGAAATATAAGCATGAGCTAAAGTGGGTCAAGCTAAGAAAACTATTTGTGTACATATTTCCACTCCTTAATTTGCAGACACCTCTGCCGACGAAAACTGCCAAGGAAACTCAGCCGCTGAGACAAATAGGAAAAAACGCAGGAAAAAGAAAAAGAAGAAGAGCAAGAAAATGAAGTCTGATGTAGCCTCGACTGGTCTTCAAATTTTGTCCAAGTAATGAATTTTTTTTTACACCTATGTCGTCTCTCTATTTTAACTAATGAACAATATGAGCTTTTTTTTTTAAATTGTGTTCTAATGGTCAAATCTAAAAATTAGCAAAAAAAATTGATTCAGTCCATCTTAAGGCCAAATTTCTATTTTAAATATGAACAGAGATATCGCTCGTTTTAAAAACCTAGCAGATTATTTTGCATACCATTGTTCCTTCACTTTTTGCTCATCAATAATGAGACATGGAACAACCAGTGCACGTTTTCTTGTTCTAAATTTTTAGGACCTTTCCATATTTTCACTCATTTGCCCAGGTGTTTAATCGGGCATTTCTTGCACCGCGTTTAAAATTTTGCTATTACAACATGTCAATGTGTCCACAAAACGCTGGCTGAACTAAATCACTAGATCTACTTCCGAATCCTTTTAAAACTGTTTGATTTTATAGCTACTTTCCTAAGCATTCAATGAAACCTAATGCAAATTTCCAGGTGTGAATGGAAAAAGTTACGGAACAAATACCTGGAACTGCAGAGGTCAAAAATGAATTCTCTGAAGCAGTATTTGACCAAGATCAAGCATGACGACAATCAACACATTATGCGCATAGAGAAGACAGAAAATGAGTCTACAGAGAAATTCAGACAAGAGCCCACCAGCAAAGAAGTCTCCTCCTCTCCGAGAGTGCAATTTGCCCCTGGTGTCATTTTAAAGCTGAATTTTGATGAGCCGATCGTTGATGTGAAATCATTCAAGGTAAGTAAAATGCCACAGGGCTGTGCTTAGTTGCTTAGTTGCCTAGTTAAGCATAGTTAGTCTTAAATTGATTGAAATCAAGTGAGGTTTTATTTGACAAAACGAAGACACTGAAGAAGGAGTATTAATAAAGGCTGATTAAAAATACTAGGAAGTAATCGAGATACTTGTACAGTGCTTGCATCTGGACGCCAATTAGATGAAAAAATCACTATGAATGCTGTATTTTCAAAGTAGCAAAAAAGTTGCTTTTAGCCTTGGTTTTCTATCAAATTTTTTTCTCTCGCACAAATCAACCATCATTTTTTGTTAAAATCTTGCTTAACCTCTCTTTGCTCAACAAAAAGTATGCTTTAATACGAGAAAGCTTTCATAGTTTTATGCTTTTTGAAATAAATAAACCACAAACAGAAATTGTTGGTTGTCAGATTATTTTAGAATCTATTTGTCTGGCAGTGGGATAGGATTTGTCAAAGTAGAAGGATGGTAAATTTTTAAATCATCGTCCCTAATTTTCTTTAAATTATGTGTTTTCCTTTTTTTTAAAAATCGCAGAATGAAGTGAAATCTCACGAAGGAGTGGAGTATGTTGATGTGAATGATGGAGCATTCATGGCATTTGTGCGATGTCGCGACAGTGGTATCAGCAAGCAGCTCAACTCGAAGAAACTCGGGACCTCCTCCACTATCCTCTCAGGTAATGTTCCTCCTGATTTTTTCTTAGGTTTTTAATGGGCCTGTTGCAAACTTTTGCTAGGGGAAGAACAAGAGTTGTTTCTCATAGAAAGTGGGTCAAAAATCACGATGACCTCATCGGCAAAGTCTGGAATGCACTTCTAACTTCACATTTTGTGTAAGGAATTTACGTTTTTTTGAGCCTCCTGCTTCAAAAACAATACCACGGCGCAGGTGAGCATTTTGTTAGAGGAGTCGTTCCATTCAAACCTTGCGCACTAGAATGATTTGCAATACTCAACATAACCGACGTTATCAGATGGATCTTTATCAACGCAAGGAAAACGTGAATGTAAACACTTAAGGTTGTTAACAAATGGTTAGATTTCATCCTGGTACATGAGCTTTGGCGGATTGACGTCAGCCATGTTGAATATTGTGCAGTATCCTACTGCACAGAGGTTGGAAGGAACGACTCCTCTAACGAAATTTTCACCTGTACCGTAGTATCGTTTTTGAAGCGGGAAGCTCCAAAAAACGTGGATTTCGTACGCATATCGTGAAGTTAGGAGTGCATTTCAAACTTTGCTAATGCACTCATTGTGATTTTTGACCCATTTTCTATAGAAACAACTCTTTCTTTTCTCTAGCAATAGTTTGCAACAGGCCTATTTGGCTTCATGTAGCAAAAAAGATCTTAGTTTTTGTTTGGTAATGGCGCATTACTCAGCTTTATTTTTATGTGACCAGTACATGTTTCTTATCCTCATGCTTCTCAAAAATTACATCCGTCGATGATTTCCCTTGTTCATGGGGCCCAAGTTGTTTGAACATAGCCGACCGTTTTCTAGATTTTTGAATGCACCAGCTCTAAGCCTGTCTAAAGAACTGGATTTGCTTACGAGTAAAAATAAAAATCTCTTTCCCCCTTCTAGCCTCCCTGTCAATGAGGTATTGTCAACAGAGGCACATTTTCTCCAACCTTTAGCTGAACTAGTTTACAAAGTTGGTACGTTAGGTCCACTTTTTGGTTTAAGGTATCTTGAAATGTTACGTTTTTATCAAATCAGTTTGGCAAAAGCTCATCTGTGCAGACAAAGCCAAAGGTATCTTCAGCAATTAGCTTTTCATGCCCCAATTAGTGCCAAGAACTTTTTGTCTTCATTGTGAGCAGTATTATTGAGGCATTTGAAGGCGTCTTTTTTTCACTCCAAAACACTCTTAATTGCCGAGAATATTAAAAAAATGATGATTATGAATTGATTAAATCATCATAAGATACTAACAAGTTTGTTCGTTTGTTGGTTACAGGTGAGGAAGAAAAGAACTATTGGGAGAAGATACTCAAAGACCGTCACGAAAAAATGACCAATAAATCTCTGAGAGCTAACCAGAAAGGGAGGACCAAACTTCTGAAAAAAGCAGAAAAAGCCCTAGGAAAAAGAATTAGATTCGATTCTAGTTAGTCAGCATTTTGAGAACGTTTTCATCTTGAAGCACTAAGTTTTCATCAAAAAAAGACTCCAGATTATTTGACATGATTTCGTCTTATTATATAGATGAGCACTAAATCAAAATATTTATCCATGCTCCAATTGGTTTTGTCACTCCTTTTGTAAAAATGTAATAAAATGATTGTTTCACGAAAATCATGTTCGAAGGATGGCTTGAATCTCAGGGTGGAACTCGAATGGCCCATTACTACATTCCATATCGACCAAGATCTTGTTGGTTAACGTAGAAATTTGTAATAATAGGCCTGTTGAGCTTATTGGAAAGTTCATTTGCCAATCGTTTTTTCCCACAATTTTCAAAAATAATGAACACCTTGAAATCTTTGTAAAATTACTTTTTAATGAGAAATTGCGATTGCTTCTTTTTGGAAAAGAAACAGCGGGTTTTAACTTTGCACTTGCTTCTGGAAAGCATTTTCATCCGGGCGATTTAGGAGAAAACAGCCTAACTGCATTTCATGTCGCTTCCTTGTGATTTAATAGTTTAACAGAGAATTAAACTATTCATCATTTTTAAACTTCCTGTGGAATTACCCTAAATTATCAAAAATGCACTCTCAAAATTTCAAATTTCAGTCTTTCTTGGTGCTCAAAAAATAGAACATCAGAGAAAACTAGGCAACGTCTCATGTAGTTAGGCTGTTTCCAATAAAACGCAGCCATTCCATCGATGAAGCTGCCGTAAAGTTTTTCTATGCAAGTGCCTTGCTCCTCTTCTTGTGAGGATTTCCATCAAAGCAACTATGAGTCTTTTCTTTTCGCCTCAAGTATTATTTTTATTTTAAATGATAGTTAATCCAACATAACCATAGAGTACAATAGAGTCGCAATGTACTAGAGCGCTGATGAAGTCAATCCATGAATGGGCCATTCCGAGCCTCTTGTTCGCCGGAAAGTGGGAACCGTTCGGCATTTTTGAACACAGCGGCTTATGGGAGAATCACGGGCTGCGAGTGGTATCCGGGATTTATTCATTTCGATCAATCATTATTTCCGCGAATTTTGGCAAATTGTGTTCACCAAAGACATAACAAATTAAAAAATGTCCAACACTCCTGGTTTTTATGAAATAAATTTTATACCTGTATTTCCTGAGCAAAGACCGAAGTTGGGACCCTGCGCATATAGCATCGCCAATCGCCACACACTATTCTCAGGAGCACTGGACGAAACAGCCTCAGAAAATGACTTCATCGGCGCTCCAGAACATTGCGAATCTATTGTACTCTATGAACACAACATCGTCCTCTTTGATTAGATGAAATTAGTCGCATGTGCAGGGTCTCTTGCTCTGTGATTGTTATGATTTAATCCTAACGATGCTGATTTATCAATAAAAAGTTTCTGTTTACTAAGCCAGATTTTAATTTATTCCCCAACGAGTCTTGACCAAATCGCATAAACACAATCCTTGATCCAAGCTAGTTGAATCAATCAACAATTGAACTCTCTAAAGTATGTACCAGGCTGTTGTAAAATTCAAACTGAAATTATACAAAGTATACAAATGATGTTATTTGCAGGGCATTTTATATTATATTTAGCAACAATAACCTTGTGAATGCTTTGTGGAGTCATCATTGGACAGAATATGATATTGAGTTTTAGTCCAAAAAAAAGTGTGGTGGTTCATATGTTAATTTGACATTAAGTTAGAAGCTTCTCTTTAAATTAAGTCAATAAAATGCATAATGGCACTCTCTCTCCAAGGAGACTGCTAAGAGGCTACTCTCCTGCTAAGCATGATGTTAATCACAGGAAGTTACGTTCCACAGTGCAGTTTGGAGGAATAGAATCTTTGACGCAGATGGAGAGTCTTTCGACCGATGGCATGGAAAAGACAATTTTGACCTGTATTCTGATTTTTCACCTTGTTGATTTAACAAGTGATACTTTCAGGGAGAAATTTTCATGTAGCCAGTTTTCTATGTACAAAGGCCATTATAGCAATTAAGATCCGTTTACGCCCCTATCTTACAGTAGCCCTGTCTTGTTACATTTTCTGTGACTCACGTTCATTTGAATGATCAATGGCGCATGAATACTTAGTACTCAGAATTTTTAGGAGCAGGATCAACTCAAATTGTAAAAAAAGAAGAATTAACCACAACAAAAATCAGACAGTTTTGAAGGTAAAAATTTTTAATTTAAAATTTTAAAGACTTTCTTGACATAACGGTGGTAAGACAATAACGTGAGCGCCATTTCCGCCTTAAACATTAATAGGAGGTAAAACAAATTCTTGTTAGGAGGTTAATGAAAGGTGGTTCTAGTCTACTGAAAGGGTTCCTAACTTAGCAAAATTTATTCGTGAAAAATCCCTTTGCCGAACAGATCCCAATACAGACAATGCTTAATAATCACTATGAGAAGCACTTTCAATTGTGTGCTTTTGCTGAGAGCTCTCATTCATGAAATCATCAGTGATAGTCTCTTTCAAACTATTCTTCCTGACTCAGTGGCCGCCTTTCTCACCTTGCTTCACTAGAACAAATGCAACTATTTAACATTTTGCATTTTGAAACTATAAATTCTAGTCCGGTTTAAAAACAACGTATGTGCCATTAGTTTCCCTATGCACATAAGTGTTTTTCCAGAAGAGCCAGAATTTACAGTTCCAAATTGCCTCCATCTCTGCGAACCAAGACCAATACACACAGGTCAGTCTATTCTGAGAACGAATTTGGAAACCACTGTGCATTGGCAGCAGGAAGCTTAAATGCGATGAATCTTTGAAGGGAAAGGCCGGGTGACAGAAATCAAAATAACAATGCCAACACATCCCCGAGATGAAAATTTTCTTCAGCCGATGGTGGAACAGCAAAAATCACGTATTGTTGTCCTTCTGTTCCTTACTACCATCCTCTCTAAAATCCAATACTTCCTGAGTTTGAGATTTATCAGCATTTTCGCTTGGCTGTGCATTCTGAATATGGGGCTTCGGGATGAGTTCTGGGGGTTCATTTGAGAGAGTAGGTACTTTTGAGAAATCAGTTATTGGTAGCCTGTCACCCCATTCTGACATTCTTACACTCCAATACGGCAACCTGGGACAAAAAAAAGTTAAACATTTAATGATAATTCTACAAACAGTTATCACAATTCCTTTTACTTTGATTTTTTTCATGTTCATAAATACCTTAAGAGTATTTATCGAATCAATAAATTGCAACATTCAAAAAAACGATATCAGGAATCGAAGGAATTTTTCATCCGCAAAATGAGGAAGTCTTGATAAAAAAAGGCCTCAGTAAACAGAAAAAGGGCGTATTTTACTGTAAAGTTAAAATGAGTTTTGTTGCACACAAAAGATACTGCCAAGAGAACTTACATACTTCATGTACAACTGCACACAATTCCTGGTAAACACCAGAAATGACTAAAATCCACTCTTTGACACACAATTTGTGCAGTTTGAACCGCGCTTTTTCAAGTTTACCATGTCGGAGTTACCAAGTTACCAGAAGTTTTTCTCAGCTTCTGGCGAGCAGGTTTGCTCAGTGAGATATGTGAAAAATCCTAATTCAAGCAAGCAAACAAACAATCTCACTCTTTTTTTACGGTTGATTTTAACTGTTTTCAATTTCTGTAGGTTACAAAAGAAATTATTCAAATCAATTGAAATCAAACATATGATGGATGTTATGCTCAGAGTTTCTTTTTTTCAAATAATTTTTTACAGCATATTAAACCACCTAATGAACTGAAAAAATTAAGTGAAAAACTGAGAGAGATATTCTCAGTTAGACCTGTCAGCCTGTCACTAAGTTTGATAAATGCTGAGATCAATGCCTCAATCATTTCTTCACTGTCCTCGCCAGTCAAAAAAGGGATAACAATCTACTATCTTCCTGATATATAAACAGTGCAGAAGGCTTATTTTTTACAATTTTACGTAATTTTCTTGTTTTGATCAGCAGGTATTCTTTGAACGAAAGTTTTACTCTGTTTATATTTTTACAAGATTAGGGGCAGTTCAAGTATTACATAAACTACTTAAAGGTTTACTCCCACGGGTTAACATTTTTTTGGACCCCTGTCGCACTATCATTCCACACTGTGCTAAAGCTATCCTCAACTCCTCTCCTCCCGCTGCAGCACAGTCTCATGCTCTTTCATGACTGCATATTTTTCAAAGGTGATGTTAAACCCCTTACTTAATGGACGCAACAGTTAAAGACATTAGTTAATTGTAAGTCTCTTTCGTGAAGTTCAAGTGATGGACGCTGTCAATGGAAATTGTATATTAACTAAACTAGGGGGTTTGATCACTCCGTCGGATGTCATGATTACTTCTTGACTTACTTTTCTTTTACAAAGGATCAGACCGTAACAAAACAGGAAGTCAACAAGTAATTGTATATTAAGGTCTGAGAAAGATGGAAAGACTTACTTTTCATGTCTGGATTTCGAAAAACAAATATCCTCATATGTGCCATGAGCAGTGCATATTCTACAGTGCGAGTGCTCAGTTCGAACTAGAACTGGCTCAAGAATACGAGGCCATTGAGGATCATCGGGCTCGCGTTTTCCTGGTGAAAAAGAAAAAACATACATCAGCTTGTGCAATCATGTTCATGTTACAGGGTTGCCACTTTCTTCCAACTTCCAATTTTCAGATTTTTCCAAGATGATTTCCCGTTTTTCCGAGATCTCTTAGTTGAAGAAATGACAATAACATGTATGTAACGTAAATAAAGTTATAATACAGGAAAGTGACTAAAAACAAACGACCATTTCAAAATGGTGTCGAAATCAGATTGTTTCAAATGAACCTCAACTGTAGGAATTTAAAAGTAACTCGGTTTTAGTGATGAAGGGCAAGGGGCATAAATAATGAGTAATGTTATTTTTCCTCAGTTTTGGGGGAAACTCCTTATTTATTGTTGAAATTCCCCCAGTTTTTCAATGGCACTTCCATTCCCCAAGTTTTCTAGATTTCTCCAGAAGTGGCAACCTTGAGTTGTTAGTACTTGGGAACGTAATGGTATTCAACCTGCAAATAATACGGGTTCACAAACTTCACTACTTTCCTTGCTTCAGGCTGATTATTAAAACTGATAGATAAAGCAATAGACAAAGAAGAAAAGGAGAAAATGGAGCAATGCTATAGGTGAATGCAGGGATTCGCAATGGCAAAAGAGGTAAGTAATAGACTGACTAACAGCAACTCACTTCACTATGGTGGTCACAACCACCGATTTCAACCAGTCGGATTGCTTCATTTTCCCTTTGCCTATCAATTTCAATAATCGGCTCGGTGGTTGCATAAGAAAATTGGAGGGCTATGAGAGACAAAAATGTTGGCACTAATTACCTTAAAAGTTTCTTCCTGTGAGCAAAATACTTCTTAAAATGATTTATTTATTTATTTTTGTTTTTTGTAAAATCATAGTATTTCATCATCGAAAAATGAGAGAAAGAGAAAGTTAAAAGAAAATGGTTGATATTTTCTAAACTTTTAAGCAAAAAGGGGTTTTTAAATGAGGAGGCTAATTTGAAAAAGAGGAGAGAAGGTTTTTGCATCCGAGAAAAATAACATACAAAAAGCACCTCCTCTATTCAATTAGGTATTTAACACTGGAAATGCTCTCATTAGAATATTAAGCTTACGATGAGGCTACAAATTTCAGTGAGCCGCTATAATTAAAAATGAGTGTAACACAATCTCCAAATATGGACCTGATACGCTTTCCAAATAGAACTAACCTCAAAAGCGTTCAATACGTTTATTAATTTGAATTATATGCTTACTATTAATGACGCCATTAAAAGAAAGAATGAAGAAACTTTCGATTAAAAATTTTTGAGAGCCTTACCTTTCTTCAGTACTACATACGAATATGTTTCTTTCGCTCGACGTTCTTTATTGTCAAATGGGTTTTGGATGAAAGCCTTTTCAAAAAAACATTTTTCATTTCTGGACATTTTTGGGCACTTCATGTCATGAGGGCACTAAAGAAATAAGAGAAGAGCGTTATTAGTTGAGAACAATAAATACTATTCAATAGCAAAAATGCCGCTCATATCAAAATTAGGCTTCCGCACAGTTTTTTTTGTGATTAATTTTTATAGGATTGCTTAAAAATATGAGTTCATACACTTTTCCATTTTTCATTTCATTGAATTTGAGTTGAGGAAAATATTTTTAAAGTTGCCAAATATCCAACCCCATATCAAAGGTTACAAATGTCACACCAACAGATTTTGAGATGTCACAAGAAGAATTTACCTACCTAACACTTCTTCCACCTGCTTTTGTTTACTTACTATCAGATCGCAATGATACCAAGAGGTTATAAATCTCAACCCTGCTTAGAATATTATCACTGGTTGAAGTGGATTATTTTTTTTTTTTTTATTTTTTTTTTAATTAAATGGAATCGTTTATTTGAGAGTTGAATCGTGCAGTGGCCTTGTTGCATTGGATTTGAGGCAGTTGAAACCATGGGTCTTAGCCTCATATTGAAGTCAAAAGCTTCGAGCCAATGTGAAAAATGTGGCACCTTACAAAAGCAAGTTTTTTGCCGTGTGTAACGGTAAAGTACTTAAATACATGGTAAAAATCTACTTTTCAAAAACTTTTAGAGCGGTATAAATTACATCCTTAAATGCAAAATTTCATTGAACCACTATTGCCATGACAAGATAATCCTAGGAGATCAAGATTTGGACATGGCCTTACATGTTAGAGTGCATTATTACATTACACTCTTAAATACATACCATCTACATTATAAATCCTTGTACCGTGTAATTAAAGGCAAAATGAAGAAAAAGCTGCAAAAGAGGTTATGATTGGGTCCATGGGAAAGTAAGATTTTTCACAAGGGAGAACTGGTTATGAGCTTCAATGATTTTCTTTTATTGTGTACTACTTCAAAACAAATCCTCAAAAAACAGATCTCCAGTGGACTGTCAGTACTTCTCAAATTATCACCAATGTTTACATTTATGTTGAGTACCTAACCGAGAACATCAATACCTTGCACGCTTGTTATGTTGCCATACCGAGCATTATCACCCAGTCCATGTAGACGTAGGTGAGTTCATTGACAACGCACCACGATTATGATGAGCATTGGTTAAAGTAAAAAAATTGCAAAAATACTCACAGGGGCGAAAACGTGCGAATCGAAGGAATGTTTGCGGCCTTTTGAAAACAAACCAAGTAGAAAGTCTCTGGCTTCATTGATAACCTTAACAAGAGAAAATTGAAGAAAAAGTTAAAGGAACTCAATAAAAAATACCATGATTCCATTAGCCCAGTTAGGTAGTGAGGTTTGAGCATATTTAGAGACCAGTTCAAGGATTTTCAAATACTATTTTTTACAAATTATCTATCCTCATAATTCGTGTGCAGGTCAGACCTTTTTTGGCACTTAAAAATAAAAAATTCAGCACTTGTACGCACACGTTTAAATATTTTAAAATAATCTTAACAATTGTGCGCCATGACGCGAGTGTTACACAAATGCGGCACACAGACAGGTTCCAGCATCTGATGAATCCCGAGCAAATGCAACAGAAACGACATAAAATTGAAATTAGAACTAAAAAAATATACTTCTGACATGTTTTGTGGAGCTACGACACTATAACTTTTTTTTTTTTTTTTTTTTTTTTTTTTTTTTTAAGGACAACAAAAAAATTACAAATTGTCACCACTACCATACTGATCTAAGGTAACTATGACTGGTATCCAATAGGTGACTATGGTAAGGTGACTATGGTAAGGTGACTATGTTAAAGTTGATTACTATAACATGTGAACAAATAAATTTTTCATTCTGCTGGTCAATATCATCTACTGCCAATCGTTGGCACCTAACTGATGAAAAAATTAAGAATATTGTTGTTAACTATCGATTATTTTTACTTTCATGACTTGATCATAGCTCAGTGAGGATTTCCAGCTGATTTTTGGGTCAATTCCACAGGGGTGCAGATAGTGCTTGATTAGCCAAACACAGGCCAACCTTGAGAGAAATGTGAAGGCACCTAAAAAGAGAAAAAAATGTGAAGGCAGAGGCATACAATTTTTTTTCTTTTTAACTTAAGTATTATTTCTTTGTATTAATACCCTACGTTTTGTGAACAAAACCATTAGTCATTATTTTTTGAGAGGGGAACTATTAAACATGTTACTTATTGCAAAGGAAACTATAGAATTCGTTCTTTCATAGAATAAAATAGTAAAGGGTTCCCTCTTTTACAAAGAAAATATAGAGTCGCTCAGCTCTATTGGGACAGCAATGTGAAGGCAGCCTCAAAATATGTGAGGGCAAAGCACTTTCCGCAACCCTGCAATTTCAATCAAATTCATCAAACAAAAACGAAAAATTGACTAACCTGAAAACCTCCATGGGTACCAAGTTCAACCAAAACCAAATAATCCTGTGTTTTGTCCCATAAATTACTAAGTGTTTCTAGCCGCGATTTGGCATCTGGTAATTCTAGTAAAGAGAAAGCACTCACAACAATGTTGTATTTACGCTGAAACAGAAAAAATGTACTTACTTTTTTAAAATCATTTTTCTACAACCAGTTTGCCCATTTTTTTCTACTTTTCAATGAACCACAAATGGTAAGGATAAAATACTTTTCCATAATCACGTATTTTCCTTCTATAAATGCCAGCTTGGTGTTGAATCCCTTTCGCTTAATTTCCAGGAAAATGTCTAATCACTCATCTTATGGACAAAAGAGCCTCGCCAAGTTTCGCCCCTTTTTTTTATACCCGAGTTGGTCAACTGGACAGTGCTCAAATGAAAGCCTATGGTAAGGCAAACTTCCATGCAAAGTTTCAACTTGAAGTGACCCCTGGTTTAGGCTGTACAGCGTTGCCAATTTTCCAGTTTCATGTGCTAAAATCAAGGATATTGGACTATTAGTCCGG